GTGGTTGCTCGCCTGCAACTGGTGTGTTATGGTTGCTCGCCTGCAACTGGTGTGTTGTGGTTGCTCGCCTGCAACTGGTGTGTTGTGGTTACTCGCCTGCAACTGGTGTGTAGTGGTTGCTCGCCTGCAACTGGTGTGTTGTGGTTGCTCGCCTGCAACTGGTGTGTTGTGGTTACTCGCCTGCAACTGGTGTGTTGTGGTTGCTCGCCTGCAACTGGTGTGTTGTGGTTACTCGCCTGCAACTGGTGTGTAGTGGTTACTCGCCTGCAACTAGCGTGTTGTGGTTGGTGACCAGCGACGGTCTGTGGTGGCAGTGCGGGTTCGGTTTATAATGCGTGGTCACTCGAGGCTGATTATATCCGAGTTCGACACCTGGTCAAGGTCAGCTTGGTACGCTGAATTATGAGTGATCAAGTCTCAAGGTTATTTTGTTTAACCAGGTGTCAATAAAGTAAGCAGTACCTGGTGACTGCACCAAGAGGCTGCGGGAAAGAAAAACTCCGGTTGTTGTCTTGAGCTACAGGGTGACACCTGCCAAAGAAACGTGGAATTTCCACCGACGTTGAAGGCGATCGCCGTCGAAAGCCCTCGAGTAGCCGGGGGGGGGGGGGGTGGGGGAGTAGTTGGTTGAGCGGTAGCCGTGGAAAGCAACTTGTCACTTTGTTCGGGGAATCGTGGTGGCACGAGAGATGGGAACATCATCCAGGGCCACTCCTGACGGCCCGACGGAAAGTCCCCCTGCACCGCGTGTGCAAGCGCGCGGCCAACGCGTGGGTGGTGCGTGTGGTGCATCGGCCAGTCATCTCAAGTCGGGCAACATCCCATGGGACCTGCTGGGTCTGTCCGGTGACCCCCTGCCAGCGGGCGTTCGACACTTCACGTGGCCTTAACGTGCACGTAGCCTGGCACGAGCGCCTGAGTGACGTCTCCGCCACTTCGTGGCGAATGGCGGTTGTTGTTGTTGCGTTGGTGCGCGTTTGCAGTGTAGGTGCTCCCTAACAGCACTTGTCTGTTAAGGCTATACGGGGGATCTTTGTCTTTGTGTGCAGCGTCTTTGTATTTGCGTGCAACGGCTAGCGCTACGCTGCGCTACGAACTCCGCGACCCGAGTTCGATTCCCGCTGAAGGCCACCAACACCAGTGACGATTGTCTGAAACGGTCCTGGGCCTCCCCCTAGGTCGACTCAGCCTCAAATGAGTACCTGGTGCGGTGTGGTCAACATCGCCACTGGGGAGGCAAAGGCGGCCGAGCGTGGTGCTGACCACCCACCCCCTCGTGTGCCGTCCCCGCCTTCATAGGTGCTACGCGCGAACAGCACTTGGCCAAACAGTCCGCCAAGGCTATGCGGGGGATCTTTGTCTTTGTGTTGGTGTGCGTTGGCAGTGTTTGACATATAGGCAGGTCTAAGACACACCTGCCTTAGCAAATACGCGCCCGAGCAGCACTGCGCCCTCGCGTCGTGAATTCAACCCGAGGATCTTGTGCGGGAAGGGAGCATGTTGCCTCTGTGCGTTGTGTGTCCGTGGCGTGGCGTGGTCGACACGCGGACTCAACCAGTCCTCCGGGCTACCTCGAGGTCGACTCAGCCTCAAATGAGTGCACCTGGTGCGGTGTGTCAACATCGCCACTTGGGGAGACAGAGGCGGCCCGGCGTGGTGCTGGCCAATCCACACTCCGCCCGGTGTGCCGTGTTTCGCCTTCATAGGTGGCAGCACGGGGGGGGGGGGGTAGTCGGTTAGGCAATGCAATTCGTTTAACGCAAGGGGGGGGGGGGTCGGCAACCTGCGACTCCTTGAGCCGCATGCGGCTCTTTTAAGGGTCGCTGCTTCGTCACGGTTACTTATTAAGGACCAGCACTGCCGTCTCGTACTCACCACGTGCTTCTCCTTGTTATATTTTGGTTGCCGACCTCTAGGGTCAACGCATGGACCACCCGCGCCTGTCCCGTGACCTCCACCTGTTGCACAATATTTGTACCCACGAGTGGATACGGTGCTGACTTTACACCCCACCCCAACCCACCACCATTTGTGTAGCTGTACAGCCTTACACAGGAGCTCGCTTGCAGGTTTTATTTTGTTACCCTTAAAGCTATATATATGCGTTTACACATTTTTAAACACAGTTGCTGAGCACAGGGTCCAAAGGCCCCCTAAACGCCAAGCAGTCATGAACAAACAGCACTAGTACCGTATCAATCTTGCAATAGACGAGTCTGTATCGCGAAGTAAAGATACGCTGTGTGTGTGTGCAGTAACACGTGTGGGGAGCGGTAGTGTAGTGGTTAGCGCGCTGCTCTATGAACCCGACCACCCGAGTTAGATTCCCGCTCACGGCCAACGCCGGTCACGAATATCTGAACCGGTCCTGGGCCTCCTCTAGGTCGACTCAGCCTCAGGTGCGTACCCGGTGCGATGTGTAAACATCGTCATTGGGGGAGACAAAGGCGGCCGGGCGTGGTGCTGGCCACCCACCCGCTCGTGTGCGTCCCCGCCTTAATCGGTGTTACTCGCTAACAGCACTTGCTCCTACACTCTGTTAAGGGGGTATCTTTATCCGTGCAATAACACGTGACACAATCATGCCCGTTACAGCGCAACATCGTCTCAGTGGTGGGGGTTGTTTGACCATATTTCACCACGCGGTGAACGGGAGGAGGAAGGGAGGGGGCCCAGGATCGTGTACGGGGAATCGAACCCAGGTGTGCCGGCGTCGTAGAGTGGTGCGCTAACCACAGCGCCACCGGTAATCCATCGCCCGAATCAGCACCCGAGTCGAACTTCGATTCGGGTGCTGTCAAGGGTCGTATCTCAGCCAGCCAACCGGTCACCCCTCCCGCTCCCTACTCAACTTCTCTCTCTCTCTCTCTTTGTCAACAACCGGTGACGTGAGTAAAGCCCGGTGTGACAAAAGGGGGGTGACGTTTAACGAGAGGCTGACCCCCGTGACACGGCTCGCCAGAGCAGGCAAATTGTGTGCCGGTGTCACTGGCTCGGAAGTCGCGGGTGTGACGCTGCCAGGACATTCGAACAGACACAATAACAACAACAACAATAACAACAACAACAGCATAACAGCACACCTGTCCCCGCAGCAGCTAACATCGGTTATCAAAATCCTTGACGCCTTCCTCCATAACACTGCCCTAAATGGAGGAGGAGAAGAGTTAGATATAACATGCGACGTTTCGGGCATGGACCCTCTTTTTTGTTTCCTCCTTTAAGGGCGAGTGACATTGACGAGTGTGTTTGAGCTGTCGGTGTTATTTGCGATCACGAGCCATGGCCAGCACCACACACACATAGTGTATGTCACATGTTTTAGTTTCACCAGGCAAGACCCACTGCGCTATGTAGCTCTTTTGTTTAGAAGCGACCTGGTCACAAATTATATCTCAACGAAGTGGTTTCTCACGTGGACATTGATCGCATCTAAATATTCTAAACGCGTGATGTTGATTCTTAATGTGGAGGGGGGAAAACCCGGAGGACCCGGGGAAAAATTCAACGTGACCACGTGGAGAGAGAGAGAGACACGCAAACTCAAAATATACAGCAGCAGCAGGCGTCAGGGTCGGGGTCGAACCCACGACCTCCTGCACTCCAGGCGAGGGAGTTAACATCCCCTAGCCACCGCGACCCATCGTTAACACCTCTAAGAGGAGCGATAGGCACCCCAACTCGGTGCTGCTGCCACCCTGGCGAAACGAATGCCGGCCACTGAATGGAGAGAGGGGGGTGGGGGCGGTGGTGGCGGTGGTGGTGGGTGGGGCGGAGCAAGGGGAAGCGTTATCGTCTCGGTTTTTTTTATAACATTATAATTGTATTTATTCTCTACGAAGCGAAGGCGTTGGTTGACGCGATTGGCCCCTCGCGCCACGCGCAGGAATGCCGCCCGTGGCGGACAGAATGCGTCGTGCGCGGGCCTGTTCACCTGCCTGGCCCCTTGCTCTTCAACGTTCATCATCACCTCCAACCCACCCCATTCCCACACCACCCACCTGTCTACCTGTTGTCTCCTCCACTCTTGTCTACCTGTACACTCCCACCCCCCTCTCCGCACCCCTCCACCCCCCACCCCGTCAACCGACTTGCGGCCTCCTTTGTCTCCCTGCTCACCCGTGAAGTGGCAGTGGGCAAGAGATGGGGACAGAGTTCGGGTCACGGGTACCCAATGGAGACCGGAACCCCACAACCACACACGGAACAGTTTTTTTTTGGAGCCCGTTCCTGTGAAGCGAGCTGCGACACGAGTTCGATTCTCGCTCACGGCCAATGAAAGTGACGATTATCTGAAAATCGGTCTTGGGCCGCCCCTAGGTCGACTCAGCTTCACATGAGTGCCTGGTGCGGTTGAAAGCATCGCTACTGGGGGGACAAAGGTGGTCGGGCGTGGTGCTGGCAACCCACCCCCTTCGTGTGTCGTGACAGCCTTCATAGGTGATACTCACGAACAGCACTTGCTCCTACAGTCTGTTAAGACTTTAGGGGGATCTTTGGGTTTTTTTGGAGGGTGCACCTAGTCTGGTACAAGCGCTGCGGTGACGTCACTGCCGCTTAGTGCCAAACGGCTGCTGCTGCTGTTGTTGATTGGGGGGGGGGGGGGGGTGATGGGACAGTGGTTAGCGCACAGCGCTACGAACCCAGCGACATTGCGCGCGATGATGATGTTGTTAACCCACAGCTAACAGCTGACGTACATCACTGGCGACGAAATGGTGAATTCTATTTTCGTTTTTTTCATCTATTACATTTCCATCACGTGGGCGAAATAAGGAAACAAAAACCCACACCACATTCACGGCGTGACGCGCGTGCACGGTGGGTGCCGTGGGGGGGATGCCAAAAAAATACTTTAAAAAACATCCCCCCGTCTCACCGTCTGCGCTCCCTCCACCCCCCTTCCCCCTACCTCCCCACCCCCTGCCCCCCACGTATCTCACGCTCCACTCTCCTCCCCCCCCCCCCCCCCTGGCATGAGCCGAGCGATTGCCGCGGGAGGCGATTCAATCTCGAATCCGTGGCATGAATTAACCAACCCCAGTACGCACGCGGGATGCTGATGATGACGAGGACCATGACGACGATGATGATGATGATTGTGATGATTGTGACGGGGCGCAGCGGGCGTTTCCTTAGCCAGACTCGGCCAGCAGCCCAGAGACAACAAACACGTGGGGCAGAGCCCCTGGGCAGGTGTGATGCGGTTCGGGTTAGGGATAGAGGTAGTGCCGAGGCTAGGGTTATGATTAGGAATAAGTAGAGGGTTAGAGATAGGTTTATGGTTCGATCAAGTGTTGTGGTCATGGTTAGAGACAAGGTTCGGATTGGGTCAGGGTCTTAGATGCTGTCAGCTATGTGTGTAAGGATCGGGCTACGTTTAGGACTGGGGTTTGCTTGTATAACGCGGTTAGAGGTTGGTGTAAGAGTTCGTGGTAAGGGTCTCGTTGGCCCATGTGGTAAGAGTTCGTGTTTGGGGACTGCTCAGCTTGTGTGGTTAAGGGTACGGCGCGTAGTTAATGTTAGCCAGCAATCTCAGAATATCAGAATTGAAAATATTTATTTCATACTGGAGGAATCCGATGAGCTATAAAGCTCTTTTTTTCCCACAGGGCGGATCGGAACGTTACAACAACAAAGACGAACACACAATACGAGAGCCCAGCATAGGAAAGGTAAACAAATCACCTTAAAAAATATATACAAATAGAACTAAACTATATATTTTAATCTTACCAGGTAAATCCCACCGGTTATCTCTCGTGTGGTTAGGGTTAGGTGTGTGCAGGGTTAGTCTGTTGTAGGTTCGAGTATCTCGTGCCCTCGGCCACACTCGTGCTTTTAACCCTTCCCCAAAACCACCAAGCTTGGCATTTTGTACATTTTGTTCGGCTCGCGGTGTGGTGTGGGAGTGCGGTTTTTTTATCTCTCTCTTCTCTCTCGCTCCGATGTGTTTACGGCGTTCCTCCTCCATTCCGCCACAGCGAACGGGGAGATACGGATTTTTTCTCTCTCTCTCACTCTGTTCAAAAAATGTACCGCATACCGCGCGTTGTGCATGGATTTCAAAGTGGACAGAAAAAAAAGGCCGCGTGTTTTCCCCCGCAACCTGTACAGACGTGGTGTCATCTTCAGGCACCAGAGATCTGGGTGTCTCCAATAATCCCGCTCGGCTTCAGCCCCGTAGCCTCGAGGAGCTGGGGGGGGGGGGGTGTAGGGGGCTCCCCCTCCCTCCCTCCCCTGCAAAAGGCCAGCACCACACCGCCTTTCTATGACCTTATAGTCGAGTGGCAATAATAGCGGCTACAATAATTAACACGGCACATTGACCCGAGTCTTCTTTGAATTCAAAATGTGTGTCAGCCAGGCTCCTCCTTTGCCACGCGTCTACAAGGGCAGAGCAGCATGCAGCCAAGCAGGCCGACGCAGATTCACGGACGCGTGTTTATGAACACGAACAACCAACGGAGAATGACTGCAATTGTTTGCGCGGTGACGGTGGGGGAGCTGCTGAGCGAAATGCAAAGGTGGCGAGAGTGAACGAAGCGACGGGCATCGCCAGAGCTTGCGTGCACAATGGAGACACAGGCGGGTGGCATCGCCACTCCATTCCGATTCCATTTCGGATCTACAAAGCGACATTTCCAGGGCGCTTTTAAAGCGCAAGCCGACGGCGGGGTCAGTGAGGGAGGCGACGCAATGGATGATGGAGGGACAGGGGCTGGGACCGGAGCTGATGTTGCCGGGGTAGGTAAGGCAGACTAAGGCGGAGTGTGCTGGCGAGTGAGGGTGTCCGATGTGTGCAGCGTGGATGAGAGGCGGTGGGGTATGGGGCACATGCTTCAAGTGGTGAAATGGGCATGAATGAGGGGGAGCTAAAGGGCGGTGAGCGTTGAGCATTTGTTTTGAAGTATGCCAAGTGACAGTTTAGACTGCGTCGTGGCCCCTCCTCCGCCCTATGAGTGTTTGTTCCACCCACCCCCCTCTTTACACGAGGCCACGCTACAGGGACACCTTGGGTGCGATGTCGGTGACGCATCGATTCTCCTGTTAACCATTAAAATCGGGAAGCGTTGGGGAGGGGGGGGGGGGATGCCTTCATCAAGCAGTGCATATTATATAGATAGATGGCTTGACAAAGGACTGCAAGCTTCTATCAATTTGCAATTCAATCAATATCCCCCTCCGTAAATATAAACAGAACAAACAAAAAAGCTTTTGCAAGCAAAACTAGAAGAGACATATCCCATTGGGAATTCCTGTGACGCACTCACGCGCGCACCCGCCGACCCACGCTCGCCAAGCAGACTCGTGTGACAGCGCGGTTGAAGTGCGGTGCACCGTGACACGCGCGCGCACACGCACGCGCACGCACGCGTGTCACTGAGAGATGTGACAATTAGGATGCTCTCGGGCAAAAGAGGGCGTCTCGAGTCATTCGCCCCGGGGCTGGGACATGCGATCCAAGCTTTCTCTCTCTGTCTGTCTGTCTGTGTGTCGCCCCGTACTTTCCCCAGCCCCCCCCCCTCCCTCCACCTCAATCGCGTCCCGCACTGAAGGACACAATGTAAATATTGCGCCGGCAGGCCCTGTCACTGCTGTCACGCGAACATCAGCTGGGGGTAGTGTACACGAGGGGTGTATGTGTGTGTGTTAGGGCGGGTGGAGAGGGGGGGGGCTTATTCTGCTGTTACGTATGGCAAAATGTTCAGGAGCTTGATGCCAATGTCGAGGTCTATTAGCCACAGCGAGAGGGCTTCAGGAGAGAGAGAGAGAGTTGGTGTGGTTTTGCTGTTCCTCATCCGTTGACTACCGTGGGTTTACAATGTATCATCACCACCATCATCACCACCACCATCATCACCACCATCCACACTGCCATCATCACCACCATCACATCATCATCACCACAGTCATCACCGCCACCATCATCATCACCATCATCACCACCGCCATCATCACCACCATCATCACCATTCGCATCACCACCACCGTCATCACCACCATCATCACCGCCATCATCACCACGACCACAATCATCATCGGCACCTCCGATTTTGCACAGTTGGCAACGTACGGTGCGAAAGAAGTTCAACATACGTACAACTTGTGTCAGTTTCAGTTCCGTTAATGATAAGCATTACGGTTGTTTTATTATTATTTTCATTCTGAAACAAAAATAAACACTGAAACAAAAATCATGCGGCCAATCAGAATCGGTTTGGTAGGCAGCAGTATTTTTTTTTATATTATAGAGTCGGGGGTGGGGTTGTTTCGTCACAGCCACTGGACGAGTGAGCACTGCCAGCTCGAACATTGTCTACGGTGGCCGTTTGTGGCTCCAGATTGAGAAAGCTGCAAGAGTCCACCTCGGGTTTTCCAGTCTCAGGTGGAACCCATCGAGTCACTGGCAGCGGCGTAGACCCACCGGCCCCTTTGTAGCATAGAGAAGCGTCGGCTCACACAGAGGCACGCATATTCCCGTCGAGCTGCGTGGACTCACAGCGACACGGAGATTTACGTAGAGTCCCACAGACTCATACAGAGACCCGTATACTCGCATAGAATGCACACTGACTCGCAATGTGTTCGACTGAGCTTGTGAATCTGAGCAATTTATTCAAAATTGGATTCGAACAAGGAGCCGTTTCACGGCGCATATATATAAAGTTATCATTTTTAAGTGCGCAGTTACTTTGAGCAGGGGAAAACGAATTCCAGGAGCGGTTCCGATGTCTGAGTCTCATCAGCAGGGTGTGCGGCCCGCTACTCGGATTAAGGCTTCTCATTGTGCACGCGCAGCAAGCCTCACTGTCAAATCGAGAGTCCTGCGGCGACACTCGCTACGAACCCGGCGACCCGGGTTCGATTCCCGCTCACGGACAACACCAGTGACGATTATCTGAACCGGTCCCTGGACCTCCCCTAGGTCGACTCAGCCTGAAATGAGTACCTGGTGCGGTGTGTAGCAAACATCGCCACTGGGGAGACAAAGGCGGTCGGGCGTGGTGCTGGCCACCCACCCCCTCGTGTACCGTTACCGGCCTTCATAGGTGCTGCTCGTTAACAGCACGTGCCCCTGCAGTCTGTTAAGGCCACACGGGGGATCTTTGTCTTTGTATCAGCCGCGTCCAGTGCAGCGACACCGACGATGCCGCGTTGCGTCTGGTCATTCTTGCACTTCGCGTTTGGCAAAGTTTGTTCGTGAGTGCAGACACGTCGCCGGCATTGGTTCGAGTTTGGCGTGACTTTGCTGATGACACGCTGAATGTCGAAACCGTTCCAGCGGAGGGGTTTATTTTTTTTGGTGCCTTGAACTAAGGCTGCTTGGCTGATAGAACGCACTCCCAGAAGGCCGTGCGGCTGATGCGACGTGTATAGAGATATGTCGATATATTGCACGCGGAGAGACACGTGATGTGAAGGAGGTGTTGTTTAGATTATTGTCAGTAGCTGTGCGCTGGCTTGGTTGACATAGTGCTGCCTACCTACGTGACTTTACCGAACCCAGAACCAAAGAGTACAGTGATGTCTGTTTCGTGCATCACCCAGCTACTTTATGAAGGAGCTGGGGTTGTTGGATCGCGTGCAGATGGGAACGTACGTTGTAAACACACCCACCCACAGGGCGATGCCGGCGTTCCTTAAAACAAGACAGTTGAGCAAGTGGGTGTTCTATGCTGAGGACCGCGATCGTTATCAACCGCGGAATGCGAGGGGTTTTCTCGGCATACTCCAGTTTCAAGTCAGATGTGACTTTAAAAAAAAGAAGCAAAGGAATTAACCAAATATCTTGAATCGCTGCCCTCCTGACAAAATAGTCTTGGGACTCAAGATCATGCTTTCGTGGCCAGATCCAAGGCTCGTCAAGGAACATAAAAGCACCATCGCGCCAACTCCGATCATCCGCGCAGCAGCGGATTTTAGCTGCTAGCCATCTAACAAAGACGGCGGTCACTGCATCGCGCGGCGCTTTCACGTTCGCTTGTGCGGCCGTCTGGAACGCCTCTTCCTTCCGATATTAGGAAACCACTGGAGCTACGCACTTTTAAATCTAGATTGAAAACTCTTTTGTTTAAAACTGCATTGTTGTGTTTAGTTTGTTGTCCTTCCCCCGCACCTCCGATTAGCACGGTTGGCTACGTACGGTGCGACAGAAACTTAACATATGCATATACCTACTTATGACGCTGTTAAAAAAATAATCATAACTCGGAACTTTGCAATGGAAAGTGGAAAGCAAGACGGTTGGTGCGCGTGTAAATCATTCAGGGAGGAGCTGACACGCGTTGCAGGATGATGGAGGAGGACAGGTCACCGAGAGAGGTCAGGTCACCGAGAGAGGTCAGGTCACCGAGGGAGGTCATTCCGAGTGGTGCCCCGAGGTCAACGACCGGCGGCGACATCAAAGGCAATATACTTGTGGTGGTCCGAGTGGTGGTTGTGGTGGGGAGCGGTGGCGCAGCGGTTAGCGCTGCGCTGCAAACCCGGCGGGCCGAGTTCGATCGCCCGCTCACGGCCACCAACACCGGTGACGATTGTCTGAAACGGTCCTGGGCCTCCCCTAGGTCGACTCGACCTCAGATGAGTACCGGGTCCGGTGTGTAAACATCGCCACTGGGGAAACAGAGGTGGCGGGGCGTGGTGCTGGCCACCCACCCCCTCGTGTGCCGTGCCGGCCTTCATAGGTGCTCGCTAACAGCACTTGCCCCATCAGTGTGTTAAGGCTACACGGGGGATCTTTGTCCGTGGTGGTTATGAGAGTGTTGTAAGAGCGGTCCTTGAAGGATACATCGACATTGTGACAACGTGAAGACGTGAAGCCAAATGTATGATGATGATGACGATGACACTATAAGACTCGTCCTTGCGTGGTCTGTTTGCTGAGTGGCATTTCTTTGACGCTCAATCCAGATGGTATGCCAGTACCATTTGTACTTCAATGCGTTTTATTTATTTATTAATCGTGACTTGCTTAACTTTTTCTCTCTCTTGCATTCGTTTTCGTGTCTTGTTTTTTGTCAATGTAACTGGCTGACCCGCACCCCCGACCGGACATCTGTGGGGGTGGGGGGGGGGGGAGCTTCACAGCTCATCAGATTCCTCCAGGATAAATAGCAGATTCTGATTGTGAGACGATGTTAACAACTGCAATCTTGCTCCTTTAGAGGTCGAGTGTCACAGGATTTAGCAGCAGCAACAACAACAACAGCAGCAACAATTAAAACAAATCAAGGAGGGCGAGAGGACTTCGTGCGGGGGCATCAACAACCATGAACAGAAGCAGCAGCAGCAGCACGGCCAGCGAGGATGAGCCTCGTTGCCCTCGAGTTCCAGAGCCGAGAGTCGGATGTGGGCGTCTGCGAGTCTGGCAAACACATCTCCCCGTCCGCGTACTACCAGCGGAGCAGGAAAACAAATAAAAACGGGGGTAACGTCGCCTCTAACGCCCAGACTACGTGGCCGCCGCGTTTTTTTGTTTTGTTTTACGAGGCTATGGTGAAATTCTCCACGATAGCGATAAACATAACAAAAGTCTATTACATTCAGCTTGGAGAAAGAAACACAAAGACGTAATCACCCGAGCGAGCAGACTCGCCGGAGCCACTCAACAAGGTAGTTCACAAACACACTCCTCCATTAGCTCCGACACGCGGTCGTGCCTGTGACGCGAGGCCACGTGCTTTGCTATGCGCATAGCCTTGCGTAAACGGCTGGGACGAGTGCTGCTAGCGATGTACCTATTAAGGCCGGCAACAGCACCGCACGAGCGGGTCGGGGAGTTGGGTGGGGTGGAGGGGTGATGGTTTGTGGTCTGAATCAGAATATTTGACTATTTACCCTGGAAGAATTCGGTGAAGTTTGCACACCGCCACCAAGTACTCATTTAAGGCTGAGTCGACCTACGGGGGAGAAGGCACGGCTAGGACGGGTTCAGGTATCATCACCTCGCCGCACTGATGTGAGTCACCCGTCTCGTAGCGCAGTGTCCTAACCACTGCGCCACCGCTCCGCCCGCGTATGCGCGTGCGCGCACGCTCCGCTCGTAGTCTCGGCGTGCTCACAGCTTCTTCTTCTTCTGAAGACGGTCGCTTGTGTTGCGATCGCAACGTCGTGACCTATTCTCCTTTTTTACCTACGTGACTTTACCGAAAGAACCAAAAAGTATGGATTCCTGCAATCACGAAAGCTTCAAATCAAGAGTGCTCAGAGCTCACCTGCCCTTACGAGTAACCAAGCAACCACGGGTGGTGTTTCAATCGCTCCGTTCTTTCGTTCGCTCCACCGAGTACGAAAGGAATAGAATCCGCGAGCCCGTCTCGTACTGCCACCAGCGCTCCGCTGTTGTGTAACTCTTTCCAGCGCGGGGTGTGTGTGTGTGTGGACGCGGCGGGACGTTATGAGCTACCGTCCGTCCGTCCGTAACGGCGAGGCACAAGAACTCTCGCAAAGATGATCCGACACGAACGAAACGTCATCGTAGATTCGCGTCGCCGTTGGGGACTTTCCTTTTTTTTTTACCCCCGTTCAAAACCGCCCATCGTGACCAAAGCGTTTGCCGAAAACAAACAAACAGACACACAAAGGTAACCTCGGAATCCCTTCGAGAGTGCAACGGAGCCAGGGAGCACGAGTTTCGTCTGTTGCTCCGCTACCCGTCGGCTCCTGTGCTGCTCGTGACGCACCTCTCGAGCGCAAGACGCATGCTGCGGGGAGGGGGGAACATCGTGACAGAATGCACGCTTGTGCCTGATTTTCGCACATCTCGTTGTGAGTGGACGCTTTTGCCCACGGCCCTGGTTACTTGCAGTCGTGGTGTTATTGGTGTTTGCCGTTGTTGTTGTTTGCGCGCGGTCACGCGGCTGTTGTTGTTGTTGCTGCTGCTGCCTCCTCGATATTTATAGACGGCAGGCAGCTTCCCACGCAGCGTGCGGACAGGTGTGTCGAGCACATAGGCGTGGCAAGGTGTGTGGGTGGGTGGGTGTTCTGTAGGTGTGTGTGTGGGTTATTCTGTAGGCGTGTGTGTTCTGTAGGTGTGTGTGCGGGTACTCTGTAATGTGTGGGTGTGTGTGTGTTCTCTAGGTATGTCGGTAGTGCGCTACGAACCCGGCTGCCCGAATTCGATTCCCCGCTCACGGCCCACACCGGTCACGAATATCTGAACCGGTCCTGGGCCTACCCTAGGTCGATTCAGACTTAAATTACTACCCGGTGCGGTGTCTAAAAACATGGCCGCTGGGGAGACAAAGGCGGTCTGGCGTGGTGTTGGCCACCCACCCGCTCGTGTGCTGTGCCGGCCTTCATCGGTGCTCGCTAACGGCACTCGCCCCAACAATCTGTTAAGGCTACACGGGGGGACCTTTGTCTTTGTGCGTTCTGTGGTTTTGCAGGAAATGTGTTGAAGGTGAATGGTCTACTCGCCCCTCGTACCCTTCCAGAGACCCCGCTGTCCACCGTGGCATTGCTCACAACCACCGCAGCGTCCCCACTCGGCATCGAATGAGTGGGGAGTTGTTATTGCGCCGGTTGGAAACATTTCGTCTGGCCTCCCTACGATCACATTCCCATCAGTGAGCTCCTCCGGCAGGCGAGGCTGCGTTGGGCTGGGTCATGAAGCCCGCATGCCCCAGCCACCGCATGCCCAAGCAGCGTTTCTTTGGCCGGATAGAGGGGGGGGGGGTGGCTAAACGGGCGCGGCACGGGCTAGACAAGAGATGGCCTGTTGTGGTACAGGAGTACGTGGAGCTGCGTGGTCTTGCGGAAGACTGGGTACCAGGGCTGTCATGAGGTGGACGAGGTTGGTGAAGGACGCCACTGGGCAATTGAAGGATGTCGTGTGTGAGTGCAGAGGAGCGCCGCTCGCAGCAACGAGCGGAGCGCCGGGCGGCTATAATACAGCAAGTTGGCACAGTGTGGGGTACAGGTGCGCGGACGTATGTGGAACTTCTTCGCACCGTACGTAGCCAACCAACCGTGCTAATCGGAGGTGTGGGGGAATGACAAAAGTGTGTACGTTGTGGAGGTGCAAGTGCGAATGTGTGTATGATGTGGGTCACTATAGAGCGGTGGCTGTGTGTGCTGATGAGTATGCCCTGTGGGTAGTTGTGGTTGTTTTTTTTGTGTGCCCTGTATGTGTGTAGGTGTGTATGTTTTACAGATCGCTGTGTGTGTGTATAAGTGTGTGCGCTCGCCCAGAGAATCTCTGTACATTCTGTGTCATCCTTGGAATTTACACACCGCGACGGTGGGAGCGAGCGAGCGAGCGAGGGGAGGGAGGGAGGGAGAGCGGAATGCGCGTGCTCTATCGCTCTCTCTCTCTCGCTCTGTGCCGGCCTATAAACTCAGCGACAAGGGAGCGCAACACGTGCACACACGCGACACGCAACACGTGCACACACGCGACACGCACACGGCACACACACGCGGCGACACGCGGCACACGGCGACGCACGCCGGGGCGAGTGAGCTCCGAGCGACTCACCTCGTTGACACGCGCGCCTTTCTTCCACTGTTGTCGCCTTACACTGCTGTAGCGAACAGGTGAGAGAGCTCACTCACTGCCTGTGCTCTTTCTTGCAGCCGTGATATTTTCGCACGATGGAGTGCGTTCGTGCGCGTGCGTGCGCGTGCGTACGTGCGTGCATGCGTGTGTGCGTGCATGCGCGTCATTGGGGAGCCCCCCCCCCCCCCCACCTCTCCTGTTGTCTTATCGTGTGCGTCTGTCTTTGTGTTCTGTGTATGTTTGTCTCTGATTGTGTCTATCTCCATACCTCTGTGTGTCCGTCTCCGCGTGTCCCAATCTCTCTTCGTCTACATCTTCACTTTGTATTCCTCTACGCACGACCCTGTCCGTGTGCGCGTCTCGTCCGTCTCCTCTGCGAGTCACTGCTTCGCGTTTTCTCTCTGCTACCGATTTTCTCTCCCTTCCTCTGCCTTGTCTGCTCCCGTGCAGGTCAGCGACCCCCCCGATTAAGTGTCCCACCGCGCGTCTAAGTGGTCCCACCACGCGTCTAAGTGGTGCCACCACGCGTCTAGGTTGTCCCACCACGCGTCTAAGTGGTCCCACCACGCGTCTAAGTTGTCCCACCACGCGTCTAAGTGGTGCCACCACGCGTCTAAGTGGTGCCACCACGCGTCTAAGTGGTGCCACCACGCGTCTAAGTGTCCCACCGCGCGTCTAAGTGGTCTCACCACGCGTCTAAGTGGTCCCACCACGCGTCTAAGTGGTCTCACCACGCGTCTAAGTGGTGCCACCACGCGTCTAGGTTGTCCCACCACGCGTCAAAGTTGTCCCACCACGCGTCTCAGCGACAGGACAACCACGTGGCTGGCTGCCGGCGCGTCGATATTTCTGCGCAGCGCATCGAGACGCCACATAAATCCACATCGCAAAATGTAAATTGTCGAGGTATAATTACAGGTGTCGATATTAAAAGCGACACACCTGGTCCGCCCCCCCCCTCCCTCTCCTCCCTCTATCGTTTGCCTATCGGTGTAGGTGCGACCTGGGCACACACAGGTGGAGGAGAGTCGTGCCGCCATGCAGCCTCAACAGGAGGTGAGGCAGCAGCAGCTGCTGCTGCTGCTGTGTCTCTCGCTGGGAGTCATCGGACAAAGCTCACCAGGTGAGTTCATTGACTCAACCCCGAACTCACCCTCAACTCACCCCGACGCCTCCTCCTCCCTCCCCCCCTCCTCCCTCTCTCCATCACTTCCCCGACTGTCCACCTTGTACTCCCTTGACTCTTCAGTTTAATTTTAAATAATTGTATAAACTAGCTGAAGTTTTAATTGCTGTGTTTGTTCGAGGACTTCGAGCAGGTGCGCGCTATGAGCATGCGAAATGATCGATGTTATTTGAAGAAGGGCCATTGCCCGAAACGTCGCCGATTACCTATATATTTTGTTATAAGGCAGTGTTGTTGACAAGTGCAATGGGAGGAGGAGGGGCGAGATGCTACAGAGGCGGAGCCAACTGGCCAAGCGATCCCCCGAGTCCTAACCAGTAACTAGTGCCAGCTCTAACACTAACTAGCTCATCTAACCAGTAACTAGTGCTAGCTCTAACACTAACTAGCTCATCTAACCAGTCACTGGTGTTAGCTCTAACACTAACTAGCTCATCTGACCAGCAACTAGTGTTAGCTCTAACACTAACTAGCTCATCTGACCAGTAACTAGTGCTAGCTCTAATACTAACTAGCTCATCTAACCAGTAACTAGTGTTAGCTCTAACACTAACTAGCTCATCTAACCAGCCACTAGTGTTAGCTCTAACACTAACTAGCTCATCTAACCAGTAACTAGTGCTAGCTCTAATACTAACTAGCTCATCTGACCAGTAACTAGTGCTAGCTCTAACACTAACTAGCTCATCTAACCAGTAACTAGTGCTAGCTCTAACACTAACTAGCTCATCTAACCAGTAACTAGTGTTAGCTCTAACACTACCTAGCGCATCTAACCAGTAACTAGTGTTAGCTCTAACACTAACTAGCTCATCTAACCAGTAACTAGTGCTAGCTCTAATACTAACTAGCTCATCTAACCAGTAACTAGTGCTAGTTCTAACACTAACTAGCTCATCTGACCAGTAACTAGTGCTAGCTCTAACACTAACTTGCTCATCTAACCAGTAACTAGTGTTAGCTCTAACACTAACTAGCTCATCTAACCAGTAACTAGTGCTAGCTCTAACACTAACTAGCTCATCTGACCAGTAACTAGTGCTAGCTCTAACACTAACTAGCTCATCTAACCAGTAACTAGTGTTAGCTCTAACACTAACTAGCTCATCTAACCAGTAACTAGTGTTAGCTCTAACAACTAACTAGCTCGTCTAACTAGTAACTAGTGCAGCCCTCTCACTGACCCTAACCCACTCAGACCTGCAGTGGACCAATCGCATTCCTTGAGGCGCAGGTGTTTTTTCTCGGCGCGAGAGACTTCGCTTGAGCCTTGTATACATCTCAGTGTCACAGATCTCTCGAGAATCTGTTGAATTTTTGCGATCGCCTGCTACGGTCGGCACAGCGCAAAGTCGGGGAGGTGGGTGGCTTTGATGAGCGTTGCGGGGCGTCGGGAGAGGCTTACGTTCGCTTAACACGTAGTCGTAGGGCTGTCGCGAACAATATCATCCATAATACAGGGGGGGGGGGGGGGGTTGTGGGTTAGATCGCTTAAACATAGAGATAAATGCGTCGTTAAACCCGCCGCCACCCGACACGGCCAATTCGTAAGGTTTGTCACGTGAACAGAACGTGCCAATTCGTTACTAGCACAGCACACCCGTGTGTTGGAGAGCAAAGCCTCAACATTTACAATCTCAGCACCAAGCCGCAACATTTACAATCTGAGGCTTACGTTCACACGTCGCACCAAAGCATTCACTTTGCGCGCTACAGATGGTGGCAGCGGTTGGGAATCGAACTCAGGTTGCTCAGTCTGCGGCGCAGTCCTCTGGCCACTGGCTGCGACGCTCCCCCCCCCCCCCCCTCCTTTAGCATCGTGATTCAGGCCAGCTCATCTAAAACGTCATTAAAGCCATCATCATCATAACAACCCGAACGAATCGGTGTCCAATTACCTTTGCGGGTGACTCTACATTGCGAACGCCCCCCCCCCCCCCCCCCCCCGGCATACGAAAGTGGAACATTTCGAACCGCTACCCGAAGACGGGGTGAGAAGCGGCCTGAGCCGAGCGCTTTAGAGATCAAAGTCGCGGGGCGGCGGGGAGGGGGAGGCTGAACGCGCGCGGCTCGGGCGCTGAGTGATTCGATCTCCGCGGGATTCCAGCGAAATCCCATCGTGCCGGGTGTGGCCAAGCGTCACGGCGAGGGCGTGGCTCGGGTGGACAGGTGGACGGGTGGATGGCTGGGTGGGTAGACAGGTGAGTGGGTTAGGTGGGTTAGATGAGTGTGTGGGTGGACAGAGAATTATGTGGAGAGGTAGGGGTGGAGATGGCCAGGCGGGTGGGTAGGTACAACCGGTGGGGGTGTATGTGGGCTCGTGTATAGGTAGACGCGTGGACGAGTGGGTAGGTGGTTGGACACGTGGGTGGATAGGCAAGCAGGTACGTGGGCATGCTGGTGAATAGGTGAGTGGGTGCGTCAGCACATCGGTGGGCGAAGCGGCAGCTGTACAGGTAGGTGAATAGGTAGATGGATGAGAAGGTAGATAGGTGGGTATGCAGGTGAACATACGGGTGGGTGTTTAGGATGGACGTGAGTGCGCGTGGGTAGACGTACAGATGCGTGAGTTATGTTGGGTTGACAGGTGAGGGTGACAGGTGGGTGGGGGCGGAGGTAAGCGACGGAGAGAGGGGGTTGGGTGGGAGCGGCGTTGGGGAGGGAGAGGGGAGGGAGAGGGGAGGGAGGGGGAGGGAGGGGGGAGAGAGGGCGTTGGGGACAAGTTTCTCCCGGGGGCTGCGCGAAGTCCAACCTCGTCACCTGCGCGACCAAGGGTCGCGTGGATTACCTGGCGAATGTACATCCGAGCGGGCGACGTCACGCGCAGTCAGCGCAGTGTAACGCGCAATAACACGGCGTAACTCGCGTTCCAAGAGGTCTAATGCAACAGCCACCTGAGTTCAATTCACGGCCACGGCTAACTTCCTTAACTGTCCCGGAGGGGGGGGGACACTTCACCAGCCCCCCATTGAGTGGCGTGGTGAAGTATGGCCAAATGAAGAACCCCCGCGATTGACACGGCTGCGGATTGGCAAACGGCCTGTTGCTTTCTTTTGAACAATAAACATTGTTATTCGAACAATATTTTGAGATTCAACAAATGAGTCATTCTTCGTAGCCGCCTTGTCACCCGGGGTTGGTCTTCGAGTTGAGAATACTCGGAGTGTCACACGTAGGCTTTCGCGACCAATATTATTCATAATATTATTAATAAACACGTTATTACGAATAATGCTGGGAGTGTGCATTATTTAGTTTTCTCTCCGGCTTTCGCCACGCACTACTGCGGGCAACTTCGGGCGCCGGGGGAACATTTAAGATTGACAATTACAGCAACAAACGGGCCAACAAAACACAAACAACAACAACAACAACACCCGACAACAACCAACATTGACGGTGGAATCCACTGCGCGAGGTTACACTCTCATTCCGCGACGCGTGCTCGGTACAGGAATGCGATAAGCGGAGCGCCCATTAAGGCCGGCGCACGGCCACGTGTCGCTGTTCGTGGTTGTGGATTCATGAGCGTCAGTGGTCACAAAGATCACCCAAATAGCCTCGCTATGGGGGGGGGCAAGTGCTGTTAGTGAGCACCAATAATGGCCGGCGCGGTACACGCCCGGCCGCCTTTGTCTTCCTCCGATGCTGATGTTTACACAACGCACCGCGCAGGTAACCATTCAAGGGCAGGTTCAGATATTCCTCACGGATATTGGTCGTGCGAGCGGGAATCTAACTCGGGTCGCTGCACTATCGTTCCCCATGTGCACGTGTGACGCTGTCACACACACACACACGCAGACCCCCCCTATAGCTGGAACAGACCCTTGGGGCAAGTGTTGTCAGCGAGTACCATATGAAGGCCGGCACGGTACACGTGGGGGTTGGTGGCCAAAACACTTCGCGCGGCCGCCTTTGTTTCCCCCAGTGGCGATGTTTACACAGCACACCAGGGACTCATTTGTGGCTGAGTCGACCTAGGGGAGGCCCACGACCGGTTCAGATAATCGTCACCGGGTGTTGGCCGTGAGCAAGAATCGAACTCGGGTGGCCGGGTTCGTAGCGGAGCGCGCTAACCGCTGCACCACTGCTGCCCCCACACATACACACACTGAGCCTTGCCCTGGTGTCACTGTTATAGCCCAGCTCGTGAAGATGATAGATGCACGTGCGGACCTGTGTGTGACCTCTCCCGGTTACACGAGAGAGAGAGTGAGATGGGAGTGAACGTGACACTGACCACGGTGATGTCAAGGGGAGGACCAGGCGGGTTGCACGTGCCTGTCTGACACGGTGGCGTGGTGCTGCTGCTGGTGGTGGTGGTGCACGTGGGAGGGACACACGTGGCACGGGGAGGGTTGATGGGTGGTGATGGTTGGAAGATGACGGATAGGGGGGTGTCTGTCCCATCTCCCAACCTCGGGACACTAACCGGGTTCTGAGCCAGAGCAAAGAAGATTTTCTGTTATAAAAACGCGCAGGCGAGTTTGAACAAAGAACAGCTCGTCTGGGAGTCAGATCTCCAGAATTGGATTTCGATTTTAGAAGTATTTTTTGTTTTCATGAATAGAGGGTGGCCTAAAAGTTAGGACACATCGGCATTATTTCATTTATTTGAACACTCATGTAGAAAAATGCTTATTCTTAAAGGGAATATTTGATACATATTTATTCATATTTTATTTCTTCCTGTAAGGGTCACATCCAATCAGTACCTTTATAATGGATGAATGTTCAAAGATTACAACTGAATTTTTATTTCAAAAGCGAAATAATGTGTGCAGGAAAGTTAATGAAAGTCAGTTTGAATACCTGTTATAATATTCAAATGACATCACCCAATGTGACTTGTTAAAATAAATGTAACCCTGTGTCCTGTTTTTGGGCCACCCTCTATGTATGTATATAACAGTTACTGAGCACAGGCACCAAAGCAGCCAGAAACAAAGAGCGTCAATGAAGCGAGTGATTTGTATGAAATTCTTGGTTCTTTCGGTAAAGTCAATAGAAATAAAATAATAAAAATAAAACATAATTAAATGAAATTCTCACGACGTTTCGGCCATAACACAAGTAGCCTTCTTCAGGTGAAGGAACAGAACTGTCGGGACGACAGCGCTACAATTGAAGCGCCCTCGTCCCGACAGATGAATCCCTGCAGTCACGAAAGCTTTAAATCGTGATTTGTATGAATCAATGAGTACTGGATCGTCAATCAGCCTATGACATTAATTAGCAATTAATTCAGAATGCAATTTTTTTATTGGATATATATACTTATTGATGAGCGTCTATCGTTCATTAATGTTACCTGCCTGTGCGTCTGCCTGTCTCCTCTGTCTCTCTGCACCCCCCCGCCCTCCGCCTCTCTCTACTCTAGGAGCGGCCACGTGTCCCGACCGAGCCAAGGGCCTCGTCCCGTGGCGCCCGGGCCACAACGCGAGTCTCCGCGCGGACATCGGCCCCGGCCAGGCCCTCCTCCTCGTGGCCTCCGCCTCCTTCCACTCGGTGCACGTCCACGGTGGAGGTAACCGAGAGAGGGGGGAGGAAGGGGAGGGGCGGGGTGGGGAGCAATGGGGGGAGAGAGAGAGGGTGGTGGTGGGTGCGAAGGAATAGGGGAGTACACGCAAATGCACCTCCATCAATAAAACGTAATAATGATAATGTCAACTTGCAGCGTGCCGCGCAGTCATTCAACTCAAGCTCACAGAGAGATGCAGGCGAGCCACGATACTGCCTCCACAGGGCTGGATTGCATGCAGCCCACGTGCATCAGCGTAGCCACCACCGCCCCGTGAACGACGTTCGCAAGCGGCACGTGACCCGCTCATGGTGCCTCGCCGTGACGATTCTATCCCGCGGTCCCAGGGTCCTCTTTCCCGGGCACCGCTCTCTTGTCCGCGGTGCCCCCTGCTCTCCGCTATGCAATCTGCGTTCCCTATCGGAGTCGCATAGACGGCGCATGCATGGCGCGTGCGTTTAATCCACCGGGAAACCCGTCCGCTTTAGCTCCACGTGGCCGGCTGCTGCTGTCTGTCTGTCTTGATGTCTAAATGATTTTTTTTCTCGCCGTGTTTTTGAAACGTTTAGGTAATGTTTTGGATTTTTTTGTTTGTTTGGAAGTCGCCCTGCTTCGGTTGACTGAAGAGTTCGCGCGCATGCACGCACACACGCACGCACACGCGCGTGCATGCGCGCGTGTGCGTGCGTGCGTGTGGGCGTGTGCGGAGCGGTAGTGTAGCGGTTAGCGCGCTGCGCTATGAACCCGGCCATCCGGGTTCGATTCCCGCTCACGGCCGACACCAGTGACCATTATCTGAACCGGTTCTGGGCCTCCCCTAGGTCGACTCAGCCTCAAATTTGTACCTGGTGCGGTACGTAAAAACATCGCCACTAGGGAGACAAAGGCGGCCGGGTGTGGTGCTGGCCACCCACCCCCTTATGTACCGTTCTGGCCTTCATAGGTGCTCGCTAACAGTACTTGTTCCAACAGTCTGTTAAGGCTATACGGGGGATCTTTGTCTTTGTGTGTGTGTCCGCGACTGTGTGGGGCGACCCGAGTTCGATTCCCGCTCACGGCCAACGGCAGTAACAAATGTCTGAGTCTCCCCTAGGTCGACTCAGCCCCAAATAAGTACCTGGTGTGGTGTGTAAAAAAACATCGCCACTGGGTAAATAAAGGTGGTTGGGCGTGGTGTTGGCCACCCACCCCCTGGTGTGCCGTACCGCTCCTCATAGGTGCTACTCGCGAGCAGCACTTGCCCCAACAGTCTTTTAAGTCTATACGAGGAATCTTTGTCTTTGTGTGCAGTCCCGTGACAGTGTAGCCGTGGTTAGCGCCCTGCGCTACGAACCCGAGTTCGATTCTAGTTCACAGCCGACATTTGTGGCGATTATCTGAACCGGTTATGGGCCCTCCCCCTTACGTTGACTCAATACATTAGTCCCGCGTGCGATGTGTAAACACAGCAGCTTACGAACAGCGCTTGCCCCGAGAGTCTGTTGAAGGCTATACGGGAAATATTTTGATCTTTGCCTTTGTGCATTCCCGAGTGCTGTCTGTCGCGTTGTCGAGAGTTTGATCTTTGATCGTCACATCGTCATCACCATCTGTGACAGAGACACTTCGCAATTTCAATCAGGGAAAACATTCGGAAAGGTTGTCAAACATACAGTGGATATCATCTATTGTTGAATAAATAATAACAACAATAATCATCACCATCATCATCTGTGACAATTTCACTCAACTACACAAAAAAACCAGGAGCCATTGGGGACGATTGTAAAGTATTATTAAATACAATCCGTGATTATAATTATCGTCGTCATCGCCATCTGTTGTCCATTACATCGAGCAAGAAGACAAGTCCCCTTCCCTGCCTGTTCAGTTTATTTCTCCGTTTATTTATTTTGGTATAGCCCTGTGAGCCATTCGGCTCTTGAATCGGGTGCAACCACAACAAACAAAAAAAACAAAAACACGAACAAGAAAAACATCTTAAAGTGACTATGTGTGACTGTGCAAACAGAAAATCCATGAAAAAGCACAGCAAAATATTCCTGAAAAAAGCACCGTACACCAACGCTGGAGTGGGGGTGGTAGTGGGTGGGTGGGGGTGGTAGTGGCCTTTGGCTGAAGTTCCGTTATTAGTCTCGGCCAACCTAATCCCTTCAGAATCAGAAAACGTATTTATACTGGAGGAAGTCCGCCGAGGTCTCTTGCTCTCAAGCTTGTTTCACGGATGTCCAGTGGGAGATCGGTGAGAACAAGCGACGTGTCCTCCACAAGCCAAACAGCACCGAGCATGCGCCCACGCCTGCTAGAAAGTGTCCCGGCTTCCTGCGATAGACAAGGGAGATCCGGGCTCTCTGCATCACTTCAGAATGCCCCTCCTCGGTGAGCTGCCCGGGGTGGGAGAGGGTGGGATGGGGTGGGATGGGAGGGGGTGGGGAGGGGGTGGGGAGGGGGTGGGGAGGGGGTGGGGAGGGGGGGGGATACAATCGGGCACGGGCTGCCCCCTGCCGTCTACAACGACAAACGGCGACAAAAAAGTAATATTTAAAAAAAAAACTTTTTTTTAAAACACACTTTAATAAAATGTACCGTACTAGTAATGGCAGAACTCCACGACTCCAGGAAGTCGCCACCGAAGCTTGCCGCGACGTAAGGGGACCGTGGCCAATTACAGCCAACGTCAGTTGAGCGTGGACAATTAGACCCAAGCCGAAACATAACATATAAAAATGTTTTAAATTTTTTTTTAATGATAGAATATAGCATTGTCATCAGTATGACATAAGTATACCGAGTTTGCAGTCGAAACCACATTGGGAAGTGGCTTAAAATTGAGTTACAAGATTTGAGGATACAGCGACGACGACAACAACAACAGAGTGAGTTAAATAACATCGTGTAAAAACCACCACGTGTGGTTGAGCGGACGACGCGTGCCTCTCTCCTTCACGTACGGTCGTTCTCTCCGGAGCCGGGATTACCCCATGGGCCCTCGTTCATTTGTAGGGCCCCCATGTTTGTGAGGCCCTCCTTTAGCCTCCCCCCCCCGCCCCCATTATTTACTGACGTAACAGCTGAGCGACGGATAGATGCTGCTACGCGCTATGACGGCATAGGCCACCAACGCACAACTTCCGGCGGATAGATCGATGATGACGACGATCATGGTGCAGATTGTGACAACGATGCTGATGACGACGACGATTACTCGTGAACCCATCTGACTGGCCCTGTGTCCGTCCCTCGTGCAGGAAAACTCGTGATCGCCGACCGACGGGACGAGGCCATCGTGGTTCGAACTCGCTCCATCCTCATCGAGGACGGAGGGGAGCTCCACGTGGGCAGCGAGGACTGCCCTTACCTGGGCAGCCTGACCATCTCACTCTACTCCAGGTGTGTGGGATGTCATTCGGTTTACCTGGGCAGCCCGGCCATCTCACTCTACTCCAGGTGTGTGAGATGTCATTCGCTTTACCTGGGCAGCCCGGCCATCTCACTCTACTCCAGGTGTGTGGGATGTCATTCGCTTTACCTGGGCAGCCTGACCATCTCACTCTACTCCAGGTGTGTGAGATGTCATTCGCTTTACCTGGGCAGTCCGGCCATCTCACTCTACTCCAGGTGTGTGAGATGTCATTCGCTTTACCTGGGCAGCCTGACCATCTCACTCTACTCCAGGTGTGTGAGATGTTATTCGCTTTACCTGGGCAGCCCGGCCATCTCACTCTACTCCAGGTGTGTGAGATGTCATTCGCTTTACCTGGGCAGCCCGGCCATCTCACTCTACTCCAGGTGTGTGAGATGTCATTCGCTTTACCTGGGCAGCCCGACCATCTCACTGTACTCCAGGTGTGTGAGATGTCATTCGCTTTACCTGGGCAGTCCGGCCATCTCACTCTACTCCAGGTGTGTGAGATGTCATTCGCTTTACCTGGGCAGCCCGACCATCTCAATCTACTCCAGGTGTGTGAGATTTCATTCGCTTTACCTGGGCAGCCTGACCATCTCACTCTACTCCAGGTGTGTGAGATGTCATTCGCTTTACCTGGGCAGCCCGACCATCTCACTCTACTCCAGATGTGTGAGATGTCATTCCCGTTAGCTGGGCAGCCCGGCCATCTCACTCTACTCCAGGTGTGTGAGATGTCATTCGCTTTACCTGGGCAGCCTGTCCATCTCACTCTGCTCCAGGTGTGTGGGATCTCATTCGCTTTACCGGGGCAGCCCGATCATTTCTCTCCGCTCAACATATCCACCTACTCACTCTCTTTATGAACTGGCCACGATGCCACGTGTTAATGATGACACGTGGGGCTCAATTTGTCACTAAATAGGTTGCGGGCCATTGATGGACTGGCGGATAGGCACGCGATCGGTAACCACAGCCAAGAGGTATCCTGGATGCGGTGTGCCGGGCGTGTGTTGTGCCAGCTCATTGTCTCCTGACCCCGTAGCCCCGACCTTGTCAGCTCCGTGAATGTTCGTTCCTCGACGTCCGTAGGTCGGACGAGGTGACGGAGGAAGCACACCCTTACTTCGGCCTCAAGTTCGTGGGAGTGGGACGCGGCGGTACCCTGGAGGTGCACGGAGCGCCAAAACTCTCCTGGACCTTCCTGAACGGCACCGTTCACCCCGTGAGTCGGCCCTTCCGCGCCGCGTCTATGAAGACGCGACCCCGACCCTGATGATGCGCGCTGTATATGTGGAGTTTGCGCGCGTCTCTCTCTCTCTCTCTCTCGCCGTGGTCGCGGGGATTTTCCCTCTGGATCCTCCGATGTTTCACGCCACATTTAGACTCAACATTAGGCGTTTAGAGTATTTGTCTGCGATACATTTCCACGTGATAGACGGGGGATCTTTGTCACCACGGAGCGCTCCGACTTGCTTTCGGGAGATTCCACGCGCGCTACCACCCTTGAAAACTAAACTAAACTATTTTTTAGTTTCACCAGGTGAGGCACACTGAGCTATGCAGCTCTTTCTCAGAAGCGACCTGGTCGCAAATGACAGCTCAAGAAAGTGGCTGATCATCACGTGGACATTTAGAGCAGCCAAATACTCTGAACGCGTCATGTTGATTCTAAATGTGGAGGGAAAAACCGGGGGACCCCGAGACAAATCCACGCGATCACGGGGAGAGAGAGAGACGCAAACTCCAAATCTACAGCAAGCGTCAGATTCGGGGTCGAACCCACGACCTCCTGTATACCTGGCGAGGGAGTTAACATCTCATAGCCACCGTGGTGCTCCATGTGCATTTCATTTGTCTGAGCTGGGTGGAGGAGGGGCGTACGACACAACGGTGGCACTTTTTACCTCGACCTGAGATTGCAACGTTAAAGACATGAAAATCGTGTTTGATGTTTAAACCGCACGTGCGTGCGCCGCTCCGCGGCTGTCCGCCCACCGCAGCCTCCGCCGGGCGAGGAGGCGGCGGCCGGCGGGAGCCGCGGGAGGAGCGGCAGCGCCGCCGTGAAGAGCTACCGCCTCGAACGGAGCTGGGGCTACCGCGGCATTGTGGTGCACGTCCTGGACCACAACACCGGTGCAGTGCTGTCCGTAGACCGGTGAGATGCGATCTCCCCCCCCATCTACCACCCCCCCCACCAGGTCTACCCCCCACCTCCCCCCCCCCCATCTACCTCCCCCCCCACCAGGTCTCCCCCCCACTCCCATCTACCTCCTACCCCCAGCTTCCTCCCCTCCCCCCACCAGATCAACCACTCCAACCCCCTGTCCCATCCCCCCCCCCCCGATGGCTGTTGCTGTTTGTTGTTGTTGTTGTTGATGCCATTGTTGCTCCAGTTGCTGATGCTGCTTTCTCTTTTGATCTTGTCTTTGTTGTAGTGTTGCCGTTGGTGTCATTGTCATCGTTGTTGTTGTCGTTGTTGATGATGTTGTCTTTGTTGTGGTGTTGTTGTCATCGTTGTTGTTGTCGTTGTTGATGATGTTGTCTTTGTTGTGGTGTTGTTGTCATCGTTGTTGTTGTCGTTGTTGATGATGTTGTCTTTGTTGTGGTGTTGTTGTCATCGTTGTTGTTGTCGTTGTTGATGATGTTGTCTTTGTTGTGGTGTTGTTGTCATTGTCGTCGCTGTGACCATAAAAGTCGTCGTTTGTCACCGACGTTGCTGTCTTAAATTTGCTATCGCAGCCCTCGCTGTTGTCTTTGTAATCATCACCATCATCATCGCCATCACCAAACTCATCATCACTGTTGCTGCTGCTATTACCATCACCGTCATCCTACTCCATCATCATCATCATCATCGTCACCACACTCATCATCACTGTTGCTGCTGCTATTACCATCACCGTCATCCTACTCCATCAACATCATCATCGTCACTAAACTCATCATCACTGTTGTTGCTGCTATTACCATCACCGTCATTCTACTCCATCAACATCATCATCGTCACCGAACTCATCATCACTGTTGCTGCTGCTGCTATTGCCAGCGGTCACGATCATTACAATCACCGCCATCCTACTCCATCATCATCATCGTCATCGCGTTTGACCCTCCGACCTCTCACTCCCCGCGCCCCCCCCCCCCCCCCCCCGTCAGCTTCGACACGTTCAAGAGCCGCGCCGAGTCCCGCCGCCTCGCCTCGCACCTCGACTCGCTGGCCAGCGGCCGCGTCGTCTCCATGGCCGTGAACGACGACGGCGGCTCGCGCAACCTCGACGCGGCCGCGAGGGTGGCCGTGCAGAGGCTCGGCGGTCGCGCCGTGGGCCGTCTCGCCTTCCGGTGGGGCGCTGCGCCGATTGCACCCCGGATTGCACCCCGCATTGCACCCCGGATTGCACCCCGGATTGCACCCCGGATTGCACCCCGGATTGCACCCCGGATTGCACCCCGGATTGCACCCCGGATTGCACCCCGGATTGCACCCCGGATTGCACCCCGGACGAACGTTCGGGTTGGGCGTCGCGCGTTCGCGGGGAGCTTAGAAGCGAAGAGGTTTACGCGCTCGCTCACACGCGCGCGACGTCAAAGAATCACCCGAATCTCCTTAACGGACAGGTTGGGGTTAAGGGCTGAGTCGACCTAGGGGAGGCCCAGGACCGGTTCAGATAATCGCCACTGGGTGTTGGCCGTGAGCGGGAATAGAACTCGGGTCGCTGTGTTCGTAGCGCAGCGTAGCGCTAACCGCTACACTACCGCTCCCCAACACACACACCCACACACGCACCCACACAAACACCCACACACACACACAACCACACACCCACACACACACCCACACACACACCCACACACACACACACCCACACACACACACACCCACACACACCACACACACACCCACACACACCCACACACACACCCACACACACCCACACCCACACACACACCCACACACACACACTCGGTAATTGTCGGTCCGCCGTGCCCGTGTCGTTTGTCGGATCAGGCAGCCGTGGGCGTTCGTGGCCGTGAAGGGAGATCCCAGCTCCGCCGTGGAGTCTCAGGGGACGACTGCAGGTAACCCAACTCCCTCGAGGTCCCCGCTGGGTCCCTCCAACTCTCATAGCTGCACCTTTTGCATGCCGTATAATGTGGGGGGGGGGGGGCGGGGGGCGATGCATAGAAGTGCTTGGAGAGGGAAGCCACCGCTCGCTCATTCATTAGCGCAAAACGAGGCTAGACGTGTTCACAGGAACAGATCGACGATCCCACTTGCTCTTCTGCTCACCTTGCGCCTTTGCGAGTGCCGTGCGGCAAGTCCTCGTCTAACGCGGGAGATGCGTTCCCGAAAAAGTGCCGCTTCAAAGGGTTGGTGGATTAAGCGAGGGCTTACCGTACACCGTACAGCAAGATTTATATATATATTTTTAAAAAGGCTGACGGAGGATGAGATAATGGCACTCGAAATGTATTGCATTAGAACGGATTCTGCATCTAAGCCGGACCCAAAGAGTGACCAATCGTAAGGACAAGTATGCACGTGGAGGAAGACAACCTGGTGATGATGATAATGCAGGCAGTGATGAGAAGGAGACTGGCACTATTTGGACGCATTGCGCAGGGTGGACAACAACTGGGAAATTAAAATCGTGTTGTTCGCACAACAATGGGAAGGAACCGCAGAGTAGAGGAAGAGAGAGAATGGCTCGAGGACGACGTTGTCACGAGAAGATCGCTGCCAGAAAGACGTGGCACTTACTTGAGCCGCATTGGCGCAAGGCAGAGGGAGGAACGTGGAAACAACAATTGATGAAATGTGGAGCGGACACCTCCTGGCCCATGGATCGTGATGATGATGATGATGAATCTCTCGGTCAGTAATCCACCAACCCTTTGCCTCCTAAGCGCTGGATCAGCACGGCCGAGTGACGATACCAGCTTGCTCTCTCCCCAGACCCCCACTCTGAGTCGAGTCCTCCTATTCAACCCCCCCCCCCAACTCCATCGCAGGGACTCTTGTGTGAGAGTCTCGCAATTACTTTGCGCCACACGCAACGAAATCCAACTTTAAACGATTCGAGAAAAGTGCACGCCCTTAAACGGCCAGCTGGTGGCACTATTACATCAACCTAGCCCCCCCCCACCAACCCTCCACCCTGGCCTCCTGAACCACCTGGCATTCAGAATACTCCTGCTTACCCGGACCTATTGAACTTCTTTGGCTCTGTACGTAACCAACCGTGCAAGTCCATAGCTGTCAACCCCTTATCGGTGCCTACCTTATTTACAGACCAATTCAGACCTCATTGGTCACCCCGTGCCCCTTATAAATCTCAACGTTCATTCCACAAAATCCCATCACACAAAGAGACAGACAAAAGTTGCCCGTACTGAAACGGCTGCACGCCGTATGGACCTGCAAACTCAATTTCCCTGTACCAGAATACGGGGTAAACCCATACGGGTTGACTGCGACGCTAATCGGTGGAAGGACACCAAACTAAACACAACATCTGGCCTCGTGTTTCGTGTGGCAGCGCCGTCTAAAGCCGGCCACGGTGGCAGCCCCGCAACTCTTACTCTGTTAGCTGACCTCCTTTACCACCTGCCCTTAATGTTCAATATTACCTAACTCGTGTTCATGCGCAATGGGCAATGTGTGTACGGTAATGTGTGTGTATAAGTATATATGTAACGTGGGGAAGCGGTAGTGTGGTGGTTAGCGCATTACGTTACGAAGCCGGCAGCCCGCGCGTTCGAGTCTCACTCGTAACCAACATCAGTGACGAATATCTGAACCGCATCTCGGGCCTCCACCTAGGTAGACTCAGCCTTTAATGGGTACCTGGTACCGGTGGTGTACACATCAGAACTGGGGAGACAAAGGCGGCCGAGCGTGGCGTTTGGCCACCCACCCCCTGGTTGTGCCGTGCCGGCCTTACAAGGTAGCACTTGTCCCCAACAGTCCGCTAATGCTAGACGTGGGGGGAATCTTTGTCCGATAGATATAGATATTCTAGATTTAGATATAGATATTCTAGATATAGATATAGGTATGCTGTAATTGTTATATACGACTGGAGGGTGCAGTGGTTAGCGCACCGCGCTACAAACGCGGTGACCCACGGTTCTCCGGTTTCCCCCAACGTGAAACCAAACACTAATTTTGCGCAATTGGGCAAACGTCGCGGGTCCCCGAACCTAACACGAAATCAAGAGACCCAAAATGAGGCTCTTGCAAGGGTCAGTCACAAAATTGGCTTTCTCATTTTGAATTATTTGCGTTCATGGCCTTTTGACGAAACGCTCGTGTGCGATAAGTATTTGTTTATTTAGTTGTTATAAGTTCGTGGGGAGGGGGGGGGGGGCGGGCGGTTTGTTGTTGTCCAAGCCTTAACCTTGAGTGTAAATATTCACAAGCCACATCCAACAACCGGTCATCGGATGACATCTCAAACGTGTTAACGCTCGTCAGGCCCCACGGTGTGAACAGGCGCAGCCTTCGAAACTCCACTCTCGCCTCCCTACCGGCCTCTCTGTTCACGTGCCGCGAAAGAAGGGGCCCATCGGCCAACGCGTCAGCTAGCGGATACGTCGATCTGTCGAGGCCAACCGCGCGCTGTTTATTGACGCGCGTGTCCACCCGTTTGTCGTTCGTCATCGTCATCGCCGTCGTCGTTAATGAGTTCAATAACTTGCCGCGGCAGGAACCACGGGTCGAACGACGGCGGAGGTGGCTAAACTCTTCCGCACCGCCGCCGGTGACCTCTACACGGTGTCGACGCTCAGCGAGTGGACCCAAGGTAAGGTTGGGGGGGGGGGGGGGGCTTCCACCGATACATCCCAACCCAGTGCCGGATGACGTTAGCGTGGGGCCTGTAGCATTTGTTATAAAGGGGCCTGAAATAAAAAAAAAACACGTAAATATTGAAACGCACAAATATTTTAACTTGCATAGTAAAGTAATTGTATTTTTTATTTGTTAGACAGCCAGATAATACGACAGTCGTTAAAAATAGTCAAGGCGGTACGCACAGAGAGCAATCGCCCTCACGCGATGCCCGCAGCTTACGTCCCTCACTTAAAACAATCCCAATCTCTGCTCCCCCTAGCCCATCATCCTGCTACTACTGCTACTACTCCCTAACCCCCAGCTACGACCAGGCCTACCCGAACCCCTATCACTACCGCTATCAAATACCCCAACTCCTGTCACTACCCCAACCCTTATCACTGCCAAAGCCCCTATCGCTACCCCTGCTGCTTCAGGAACCCACCCAGTAAACATAGCCAAGTTGGCTCGTGTGGCTGGAACTGTTTGACCAACGCTGGCCCAACCTTCAGTGTCTACTGGGTACTCGTAGCAAAAGTATAACTTTCACGTGACTACTATACGATCAGTTCTCACGAGCACACAATGTGATGCGTGTATCACAGGGGTCGGGAACCTTTTTGACTAAGAGAGCCATGAAAGCAAAAAATTTGGAAATTTATTTCAGTGAGAGCCATATAATATATTTTAAAAGTGAATTCAACTAAATGTCAGTATAATAAGCCTCTGAATTTATTCTTTTAAATAATGTTGTTATAACACTCACCATTAATGCGACTTCTGGTGCTGCATGGATTTGCTGATGTCATTGTAGTCAGGTTGGTACTTGGTGAGGTTAAGCTTCATGCAAGCGTTGAGGCTTTCATCCGTTAAACGTGATCGTAGGTTGGACTTGATGTTTTTAAGATGTGAGAATGACTGCTCACATGCATACGTAGATCCAAACATGGTCAATACAGCAATACTCACACGCTGCAGTGTGTGGTATGTGACAGGAAGCGCGTTCCAAGTTTTGAGAATCAGCTGGTCTTCGGGTTGGAGTTTTTTCATTTCTGTCCACATGTGCTTGCTCGCCAACTCCGCTTTCTGTCGTGTGATTCTTTCCAAATCTTCATTCAGTGACTTGAACTTATTCACCCACATGTCTGAGGCCTTCAGGTCAGCCACTTCTGCTTCAAAATCTCTGACGGAGACACCAGGGATGTAATTCAGGTCGGCTGTGTTCAGTGAACACTCGTTTGGATGGGTGATGAACTTAAAAAGACGAGTGTGCTCACGAAATTCTCCAAAGCGTGCTTTGAAGGACTGTAGGAGACTGGATGTGCAGCCAGCTAGCTGGTGGAGATCAAGGTTTTGAATGGGCTCACTTGCTGTGCATGCATCTTTAAATTGGCTCAGTTTTTCAAAATGTAGTAAACGACCTGTTTCAAGATCCGTGATGAAAAGCTCCAGCTTGTTTTCAAAAGCAAATACAGCTTGTTGAAGGGATAACACTGTATTTCCAATGCCTTGCATTTTCACGTTGAGCTGGTTCAGATGTTCAGTCAGATCTACGAGATAGTAAAACTTGAGGAGCCACTCGGTGTCGGCTAGCTCAGGATGCCCGACGCCTTTCATTTCAAGGAAAGTCCGGATTTCGTTCAGGCAAGCCGCAAAACGGCTAAGCACCTTCCCTCTTGACAACCAACGCACATTGCTGTGCAAAAGCAGACCAGGATAGTTATTTACAACTTCATCCAGCAGTGTTTTAAACTGGCAATCATTTAAGGCTCGGGCAACAATAAAGTTGATCACACGAATGACCAGCGACATCACTTCGCCAAACTGCCTGTCACACATCTGAGCACAAAGTGCCTCCTGGTGTATAATGCAATGGAAACTTAGGATGGGTCTATTTTCATGTTCACGGAGAAGCGCCACAAATCCTTTGTTTTTCCCCACCATACACGGAGCACCATCAGTACACACTGAGAGAAGTTTATCCATAGGTAGACTTTTTTCTTGAGCAAACTCCATGAAAGACTTGAATAAATCCTCACCTCTTGTGGACCCTTTTAATGGCAGAACAGCAAGACTTTCTTCGCGCAGTGTGTCACCAACAGCATATCTTGCAATCACGCTGAACTGCGACAAATGGCTCACGTCTGTTGACTCATCCAAAGCCAGAGAAAAGAACGGCGCTGCATTTATGTCCTTCACTTGCGTTTCCTCCACTTTGTTTGCCATCACGATGGTACGATCATGAACAGTTCTTGCCGACAGAGGCATGTCTTGTATCCGTTTGATTATCTTGTCTTTGTTCGGAAGATCATCAAAAAGTTCATTGGCTACATCCAGCATGAACGTTTTAGCATACTCGCCATCTGTGAATGGTTTTCCGTTCCTCACTATTGCTAAAGAACCAGCAAAGCTAGCCGAATTATAGTCACCTTGCCGGGTCCATATGCGGAGTTGCTGCTGGCTAGCTTGCACCCTGCTCAGAAGCTCTTGGCACGCTTTCTTTCTGCTGTCTCCCGCAGGGTATTTTGATGCAAAGGTAGCGTGGCGCGTGTCGAAGTGCCGCTTTACATTCGACCGTTTCAACTATGTAATTTTGTCATTGCAAATTAGACACACCGCAGAACCCGCTCTCTCCACAAAGGCGAATTCTTCGGTCCATTCGTCCTGAAATGTACGATACTCGTCGTCTTTTTTTCTTTTCGCCATCTTCTTCGTCGAAGGGTTAGCTTTGAGCTAATGACCGAGCAGACGCAGTCTCAGACTGATTGAAAAGGGGGTGTTTACCTGTTTTACCCAGCAACGGCAAACGTAGGCCAGTATCATCCAATTAAAATAATGGACAATTGCTCCTGCAGCCCTGAACAGGACATGCGCAGTGAAAAATCGATGGATGGATTAAAACAAGTGAGAATATTTTGTTTTATCTGCGAGCCATATGCAATCATCAAAAGAGCCACATCTGGCTCGCGAGCCATAGGTTCCCGACCCCTGGTGTATCACATTAACCATTTAATTAATGTGTAACATACCAACACACATACGTCGCAGGCGTATGTGTGTAGGTATGTATGTTAAACTTCTTTGGCACCGTACGTAGCCAACCGTGCCAACCGTAGGTGCGGGGGAGGTGGGGGGACAACAAACTGAAAACAAAAAAGCAGTTCTAAAGAAATGAGTTTTTAATCTTTGATTTAAAAGTGGATGGCTCCCAGTGTCTTCCTCCTATCGGAATGGCGGTCACCACAATGCACTTGGCTAACTACGGTATTGTGAGTGGGCCGAGTCACTCATCGTGCCACGTGCACCGTGGGGAACGTATTTCTTGCTGGTCCGTAACCCTGCGCCGTGTCCCCTGTCACCGGGAGACGTGGAGTGGACGGATTGGTTCAACCGGGACGACCAGGGCGGCACCGGCGATTGGGAGAATCTCTCGACCCTGAGGAGCGAGAATCCCGGGGCCATCTGCGCTCACCCCCTCGACATCCAGGTGAGCCCACAGAGTTCGCCCGTGCCGCGACTCATGTGCCGTGCGTTTGTCCGTCCGTCCTTTTATCCGTCCACTCGTCCATCCATCCACCCACCCATACGTCTGTCCATGAGTCAATTCACCTTTCGGTTTATCCATCAACCTTCCTGTCTCGTCCGTCGGTCCATTCGTAAATACACCAATCCATGAGTCCGTCTATCCTTCGGCCCGCGTAAGCCTGCATCGAGCAGTAGATAGACCGCGGCTGACGATGTTGACGTTGACGATGGTGGGGCCGTGCAGGTGACGACGCTGGACGGGCTTCCAGCCGAGCTCACGCTCCAGGGATTCCACCGCAGCAACCGGGCCTACGGCTTCGCCTGCCGCAATCAGGACCAGCAGGGCGGCCGCTGCCAAAACTACCGCGTCCGCTTCCTGTGCGGCCACAAGGGTGAGCCAGTCGCACACATTGGTGAGCCAGTCAAACACCGGTATGCCAGCCACATAGCGGTGAACCAGCCACACACCGATGAGCCGGCCGCATCAGAAAGCCAGTCACACACAACCGCATTGGGTTTTTTGTTGTGCGGTCATTGGTGACCTGACTGAGAACATCAACTCACCGCACTTCAAAACCCAGTTTCAGCACGGGCGGCCGAAACCCGGATTTCGAAGTCCTCGGCGGTGCCAGCTCAGCGTCTCTGACCTCGCAGCCACTCGGCCACGCTGGAGAAACAGAATCATGATCAGAATCTTTATTTCGACTGCTGGAGGAATCCGATGAGCTAAGAAGCTCTTTTTCACAGATGTCCAGTGGGGCACGGGGGCAGCGAGTCACGGAATGCGAACTGTGGCGGGTTCGCCAGCGACCGTGCCGGGGACCGGTTCGTCACGGTCGCGCGCGTTGTCTGACCGCAGCTCGCCCGTCGGTGCGGGTCATGGTGGAGCCGCTGTCCAACGCGACGGTGCTGACCCTGGCGGAGGACGTGCGGTCGTGGCGCGCGGGCGAGCGCGTGGTCGTGGCGAGCACCGACTTCTCGATGCACCAGGCGGAGGAGTTCACGCTGCTGCCGTGCCCCGAGTGCACCGCCAACCAGGTCAAGGTGGAAGGTGAGGCCACCTCGCTCGCGCTTCCCCAGCACGTGGCCCCGTTTGTCTGTTTATGTGTCTGTGTGTCTGCGTGTCCGTGGGTCAGTGTGTCCGTGGGTCTGTCCGTGTGCCTGTCCGCGTGTCCGTGTGTTTGTGTGTCCGTGTGTCAGTGTGTCTTCTGTGACTGTACGTGGGTCTGTCCGTGTGCCTGTGTGTCCGCGCGTCCATCTGTTCGTGTGTCCGTGTGTCTGTATGGGGATCGGGGTAGTGTAGTGGTTAGTGCACGCGACAAACCCGCCGGCCCGAGTTGGATTCCCGATCCCGGCCATTTCCAGCAACGTGACACGACCGACTGAACCGGTCTCGGACCTCCCCTAGGTCAACTGGGCCTTAAACGAGTACCTCGCGTGGTGTATAAACATCAGCACTGGGGAGGCAAACGCAGCCGGGTACGGTGCTGCCCACCCACCCCCTCGCGCGTTGTTCCCGCGTTCCAAGGTCCTCGCTAACAGCCCTTGCCCCTTCGGTCTGCTAAGGCTATCTCGGGGGTGGGGGACCTTTACCTGTGCGTGCGTGCAGGCAAGCCGCGGTTCACGCACGTGGGCGAGGTGGTGGACGGCGTGGACATGAGGGCCGAGGTGGGGCTCCTGACGCGGAACGTCGTCGTCCAGGGGGAGATGGAGCCCAGCTGCTACGGGGACAACGCCTGCCGCTTCTTCTCCTTCGACACGTTCGGCGGGCACATCAAGGTGCGCGGGGGGAGGGGGGGCAAGGTGGGGGGGGAGGCAAGGAGGAGGTACAAATGACAGTAGACAGGCTGAACACCACAACACCACGGTGTCGAGATGTTACGATGTCAACTACCTCGCTCTTGAGAAAAGAGCTGCATAGCTCAGTGGGCCTTGCCTGGTAAACAAAAAAAATAAGTTCAGTTTTAGTATTGTGGGGGGCACGCATATTCACAGCCTCGACTCAAACATGTGCGGTTGAGACTTCTTCTGCGCTGTCGTGAGTTGATGAGCAACGTTTATTTGTTCGTGGCTGGGCAGAAACGGACCGTACAACGACTCACTGCCCCGATCCACAAATACGAAGGAGACATCGCAGTGACGACGATACCACTCCGCTACTCCTGACGCGGTTGTCTGGCCTTGGCCCACCTGCATGTGAGACTGTAGCCGTTGCTCTGCCATTGACACCAGCAGCCGTACGGAAGACGAAAAAGGGGCTGGTGAGCGAGCCGTTGCTCGGTCTCATAAATGCAGCGGCGGTTCCTGTCTGGTCGTTCGGTTTGAGATCGGGGACAGCTTTGTGTTTATGCACATATGTTGAACTTCTTTCGCACCGCACGTAGCCAACCGTGCTAATCGGAGGTGCGGGGGGGAAGGGCAACAAGCTAAACTAACAAAAAAACTGTCATAAAGAAAAAGAGTTCTCAATCTAGATGATTTAAAAGTGCACAGCTCCAGTGGCTTCGGAAGGGAGAGCGTTCCCGACGGCCGCAGACGCGCCTCTGAAAGTTGAGTTTTCATTAAAGAAATTCGTTTCACAAACTCATTCATTCACACCGTGCGGCTCCTCTCAATTTCCCATCAGCTGCGTACCAGACAGCCTCACCTGCCGCGCGACAAACAACTTTGGCTGAGGCTGGAAAAATTGCACCTCGTGACCTCCCGACCCCTGTCACCGCCCCCCCTCCCCCAACCCCCTTGGCGCAGATGGCCGAGGGCTTCAAGGCGTGCCACCTGGAGGGAGCGGAGCTGCGCCACATGGGCCAGCAAACCATGGGGCACTACCCCGTGCACTTCCACGTCGCGGGGGACCTGGATCAGTTGGGGGGCTATGACCCCCCCACATACGTGCGGGGCCTCTCCATCCACCACTCCTTCTCCCGCTGCCTCACCATCCACGGCTCCAGCGGACTCCTGGTGGGTGGGCCGCCGCTGCCGTTGTTGCGCTCACGTGCGCACCCACTTGCCTCCCGCGGCAAGCCGATGGCGTGATTAGGAAATTGCAGGGCCGCGCCTTTAACCATCGCGTTGCGACCGCGATAATTAAAAAAGATGCATATACATATTTGACAACAAATATCTCATGGTAATTTTGAAATATCGTACAACGACAACGATGAAGACGATGACGGCGACGATAATGACGGGAGCCTTCGCGCGTGCGACGCGCGTCACCGCAGCGATGGGGCGGACGAGGGTCGATAGATCGACGATGACGACGACGACGACGACGACGGACGATGACTCGGGACGATTGTGCGCGCCAGGTGAAGGACGTGGTGGGCTACGACGTGCTGGGCCACTGCTTCTTCACGGAGGACGGCCCTGAGGAGCGCAACACGTTCGACCACTGCCTGGGCCTCGTGGTGCGCGCCAGCTCGCTGCTGCCCTCCGACCGCGACGTGCGAATGTGCCGCACCATCCGCCAGGACGCCTACCCCGGATACGTGCCGCGCCCGCGCCACGACTGCACGTGAGTGGCGCGCCGAGTGGAGGGGGGGGGTGTGGGCGGTAGCCGTGGCGGTTGATCAGTTTGCGATGGTGATGGTGACGATGATGGTGACGATGATGTTGCTGGGAGGTCACGCCAGGGCTTGTTTGGATTGGGAGGGGTCGTCTGTGGAGCTGCGCGAATGTTTGCGTGTGATGGAGAAAAACTTGGTGGATGGGGATTGTGGTCATGATAGTGATCTTGATAATGATTTATCAACAGTATTTTCATTTAACAATGGTCATTGGATGATGATGATGTTTTGCCAGTGGTCAGTGGATGACGATTATGATCATGAACCAATGGGCAATGCATTTTACAATGGATGATGATTGTGATGATGATGTGCGACTTCGGTTAAACATTTTTGTTCACAGTGATGAGGATCATTCGCGAAGTAAATAAAATTATCGTTTGCGTTGTGCGCGTGTGGTGGTTTCTGCTCGCAGCGCCGTATCAACCTTCTGGCTGGCAAATCCCAACAACAACATCATCAACTGCTCCGCCGCCGGCTCGGAGGTGAGACTTCAAACATCCGCGGTCAAAACATTCACAATCGAAAAACGCCTGCTCTCCGTAAAACGAATCATGCAGGCATTGCACGGCTCGTAGAGCAGTCTACGGCTCGTCAAAGCATGTCGCGCAGCGCACTCACGTGTGGAAAGCGCGCCGTGGCGTGCGTGTTAGGGGAACGTGCGCGAGCTAGAGACGTCAAATTGTCCGTGAAGACAAGTAAACAAAGCATCCGGTGATGCTGCTGCTGCATTGGCATTGGTGCACACACACAAACGAAAAGAGATGTGGACGGCGTTGGGGGAGACATTCATCCAGCAGCAGATCGATCATAGCTGATGATTATGGCGATGATGACGTTGTGCGGGCGTATGTGTACAGGAAGGAGTGGTTAGCGCGCTGCACTACGTACCCGGCGACCCGAGTTCGATTCCCGCTCACGGTCAACACCGGTGACGATGATCTGAACTGGTCTTGGACCTCCCCTAGGTCGACTCGGCCTCAAATGAGTACCTGGTGCGGTGTGTGAACATCGCCGCCCGGGAGACAAGCGGCGGCCGGGCGTGGTGCTGGCCACCCACCCCCTCGTGTGCCGTGCCGGCCTTCATAGGTGCGCGCGAACAGCACTTGCCCCAACAGTCTGTTAAGGCTATGTGTGGGGGGGTGGGACCTTTGTCTTTGCACAGGAAGGAGGTTTCTGGTTCGTGTTCCACCACGTGCCCACAGGGCCGTCGGAGGGGAAGTACGCTCCAGGCTACACCGAACACAAACCCTTCGGCATCTTTGCCGACAACCGGGCGCACTCCAACTACAGGGTGAGGAGAAGGAGAAGCCGAGGGGAAACACCCTCCCCCGGGCTGACACCAAAATTCAACAAACGTACGCAGCCGGTGCGGCTGAAAGTGCCGAGAGCCTGAGCCGGCGCCGCTGCCGATTGCTGGGTGCGGATCTTTTCGTGTCCAACCGGGGCCCAGCCGCGATGAAGCCAAGGTTCTCGAGTGGAGTGGTTTTGCGGGATTGAGCCGGGTTGCCAATGGCAGGCGCATAGGCCCACGGACTTGAACAGAGAACCGTGACACTCACGTAGAGACCGATGGACCCCCCCCCCCCCTTTACGAATTATTACACTCACACAGAGGCCCATAAAAATCCACAGACTCACGTAGACCTGGCCATGATCAAACTGGGTTCTCAAAAAATGTAGAGTTGCTGATGGTCTCAGCTGGTCACGATTGACTGAACTAAAATACAAAAAACACAAATTCATCTTGGTTCTTCAAATTCACCACATTCCATCTGAGAACTTTAATGAATTAATACGTGCACGTATGAGTTTTGCCAGCGATGTGACGGACATTTGTCTGCTGATGGGCTTGTGGGAAAGTGTGTGGCCTAGCATCTAACTTGAAATAAATATTTTGAAGCGGACAATCGATTCTTATCAGCACAATTCAGCGTCCGTATCGTAAACACCCGAAGTAATTTAAATCTATGAATGATTGTCGACCTGCTGAAAACACGGTGCCATTTCTGCCACGAGCCGGCGATCACGTTTCCAATGTCAACTGACCGCGATGAATAATAATTTGCAGGCAAACAAACATCGGACGGCATCGTCTCGCTCCTCGATGTTTCCAGCAGGAAACGAAATGAATTGGCAATAAGCGACTGATGGCGAGAAACGTTCAGAAAATTAGAATGCAATCTGCCTCCTCTCTCTCTCTCTCCTTCTCCCCCTCCCTCTGGGTCAGAACCTCTCGCTCCAGCCCGCCGTGTCGCAGCGATCCCACGGGCTCGGCCGACACGCGCTCTCACACACGCGCACGCACACACACGCCCAAGCACTCGTCCCTCTCCGCGCCGTTCACGTGTTGCAGCTTGATTCTATCGAGCCAGCGCTGGCCGTTCTGTCGTTTCAATTGTGGAATGATTACAGGACCCAATTATTCACCCCCTTCCCGGACGTTTCGGGCAACGACCCCTCCTCAGAGCGCATAACTAGAAAGGAGCGGTGCCGTCATCTCGACATGCAAAGCGCACGACGGTTCCTTCCTGTTTTGCGCTTTCGCCACGCCCCAGCATGCTTTGCATGTCATTATGACAGCACCGTGCGTGCGTGTGTTCCTGCGTGCCTGCTGCAGGCTGGGATGATGCTGGACCACGGAGTGAAGACGACGAACGCCAGCGAGAGGGACAAGCGGCCGTACCTCTCTCTCGTGAGCGCACGGTAAGCGTCAACGCGGGACGCCTCGCTGCAAGGACGGTCCGGGTTCGATTCCTGATCCTGGAACTTTTCTGTCTGGAATTTGTATATTCTCCTCCTGTTCTGGATGGTTTTCCTCCGGCAATCTCCCATCTGTTCCTCCAAAAATAAAATAAAAAAGCGTACAATGTGAATATCGGTTCGAATTTGCAACAACAACAACATAAATTTACCCACAAATGACTCACATAGCGATCATCGCCCCTTTCTGGCAGACTAATGCCCCCAGGTCACTGATGCAAATGAGGATTAGCCTGGGAGTCCTCACCCTGTTAAATAAGAATAAACTTGATCATATTCACCAGAAGGCCCTCCCTTGAGCGTATTAATGATACGTATGAGTGCAAATTGTTTCAGACGAGACGTTAAAAAAAGGTCACTCTGCCCTCACGTTCGGCTCATTCTGAAACGGGGGGGGGGGGGGGGGGGGAAATCACCCCGTTGCGAGGCACGCGCGATGGAGAGCGCAGGACGCGACTTGCGACGATTCGTGACTGAAGCATTAGGCACGCCAATTAAGCGTGTGGCCGTTTGCCTGATCTTTTGGTCAATGTCGAATCGCGTTCCCGCGGAACGTTCCCGTTTAAATCCCTCCCGATGTATCTCATTTCTGGCGCAAGTCATATTGGGAAAGTGAGTAGCAGCCCTTGGAAAGAAAGCAAAGATCTCTTTTGCGAAGGGGAAATGTTCAGAGATCGGTTTTCAAAAGGGCACACCGATTGCGTACGGATCAAATAATTCAGAACGTGGTAGGAATTATCATGTGCATTTATATGTAATATATGCATCAAATGATATATTATTAATATATAAATGAATGACAAACCAATGGACGTGGGACATGATTCATGGCTACAATGCGGTTCAACTTGCAAGTTTCCCCCAGGGGTACTATACAATTAACAAAAAGACTCCAAAATCTATTTCCCAATCAATCCAGCTGAAATATATACTGACTCAAAACTAAAGCCAGCGTTTGTGTTTATTTCGACTCTGGTTCCCCCCACCCCCGTTCCCCCGCATTACGCACAGTGAGTCGATGATCCTGATTTGCGACTCGATTAAGGATCTAATTTATTTGTCTCGGTTGTTTTGTTTAACGCTCTCGTTGCAATTGTTTTTCGCGATTTTTGTTTGCATTATTTTCGTCTCGTTTGCTTTTCGTTCCCACGCCCACTGGGCCAAACGTAACGTCGCCGCGTCGTTAGCGCGGCCGTTATGTCGCTTACGTTCGTCGGCGTTTTTTGATCATCAGGAGTGGAGGAGACCTTCGGGGCGAAGGTTTTCATGGCGTCAGTTTTTTTGCGTTCGTCAAAAACGTTTTTTTGTTAACTATCGCGCCGTTGTTGTTTTTTGCCGTCTCTGGCGACGGCCGCAGCTATGGCCCCCACGTGGACGCCGATCCGTTCAAGCCGCGGGTGCCGGCCCTCATCACGGGCTTCGTGGCCTTCCGCAACCAGGAGCACGGGGCCTGGCTCCGTGGCGGGGACGTGTGGCTCCGCCACTGCCAGTGAGTGAGACGAACTCGCACGCGACGGCGGAGGTGCTAATCCGCACCTCCGATTGGCATGGTTGGCCACGTACGGTGTGCGAAAGGAGTTCAACGTGCATGCGCACGTACGCAGAGGCCCGTGGGCGAATGAGATTTTTGCATAACGAGAGCCGGGTTAGCTGACACCTGCACAATTGAAACCTGAGGAGTTGAGACCTGGGATAAGAGGAGACACTTGAGTATAGGAGACCTTGGAGACTGGTATCTGCATAACTGGTGTCTGGTCGCTCAGAGCTGGGTAACTGAAAGCTGGATGAATACAACCTTGGAAGCAAATAGCGGGACGAATGAGACCTGGCTGATGGAGACCTGGTGGCTGGAACCTGCGTTACTGAGACCTGGTTACCAGGCGTCTGCGTAACTGAGACCTGAATGAATGAGATCTGGATGGGTGAAACGTTGTTAACTGAGACCTGGGCGATGTAGACCTGGTTAATGGGACCTGTACGTATGAGACCTGTCGAACTGAAATCCACATAGCTGGTGTCCATGTAATGAATGTATTAATATAGATAATTGTTGTGAAACCGATCTCCGCAGGCGATTCAGCTTTCCGTCAGAGAGCACCAAAAAGCTTGTTTTGTGATTGAACGGCGCCGTCGTTGGCAATATTATCGACACAGCGTGGTGACCGTCAAATCCATCCCTTGTGCACAGCTCGCCGATTAAACATCCTCGTGCGCCGGTGGCTCTTTTCATCCGAACGCCCTCCCAGTTTGCTTCCACGTTGAAGCTCCGCGCTCGTAGAACCGCCACCCTCCCTCGCTCGCGATCGCGTCACCAGGAAGGAACCTCGTGCAAAAACCCCAGACGCGCTGAGGCATTCCCTCGCCGAACAAAGGGGGGCAGTGTTATTGTTGTGATTGCGATTGTTTTGTTTTCGACGTCGAGCAGCTGCTGCTGCTGCTGCTGGTGATGTTATCTTGCCGGGCAGCCGGTTTAGTGCAGGGCTTTCAGATCGTTCAGGTGGAGCGTGTTGAGACTCTCCACCCCCCCCCCCCCCCTTTGAGACCCCCCCCCCTTGAGACTCTCCACACCCCCTTTTGAGACTCTCCCCCCCCTTGAGAATCCCCCCCCACTTGAGATTCCCCCCCGCTTGAGACTCTCCCTCCCCCCTTTGAGACTCCCCCCCCCCCCCGTGTTGTCTCGTTGCAGATTTGCAGACAATGGCATCGGACTCACTCTTGCCAGGTAGGCAAATGCCAGCACATTTGAATGTTTCATTCGTATTTAAAATGTTGGCATAGGCTTTTTTGGTATTTTAAACATGTTGCGTGCGATTACTATTTTAATTCCAAATTCATTCACATATTTGCATTTCTTTAAGTTCACCGTCTCGTATTATTTTGCGTCGAAATGTGGTCGCACGTACATGCGATGTCCACGCAAATCGTATCGCGTTATCTCATTAGTGTATCCGCCATGCTTTCGCTGTAACTCTGTGCGTTGTGCACGGGTGCCGTGCATTCGATCTGCGCACCATGAAGAAGGGTCAGTGCCTGGAACGACGCCTATGATAAAAAAAATTTTAAGGCCACGGAGTTATTGACGAACGTTGACATTTTGCGATTGTTAGTGGCACGGCTATCAGGTGCGCAGGCGGTGCAGCTGCACTTCGGCTCAACTGCCGTGGGTGGGGGTGGGGTGGAGGGGGGGGCAGGTGCCGGGCTACAAAGAGGGGAGGGAAAAATTGAACGGGGGGGGCGGGGAGCTCATTTAATTCCTCACACAGAGCCCATGCCAACCACGGCTACGCCACCGACTCAGGGACATATTTGCTAATTTGATGGATGTAATATCATCACCCAAATCTCCCTTGGCAAAAAGAGACTTCTGGTCTCACTGTATTCTCACCCAGCGTTGAATGAACAGCATGACAGGTGTGACTTACATACCTGCCTGCCTGCTCGCCTACCCGTCCGCCTGTCCATCGACGCGTGAGTTTCGCCCGCGTTTTGCCGCGTGCCGCCATAGCGGGGGAACGTTCCCGGATGACGACGGCTCGAGGCAGGAGGTGGTGGACTCGCTGTTCGTGGGCGAGAGCCACAACCGGGGATCTCGCGGCGGCGGAGGAGACGAGTTCTGGGGCCCGGGGAGTCTGGACCACCAGGGGCGCACGCTGCCCCGCGGCATGTGAGTGGCTTCACCGGGACCGCCGTGGTGCTCGTCCGTCATCACCGCAATCTTCACCGCGGCAGTAGTCGCACAGCCAAGAGAGGATCTCGTCGATGGTCGCTGCGTCGAGATTATTTTCGAATTTGTTTCCCGCTGTAAATGTCCGCATCACAAGCCACTTTTGTTGAGCTGTTCGCCCTCCATTTCCCCGCGGCGCCATCCAGTCGTGAACTGTGTTGTAATGCATGTACGTACGTTGAACTTATTTCGCACCGTGTTGTAGCCAACCGTGCTCATCGGAGGTGTCGCTCGCACCCCTTCCCCATTGTTCCCCGTTGTTCCCCATTCACCATTGTTCCCCGTTGTCAAACATTGTTCCCCGTTGCCTCGCCCCCCCCCCCCGCCCCCCCCCCCCCCGCCGTGCGTGGGCAGCACGTTCCCCGTGCGTGGGCTGCAGGTGTACGACGGGCCGCTGCGGGTGGAGCGCGTGACCTTCCGCCGGTTCGCAGCGCTGGCCGACCGGCACGCGAGCGCCATCGGCTTCCGGCTGAACAACGCGTGGCAGAGCTGCCCCAACAACAACCTCTCCGGCATCGTCTTCCAGGACGTGCCCGTGAGCAGAGACGCGACGACGCGACGCGGGAAGGGGGTGGTTAGGTGGGGAGGGGCATCGTCATGATTGTGGTGCTGATGTCCAGTTACGATAATGGTGATGAAAATGGACATGATGAGGACGTTACGGATATATGCTGAACTTCTTTCGCACCGTGCGTAGCCGACCGAGGCGATAACATCTTAATAGATAGAGGACTGCAGACCTTGGCCAGTTGTTGGTAGCACCAGCTCACTGCGTGGCTGCTGCCTTGGCACTCGTCTGCGGTTCCTCCTCGCGCCCCTGAGTCGTCCTCTCTCGAGAGCGAGCCAATCTTCTCCCCCGACGCGGGGGCCTCCTTTCCCCATCTTTCACCTCCCCCCTCCTTTCCATGGCTCCGTTGCGTCGGGATTGTCCTCCGTGTTCGCGACACCCGGTTTACGGGCGCGCTGTACCGGGCTCGCGTTTTGTTACAGCCAAAAAAATAAACCATCATTATTACTCCACCGTAACGATCGCCACATCTCCCAATCCCCCCCCACCCCCCCGCCCCCACCCCCCTTGCACGGTGCGCGGGCCCAGGCGGATTCCCGCGTCTTCTTCGGTGAGCCGGGGCCCTGGTTCCGGGACATGTCCATGGACGGCGACAAGACGACCGTGTTCAGAGACGGCGACGGATCCGTGTCGGGTTTCCCCGGCGCCTTCCTCGTGAAGCGCGACGACGCGCTGCTGCGCCACCCGGACTGCGTCGACGTGCCCGAGTGGCGCGCGGCCGTGTGCAGCGCCAGATACGCGCAGGTGATCGGCCTCGCCCGCCCGCCCGCCCTCGCTTCTCCTGCCGGCCACATTCACGATGATGTTTACGCATTGCACCAGGCACTCGTTTGAGGCCGAGTCGACCTAGCGCCCATGTACAGGCGCCCAAGTGTACACAAATCTACGCGCACGCACAAACACAAGCAGACGCGCGCGCGGACACTCGCTTCACGTTGCCTTCCTCGTTGATCCACACGAGGAAGCTCTCCCCGTCGCTGTGCCTGCTGCCGCTGATGCTGTTCGCTGCTCGCTGCCATTCTCGCCGCGGCGCTCAATTGCTGCCGCTGCCTTTCGCGTCGCGGTGCTACCGCGGGCGGGTACAGGTTTACATCCAGGCGAGGAGCCCGTCGGACGGGCGGCTGTCGCTGGTACGGGACGAGTTCCCCGGGCAGGCGCTCACGCTGGAGGGCGCGCTTGCCCGCGGGCTGCACTACCAGCAGTACCAGCCGGTGCTCATGCTATCCAAGGGGTACACGGCGCACTGGGACACGCGCGCCCCCCACGAGCTCACCGTCTGGCTCATCAACTTCAACCTGTGAGTGGGGGAGGGAGGGGGGGGGGGGAGGTGCTTGGGGTCAGTTGGTGGGCCACTACGGCATGTACGGCAAACATACTCGGTAGTTGTGGCGCCACGAACCCGGCGACCCGGGTTCGATTCCCGCTTACTGTCAATACCGGGGACGATTATTTGAACCGATCCTGGTCCTCCCCTAGGTCGCCTCATTTGAGCGCCTGGTCGCAGTGTGCAAACATCGCCACGAGGGAGATAGAGGCGGCCACCCCCTCGTGTGCCGTGCCGGACTTCATACGTGCTCGTTAACAGCACTTGCCCCAAAAGCCTGATAAGGCTATGAACCCGGTGGCCTTATATCAATTGCCAGCCATTGCTAGCATCATTTGTGTGGTCTTGAACCTCCTCTAGATTGACCCAGCATGAAATGCCTACCTGTAGTGGTGTGTAATCATCAGCACTGTGCAGGAAGTTTACTCTGACAACACGTTATGAAGCTTAACAAAACCCTTGGCCTTCGCCTTGATCGATGATGATGATGATGAGACCATGAGACTTGAAACAACTACGGGATCTTACGGAAGGAAGTGACGGGCGGATTATAGAAGGAAGTGACGATGACCTCCCGACCTCCGCCTTGACTGACAGAATCCCGCGTGTGACGTCGCGCGTGCGTCGCTGACTTGCCGCGCTTTCCGTGCCAGTAACGACTGGGTGCGCATCGGCTTCTGCTACCCGCGCGGCACGACGTTCAGCGTCCTGACGGACGTGCACGACCGCCTGCGCCGCACCACGCAGCGCACGGGCACGCTGGCGCGCGTCGCCTCGCTGCAGCGGCTCGAGCACCCGCCCCGCGGCGCGCACGCCTCACCCTCCTCCTCCACCACCGGATTCTACTTCTTCGACGAGGACACCGGGTGAGTGCGGGACGGACGCACGCACGGACAAGCAGTCTTTTGCTTTCTCGACGGCGACACTGCATGAATTGATGGGTAATGACGGACGGACAGACAGACGAACAGATGTACGGACGTACTGATGGGTGTGCGGACAACGGGTGTATGGATGGACATTACATCGGGCTCATCCAGTGACCCCTTTCGACGAATCCCCTTTGCGGTGAGCGTAGCGGCTGCAGGCCGAGGTTCGGCTTCTCGCAGATTAAAAACCCGAGTGGGAATGAAAGCGCCGATTATCGCTCGCGCTCGCTCGCTCGTGCAGGCTGCTGTTCCTGCGGCTGCAGGCGCAGGCCCCGCGGGAGGGCGACGCGTTCTGCTCGAGCCGCGGCTGCGAGCGCGTCAAGGTGAAGGCGAGCCTTCCCGCCGGCGCCGGCGCCGCGGCGGCGGACTGTCGCGCCAGGGCCTACCCCAAGTACGCCGAGCCCCCCACGGTGGACGTCCCCATGCCCAAGCGGCGGCCCAGCATCTACGCCGACGTGAGTCCGCGCGCATCGTGCGCGCATCGTGCGAGCGTGCGCGTGCACGTGCGAGGCAGCGTGGCGGTTAGCGCGCTGCGCTACGATCCCGGCAACCCGAGTTGGATTCCCGCTCACGGCCAACACCGGTGACGATTATCTGAACCGGTCCTGGGCCTCCCCCTAGGTGGACTCAGCCGGTGCGTGCGCAAACGCTCGCCCGTTCGGTCGTTCGTTCATTCGCCCCCTTCGAGGAGGCTCGGTTAATAGAACACCGGTTTGCAGCCTTGTTGGACTCGCGGATTCACGTGAAGTCGGCGTAGTGAGTTTGATGGGACCGCGAGCGAATGCGGAGTGTCACGCAGGCATTTGCGGATTTCCCGTAACTCGATGTATGCACGGTGCAAATGAAACAAGCACCCTTGACGCTTGGGGAGGTAGGAGCGGAACAATATTTTTTCACGATTAATCATTGAAATCAGTAATCTCAATCATATTCGAATAACACATGTAAGAGTCGATGTTTTTTTCCCATCGGTGTTTGTAATGGATTCACGTGACACCCTGCGATCATGAAAACACGATTTGATGCTTGAAACATAAGATTAAGAATCTCAATTAATTGTCCTTAGGGGGTGTAACGACACCGTGATGTCGTTACACCCCTAAGAACGATGATTTGTGATTGTGATCATTTTGGTGATGGATGATATGAGTGAGTGACACGGTAGCGGGATGTTAACTCCCCCGCCTAATGTGCAGGTGGTTGTGGGTTCGATCTCAACCCTGACGCCTGTACATTTGAAGCATGTGTGTCTCTTTCCCCGTGGTCGCGTGAATTTTTCTCCGGGTCCTCCGGTTTTTTCCCTCCACATTTAGAATCAACGTCATGCGTTTTGTGTATTTAAAATGGGCCTTACCTGGTAGAATACCAAAATAGTTTATTTTGGATTTGAAGTTTTCGTGACTGCAATGATCCATACTCTTTGGTTCTTTCGGAAAAGTCACGTAGGTAAAAAAAAAATAGTTTAGTTTAATTTACATGGAATTGTTCCCTTATTGTTCATCTTGCAGAGTTGGCCGGGCAACTTTGTGGAGGTCCAGGTGGAGTCTGCGAATTCGTGGCATCCCAGCCCAAAGCACAACTATGCCACCACCACCGTGAGTTCTAATTTTGTTCATCCTTCACTTAAATTAAACCCACGCTGCACGTAAAAATGTATTTCCCGCTGAGCGCATACCGTGTCAAGCCATACTGTTTACCCCGTATTCTTGTACAGGGAAATTGAGTTTTCAGGTCCATACGACTTAAATCGTTCCACGTTGTCCCCTGTGCAGGTAAACGGCCAGGCATATTACCAGCTGGAGGATGGTCTGCAGGTGATCTCTCTGAACGGCTCAACGGGCACCCTCGTCTCTCGCCGCGTCTTCAAGGCCTCCCAGCTCCGCTCCATCCCAACCTTCCTGCTGTACCACCTCACTCACAACGTGCCGGACGGGTACGCCGGTGACGCGCACTCACGCGCAAACACAAAGATCCCCCGTGTAGCTTACGTAGACCGCCGGGGAAAAGTGTCGTTAGCGAGCGGCCATCAAGGCTGGCGTGACGCAACGATAGGTGTGGCGTTTTTGCACCGCACCAGATGCTCATCTGAGGCTGAGTCGACCTCGGGAGAGGGCCCATGGCCGTTTCAGATAATGGACCACTGATGTAGAAATATTTCGGATTGATTCGAAAGAATCCGAATGTCGGGAGCAGATCCTCAGCGCTGCGCAGAGCACCATGTGAACATTCAAACTAAAACTAAACTATTTTTTATTTTACCAGGTAAGGCTCACTGAGCGATATAACTTTTTTCAGAGGCAATCTGACCACAAACAATAGCTCAACGAAGTGGCTTATCATGCGGAAATGTATAGCAGCCAAATACTCTAAACGCGTGATGTTGATTCTAAATGTGGAGGGAAAAACCGGAGGACCCGGAGCAAAATCCACGCGACCACGGGGAGAACGTACAAACTCCAAATATATACGGGCATCACGGTCGGGATTGAACACACGACCTCCTGTATACCTGGCGAGGTAGTTAACATCTCACCACCGTGGCGCCAATTCTCTCTCGCTCTTCTCCGCAGCTCTGTTGTGCTGGTGACCTCCAAAGGGAAGTTCGTCACGGAGGACGGCAAGTGGAAGAAGGCTCTCGCAACCATCGGGGTGGAAGCCGGAGCCAAATACCTGGGTACGTGCAGCCATGCGGCGAACGTCCCAACACAAGCACTGTTTGCAGGTCGCAGGCTTCCCCTCCTGGTGTAATGTTTAATTTTCCCCATCGTCAAATCATCATCTTCATCGTCCCAGTCAGATAATTGACTCGGCCCATCATCCCTCCAGGCTCTGTAAAACAGCGAGTACCACTTTTCGTGGGGCAAGTCATCAGGAAAGACTTGCCCCCTGCCACCACCATTTTTTTTATATTTACTTCAAGCGTAGATTTACAGAATACGTCAGGTGCGGAGGTGGAGCAATAAAATAATTGCATGTGCCGGGTGGATTGTGACAGCGCAGGACCGTAAGAGGTGACGGCGCCGGCTTCTGGAGTCCTTCATCCAGCAGCGGATTGGTCATGGTTGACGGTGGCGATAACAATTGCAGGCTAGATAAAATAATAGATCACGACGTTTCGATCGCAACAACAAGCGACTGTCTTCAATTGTAGGCCGTTGCCCGTTCGCGTTGTACGTGTACGCACGAACACCGCCAGTAACCGGCGGCCTCGCCGTCTTTCGATCGGCTTCAGGGTCACGCTTCGCGGCAGGCGAGTTGCTTGGTCCCCAAATAATGAGGGGTCGTCAGCGACGATAGATGTAGGGCTGAGAGTCACTCGAGTACAAACCAACCACCGATAACCAACCCACTGGCAATGGGTGGCTCGCACGACGGGCATCGTCGTTCAAGCCTCGCGCACCCAACGCTGTCCGTCGTCCCGTTGCCTTTGCGCGCAGACAAACTGGTGCTCGTGGGTTTCAAGGGCGGCTTCCGGCCGGACTGGGTGAAGTTCACGAGCAGCAAGCACCACGCCAAGATCCACCAGCTCGTGTCCGTGCCCGTGCTTCGGAAGCTCTCCACGGCGTCCAGCGTCGCCGAGCCGCTGTGAGCGACGCCATCGTCGAGTTGAACTCTGACCCCTCCCACACCCCCCCCCCGCCCCCAGTCCCCAACCCCCAGCTCTAAGGCAAAAGTCCACTGATGGCTGAGTGAATGTACGATTTCGTGGAAGTGCTGAGGGCGTCGTCGTTTCGCGGACGATTTTGTTGTTGTTGTTGCTGCGCGCGGACGGAGAGCGGTGACAAACGTGCGACCCACGCGGGCGGGGGTTTTTTTTATTACGTGCACTTGCGATGACGAGGTGTCCCCTGCGAGGAGTGTCGATCCGTGGGATCGCGATCGTAATTGGGACGCGGACGACGCGGCGCAGTTAGGATTAACGAAGGGCGGGATTTCCCAGACGCTGGTGCTCGCGAGCCACCGCAGTATTCACGTTTTACCGATGTTCAGTGATTCGGATACAAACGTGGCTACGTACCGCACACGCCCGATGATTGGTAAATGCGCATGTAGACGTGTCGCGCTTGATGTTGCGGAGCGCCGGTTCTGATTCACGTCATCCGAGGTGGAAGCGGCACTCTCGACGGCAAACACGGAAGCGTGTCTGCTGATCATCGGGCTTGTGCGGTGCGTAACGAGTTAAACGGACAGTGCATGGAGAAGATCGCTCAATATGGGAATGCGGACAGACTGCGTGCGGCTGGTCGCGAGGAGTAGAATTCGCGAAACCGCCGGGGGTAAGGTTGGGATTTGTTGTTGTGAGAACAAGGACCGGCCATGTTGGCATTGTATCTGGAAGGTAAGCGAGTTGTTTTCCATACAAGAGCCAGGGCTTCATTTCGTCTGGGCCTTCTGGGTCAGCGCTTGTGGCGACTTAAGTCACGCGCCAAAGAACTCCAGTCTACCAGCGACCCGGATAGTATCGAGTGAGATGTTTTAGCCCTGATTAAGGGGAATGTGGTGCGTTTAAGTGAATTCTGAACAGTGTACATATACGGTGCTTCATTGCAGAGATCTGTTGAGCTAACGCGTAGAGCTAACACGACACTGATGCACAGAACCTACTGTTACAAACAACGACGGAAAAAAAACCTGCAGCATTGCGTTAAAATTCGGTTTCATTGTTCATTTTCGATTCAGAAGAGTTGAACGCAATAGTTAACTATCGGTCATCTTTTGCGACGTCGGGATAATTATATTTAAACATCACTCTGTCGGTCAAAACCTTCACATTAGCCAGGTGATAGCTCATTGAGTCTCTGAAAAAAATCACCCAGAATGACCGCCCGTTCTCATCACATCTCGGAACTAAGAAGAGTTAAAAAGACGGCAGTTCAGGAAAGTACATTGTTGTACTGTACTATTCTCCCACGTCTATGGTCCTTTCCAGGGCTTAATGTCAGCCGGACCTGTCTGGTGGCTAAGCTCCAGAAAATAATTCCCCACCCCCTCCCCCCCCAGCCTTTTTCTCCACGCTCATAAGGGGCGGGGTTTGGGGGGCAGCGGTGGAGGGGGGGGGGGTGCCCAGGAAATATTTCATGGAAAAAGATTAAGCCCTGCTCCTCCACCTTCACTATCCTGCACTGACCGTCGTGGTAAAGTATGCTCAAACAACCCCTATAAGCCAGCCTTGGCATGCGGAGAATCCTCTCGTCCAGCGGTGGATTCGACAAAACGAACTGGACACACACACTAAAACTAAACCTCTTTTACCGGGTAAGGCCCACTGAGCTATGTAGCTCTTTTTCAGAAGCGACCTTGCCACAAATGATAACCAAGTGGCTCATCATGTGGATGTTTTTTTTAGCTCTAAGCACATGTTGATTCTAAATGTGGAGGGAAAAAACCGGAGGACCAGGAGAAAAATCCACGGGACCACGAGGAGAGAAACACGCATACTCCAAATATACAGGCATCAGGGTCGGGGTCGAACCCACGATCTCCTGTATACCAGGTGAGGTAGCTAACATCTTGTTGCCGTGGCACTCGCACGACGATAGAGAGACCGCGGATTACGCCGGATTGACAGCCGAGCCACGGGCTCTCCGTCCCGACTGGATCCGCGGGGGTTTTAGCGATCGGAGCTCAAGATAGCGGCCGGATTGAGCCTGTTGCCCAGGCGACTGCGTCCGGTCGGTGGCCGGTTCATGAGAGAATCGAGGCGACTCAAGTGTCCCCGGCGTCTTGGGGACAGCCTGACCGTGGTGCTAGCGCGGCGGCGTAATTGCTGCCCCTCTCACTCGCTCTCGCTCGCTCTCACTCATGACCGTCGTATTCACCTCTCAGATTCTTCCTTTGTGTGCTTTGCTTTATCATATTTTGTGAATGCGTGCTTCTAAGAGGTGGTGGGGCGGGATCGAGATGTGCAAATTGTCGAGCTCGCCCCGTTTACAAGTCGAGTCTTTGTGTGGCGGTGTCATCGTCATTGTGCATTATTATTTATACCGCAGCTTCCGTTGCCGTACATCTCAGTGGAAGTGGCTATGGAACGTGCAGGTGGTGCAACTGCACCAGGGCACCAGAGGCCAGTCTATGACAGAGGGTAGGGGGGGGGAGATTGGGTATAGGGCCCCACACATTTCATTCCCTGCACCAGGACCCATGCGAATCCTGCTTCTCCACTGACCGACTGTATTCATTCGTTTTGTAATATAACTCTTGCAATGCTGACACGGGGGAAGGCGCGCATCAACATTTAACTGCTGCAAGTGTGGGTTAGCATAGAAATATCTCGTTCTCAAAACTGTCACGTTGTATATAGTTTTTTTTTAGGGGGGGGGGGGGGGGGGATTGGCGGGGTGGAGGTGATATTACAGTATGGGGGACGCAAGTTCTTTCTAATTGTAAATTCTGCACTTGAAATCTCCAATTTGGGGTGGGGGGGTGGTTGTGGTGGAGACATCCAGGATAAGCCCTTTGACACGAGGAAGATTCCACCACCAGCACCCCTCACACCTTGCAGTTTCTGAAATGCCATCTCAAAAGAGATACAACACGAAGCGTGAATGTGCCTGGTATGGTGTTACTCCACACGTGTGTACTCGCTTCAACCCTAACGAGATGCTTCCGTCGACTGGACTGCTTTTGTATGAGGATTTCATTACCATCGTTTTTTTTTACGTTGTCATTGTCGCTGTTATTGATAACCTCTAGGAGTGGAACGATGCACCTTTTTGAAGTCGACCAATATCAGTTCTTTAGCACTCGATTCCACACGTCGAATCGCGTGTGTAAGAATTGGAGATGTTTTGAGATCCGTAATTAGTTTATTGTGAGTTAGATCATGTAGGTATAATGTCAAATTGATAAATATAACCCTCCATCACCCAACAGAGCCATCCAAATCAAGTTGGCACGTTGGTAAACATGCCAATTGATTTGGGGGCTGTTTTTTTTCAGCAAACCGAAGGAATGTTGGAAAGCAAGGAAGATCTTGACAATTAACTTTTTTTCGCTGAAGTCAAGGCGTTAACAGAAGCTCAAATCACTGTAATCTGCACTCCTTCAACGGATGAATAACGACACGAACCCTCCTTTATGAAACCCTCTCGTGGCTATCAGACCTCGACATAGACAAAATTCACATCTCCCCTTGCAGCCACTAGCGGTGCTATACCATTCACCTTCATATGAAAACAAAAAATGGAAACTTGACTCGCGGATCATGATGACAATTCACGTAAATTGCCGGAAGGATTGGTGGATTGTTTCACTCCTAACCAAAACAGTGCTGTAATTTGTACACTAACATTATACCTGTACTTCAAGATGATGCTTTGGTTGGTAACGCTGCTTGCGCCAAATATAGCTTGACAGCTGAGTAAGATTAAGCGACTGCAATGGGACACTTTAATCTGTCTACTTGACTCTTAGCACAATTTAAGGCATAGATTAGAGTAAAGTAAATCATTTGCATTGCGTGTGTGTGTGCGGTGCATGATGTGGACAATGTAATTTATTGAAATGCATATAATTCTCCCGAGAATTAATAACTTTTGTAACTTAAACAATATATAGCTTTCTGAAATCATTCCGTTTTAGCAATTGCATTGTACGATATTGCGACTACTGTAGCACTTAATTGGCCTTTGGCACAGGCTCTGAGTCATTGTGTCCATATTTTTTTCAAAAAGTGGAGAAGAAACTATACAGTAACCTGCAATTATACCGTGGAAATTTTAATTACCAATTACCCTTACGAGGCTGAAACGACCCACTAAAGACGATGTCGTTTGGTTTTTTGAATCTCTCCATTAAATAAATTAGGGCACCCCATTATTTTTGGTTGGTGTGTGGGTGTGTTGGATGCGCGTGTGTCTGCAATGTGCGCTGTGCTTGCAGAAAATGTGCTTTGAGCATTGCAACACAAATATTTCTCAATTAAAACGAAACAGAAAACCGATCGTTTGCTCCCCGTGTGCGTTCTGTCATGGCGTGTGCAAAGTTTCCTCAAGTTGTCAGCGTTCTGGCGATTTAAGAACGTATTATTAAGGTAATGTAATTGCCCCCTCGATCATTTGAAAGAGAATGGAACAAAAAAAAGTTCATAAAACAGTTATGTAGTAAGTGCTACATGATAATGGGTTCTTCAAAACAAAAGCGGTAATTTGAGCGTAAAGCCTCTGTCTTGGTTCTCAAAGCATTCTGGCCACAAAGCCTGGGCATTGCCCCAAGGCTACGTTGCCGACCAGCTTTGGGTTGAGTCAAATCTGGGGACAAAAAGGCAAACATTTCAAGTGAAACATCACTCTTTGGTTGACACCATTTTTTTAGCACTCTATCACCCACTTATATGTGCACCATATACTGTAAGCGACACTGGTGTACCTAAGAGACACCGGTGTAACCTATTAACTAAAGTACATATTTTTTATTTCACCAGGTAAGGCCCACTAAACTTTATCGGCCTTTTACAGAAGCGACCTGGCCACATGTGATAGCTCAACGAAGTGGATTATGATGTGGACATCTATAGCAGCTAAATACTCTAAACGCATGTTTCTAAATTTGGTGGGAAAACCCGGAGGACCTGGGGAAAAATCCACGCGACCACAGTGAGAGAGACATGCAAACTCCAAATATACAGGCGTCAGGGTCGGGGTCGAACCCACGACCTTCCTGCATACCAGGCAAGGTAGTTAACATCTCCCCGGCTTTGATATTCATTGGAGACACTGGTGTACCCATTAACTAAACTAAAACAAAATTATATATTCTTGGTTCTTTCGGTAAAGTCACGTGACTTTACCGAAAGAACCAAAAATATGAATCCCTGCAGTCACGAAAGCTTTAAATGAAAATAAAACAAAATTATTATTTTTAATTCACCAGGTAAGGCCCACTGAGCTATATAGCACTTTTTCAGACGCGACCTGGCCACAAATGATAAGTCGGAATCGAACCCACGACCTCCTGCATACCAGGCGAGGTAGTCAACATCTCATCAACAGGCCGATGCACACATCTCCTTGATAAATGGAAATTAAAGACAAGCCACAGTAGTTCGACTGTGGCCATGGCAACCCAAACTATGGACCATATAGCGAACCACTGTCATCCGCGCTCCTTCAATGGAGGAATAGCAAAACTGCACGCGAGATATTAGTATTTTATCACATTAAATATGTATTTACTGCTGTTGATTGATTTTAATTATCGAATGGAAAGAACGAATGCACTATACTCGTCTCCTCGTTTTTTTTCTGTCAAATGTGGAACCTATCAACTATCATTTTACACAAATAGATTAATCTGATTACAAATCACGGATGGGATAGGTCTAATTGTTCTTAGATGTCCTCAAGATGTTCAGAAAATTGGCGCAAAGTATTATTAAGTCGTCATAATTACCTGAATTTGCCAGCGGGGTTTTGCACATTTTATTTAAGCCATTCCCTTTACGAGAAGATGTCTAAAAAAACTGGCTCCGTTGTAGCCCTCCCCACCACCACCTATCAGGCAGCTCACAGCAGGCGATCTCATTATCTTGACAAGAAAAAAACCACGAACAACACGTGTTTATGGTCATAAATAACCTTCTTTCAGTTGGAACTTTTTTTTTAAATCCCCCCCCTCCACACCACCACCAACCACCACCACCACCCCCCAATGAAAAAAGAAATCTGTGAAAAAAAATCCCAATGCCTTGAGTGAAATGTAGACCCAAGTAAATGGTGTGTTTAGGACAATGTTGGGATTACAAGTCTGACTATGTTGACTTTATTCATTGCAAGTTCCGAAGAGAAAGGTATTCGATCGTGTCGCGTCATTCTTTCGTCGCTCAATTGGAATATACTCAGGGAAAAAAAATGCAAAACAAAACTACATCAAGACCGTATTCTTAAGTGTTTTTTTTAAATCACGTTTTATTCATGCACATTTTCAATGTATGTCACGCATTCCAACGATCTAGGTGAGTGAATGTCTGTGTTACGTTACGTAGGAATTGCATTTCGAGCATCATCATTTTAAGAACCTGTTCTCGCACAATATTCGGTAATTGTAATTAACCATATTATTTAACGTTGCTAGTGATTTTTTTTAAATCCCCGTTGTTTCATTAAAAGGTACTGATTACCTCATCTTGACAAGATAGTACTGTATTGTTACTGCCTCTCGTCGTACTCAATTGGTACCCTCAGAAATCAATGGGTACCGACTTTTATGGTAAAAGTTTACGAGAATTGTCCACTTAAAATGTTCAAAGGGGTAAAGAAACCGTAACCAAGAGTCCCTTTTTACCCGTAAATCCCCCAGGTAAATCTGAATATTTATTTACACTGCAGGAATCCGATGAGCTATAAAGCTTTTCACAGTGACAACGTGAAGGGGATTTGGGTTAAGCTATTAACCCTAACCATTCAACCCACCTGCCCCAGTCCTAGATTGTATTCCGATTGGAGGACACGACACCAAGATGGTTCATTTGTTCCATTCTTTTTGTACACCACGTGCACGTGATGCTATGACGATGGCTGGGACGTGTTCTTTCCCGTGAACCAAGTCGTGTAAAACCGTGGCTCTTCGCTCATTTCCAGAGGCGGGGGATGGTGGTGGGGCGGCCACTTTAACCGATAAGACATCACACTCGTCAGCCCGTACGGTTTAACCCGTATTCTTGTACAGGGAAATTGAGCTTTCGGGTCCACACGGCGTACAGCCGTTTCGATACCGGCAAACATTGTTTGTGTGATGGTGACTTTGTAGCGTGGGTCCTGGGTGTACACCCACCACTCCGGTGGTGGGTGTACATCCAGGACCCCATTACAACCTAAAGTGGCCTGGTCTCAGTTATCTGATGAAAGCTTCAAGCGAGAATTTCATCATCGTTTGCGACTGGGGTTGGCATCGTCCCCCACTCTTCCTGATGTCGAGGGTAAATGGGCGAGGTTCAGGACTGTCACTCACGCAGCTGCATTGGCTGCTTTGTGTACGCGGTCCAGACCTCCCCAGAGACCCTGGCTGACAGAGGAGGTGTTCAGGATAGTTGAGAAAAAGCGATAGGCCCACTGTCATCGGCTACAGAATCCCACGTCAGAGAATGAGGAGGCTTACCGCAGCCTTCGCTCGGAGGTTTGGAGAGCCGTGAGGCGCTGCAAGGATGGGTGGTGGTCGCGGGTTGCTGAGGAGATGGAGTCTGCCTCAGTGGCCCGCGATCACAAATCTCTATTTAACTCCATCAAAAAAGTAACCTGCAGCGCCACACCTATTACCATCATTAGGGGAAAAAACGGTGATCCAATCTCCGACCCCCAGGAACAGGTTTGCAGATTTGCTGAGCATTTCTGTGAGTTCCTGGGGGAGGGAAAATCCCTCAGCCAGGAAAATATCGTGGCACAAAGTGGGGATGACCCTGCTGAGGCTGCGGTGCCTCAAATATTGGAAGTCACCCCCTGTGAGTGGCTGGCTGAGGTGCCATCTCTTGAGGAAGTACTGAAGGCGATCCGGAGTCTGAGACCAGGAAAGGTAGCGGGCAGAGATGATCTCCCAAGCGAAATGCTAAGGGAGGGTGGCGTTTGTGCACAGACTGCCCTATATGTGTTTTTTGTGGTTGTTGTTGTTTGACTTGCATCCCACTGGGATTTTTTGCACACAGCGTTGGTGTACGGTGCTTTTTTCAGGAATATTTTTGCTGTTTTTTTTCCATGGATTTTCTGTTTGCACAGTCACATAGTCACTTTAAGATGTTTTTCTTGTTCGTGTTTTTTTGTTTGTTGTGGTTGCACCCGATTCAAGAGCCGAATGGCTCACAGGGCTATACCAAAATAAACTGAACTGAATATGACATCATACCAACAGTCTGGACCACTGGACGGGGTCCGCAGGATTGGAAGGATGCCCTAGTGGTCCCCCTCTTTAAGAAGGGGGACCGCACAGACTGTAACAACTACAGGGGCATCTCACTCCTCAGTGTGCCGGGAAAGTTCCTGGCAAGGATTATTCAACATCGCCTTGCCAGGCACGCTGAGGAGAGGCTTGCGGAGCCCCAATGCTGTTTCAGGAAAGGGCGGTCCTGCACAGATGCCATATTTTCTGTCCGTCTGTTACAGCAGAGGTGTAGGGAATTCCAGCAAGACCTACATCTCTGCTTTATTGACCTGATCAAGGCCTATGATACCATCAGTAGGCCTGGCCTCTGGGTTGTTCTTCGTGCTTTTGGAGTCCCTGACCCTCTGCTCACGATCATTAAGGACCTTCATGATGGTGAGCGGGCCCGGGTAAAACTACGTGGCCGGGAGTCAGAGCCATTTCCTGTACACCTTGGGGTGCGACAGGGATGTCCTCTGGCTCCCACATTATTTAACATCTATTTTGACCACGTAGTTCGTGAAGCCTTCAATAGATGTACCGGGGGAATCTCCATATGGTACAGATATAATGGGAGTCTGATCGATGCCCGGGTGCGGTGAAGGGATGGCTCCCTATTGCTCAACCACGTTACGTATGCCGATGATTTGGTAATAGCTGCTCATTCAGAGGAGGAGTTGGAGACGCTGCTGCTGCTGAGACTGGAGCGTGCCCCTAAGAGATGGGGCCTTACCATCAGCCCCATCAAAACTAAGGACCTGCCTGGGTATTTTGTACCATCGGACACTCCACCCCCACAACTCCCAATCGGCGATGGGGCAGTTGTGGAGAGAGTGGAGAGTTTCCCATACCTGGGCAGTGTGCTTATGACCGGTTCCAGTTTAACAGCAGAGGTCTCACTCCGAATCAGTCGAGCGGCAATATCTTTTCATCGGTTGCGTAACGCTGTGTGGAAGCTACCTGGTCTGTCGCTCCGCACTAAGCTTCAGGTCTTCTCGGCCACGGTCATTCCCTCCCTTCTCTACGCTTGCGAAACGTGGACCCCCCTAATGGAACATCTTCGCCGGTTAGAAACATTTCGGCTAGCCTGCCTACGATCCATCTTGGGTTTAACCAGGCTGGATTGTGTGAGGAGCTCACAAATCCTTGAAAGATCTGGGCAAGGTCCCATCGGTGAGCTCCTCCGGCAGGCAAGGCTGCGTTGGCTGGGTCATGTAGCCCGCATACCCAGCCACCGCATGCCGAAACAGCTTTTGTTCGGCCGGATCGAGGGGGCTAAACGGGCGCGGCACGGGCTAGAGAAGAGATGGAGTGATGTGGTACAGGAGGACGTGGAGCTGAGTGGACTTGCCGATGACTGGTACCAGCGGTGTCAAGATCGGCCTCTGTGGAGGAGGCTTGTGAAGGACGTACTGGGCAGTTGGAGGCAGTCGCCCTCCAACAACAACGGAGGGCGGAGGAGCGACGCTCAGAACAACGAGCGGAGCGCCGGGTGGCTAAAGCACAGCATGTTGGCACAGTAGGGGGCACAGGTGGTGCATCAGCCAGTCATCTCAGTCAGTCGGCCCGTGGCACCTGGGTCTGCCCCGTGACCTCCTGCCAGCGGGCGTTCGACACTTCACGTGGCCTCAGGGTGCACATAGCCTGGCACAAGCGTCGTGGTGACGTCACCGCCACTTAGTGGCGAATGGCGGTTGTTGTTGTTATAGTGTGAACGTTGAGATTTGTAAGGGCACGGGGTGACCAATAAGGTCTGAATTGGTCTGTGATAAGGTCGGCACTGGTATGAGGAGGCATCGTCAGAGTGTGTGAGCTGGCCCGCGACACATCTGAAAGCACTGACGCAGCAAGTTCATGATTATCATGATGGGGCGGGGTGTTTTCACCATTTGTGTATTGTCGGGGAGGCCGCACTAAAGGCCACCAGGGACCGCCAGTGTCCCGCGGCGGCGGGAGGGGGCTTGTAATGATCTAAAAATAATGATACGATGTAGTTTACACGCACGATACACATAACCAGTCGACGAGAAGCCACCGTCACCCTTAACGACCACAATACAGGAGGTGGGGGAGCGGTCACCGGGGTCACCCCTCCCCCCCCGACTATAAATAGCCCTAGCGCCGCGCTGATTGGTCAACATTCGATGGTTGTTTCGACGAATAGCAGCACTCCGCCTCGCTCGTGACGTTGCACACTTGGGGGAGCGGAGTTCGACCAATCACGGGGACACACTTACAAGTAAGACCGCCCTCCCCCCCGCCCGCCCGACCGCCGCACCCCGCTTTTCTCTTTAAACCATGACGTCACACACTGTTCCGTGACGTCATCGGGACATGACCAGCAAAAGGCCCCGGCGTGCCGAACGTGTAACATGACATCACGGGGGGAGGTGGGGAGGAATGGAAACCGAAGGGGGCGGTGCGGACGGCTTGAGCGGAGGTGGATGAAGGTGGAGGGGCGGGGGGCGTTAAGGGGAGGGGTTAACAGGGTTCGGCCCTGCTCCCTTCCAATGGGTGCGCGGAGCCGCCGTGACGTCGCCGGGGTCGGCCCTTTTCGGCTTTTTCCGTCGACCAATGCGGAGCGCGCGAACGTCTTGCTCCGATGACGTCATCGCTCGGCCCGTGAGTCAGCTGTTTGGGGTGGACGAGGCGATTGCGAAAGCTGTTGCTGGGGGGGGTGGTGGTGCTGGTGGGGGAGGTGTTTGTGGTGGTGGTGGCGTGGGGGGGGTGTAGACAAAAGTCGGCAGTCGAGGGGGAGCCGTGGACACAGCGGAGCGGCCCGGGACACTCTCGTAGCGTACATAGACACAGACACTCACGTTACTCATTCTCGCGTTCCGCTTAGAGCGTCGCTTTCCGCATCGGCTTCGTTTGGTCTCTCTCTCTCTCGCTGAAGTCAACGTCGTCCACGTCAGTAAGGTAAAGAAACGCGACTTTTTTTAAACGTATATATATTTTGTAACGTATATATATATAAAAAAGTCTACCTAGCCTGGCACGACGGGGCGGCGGTGACGTCGTGGGCTGTTTGTGTGTTTCGTGTGTATCGAATGTGAATTCGTCGCATATGAGCGTTGTTTGTGCCGGGCTTCCTCCAGATCGTCTCGGCCTTAAACCGAGCACAGTAACCTGGTGCCTGCGTGTACAGCCGTAGCCACTCGGCTCTGGAGAGACAAAGGCGAGAGCGAGAGAGGCGTCTTAATAGGTGCTCGCTAACACCTTGCCCCCCCCCGCCCACCATACACAGTCTCTGGGGCCGCCTACACGAGGGATCTTTTGTCTTGTGTGAGATGTACTGTACTCGTATGTTGTACATGGGTTTGGTTGTTGAACTCCGCGTGCGGCACTTGGCATGTGCAGTAGATTTAACATCGCTTTGTCAATCCACGACTGGACCCGTTTTGCCCAAGGCTTGTTTGTGTCATTGTTGTGATTCGTAATTTGTGTTTGGTTTTGTATTGTATTGAAACGGAGGTGTTGTCGACGGAATGTGTGTACGACTGCTTTCGAGGTTAAAAGCGTGGCGACCTACTGTCTAATGGTATGTAATGATGTATATATTTTGTTAAACACAAACAATTTGGGATTTGGCGCATAGTATGTTGTAATAAGGCGGATACTATGTACCGTGTTACACACTCTGTGTGCGTGTAGGCGCGTGTATGTAGAAGCCAACATCTTTACGTGTTTTTTTCAATGTCCTCAATGGGCCTTGTCTTACGAGAGGTCACGGTGGCCCGTGAAGCCACTCGACGTGGTCGGCTCCACTTTCAATAGCCGCACATACAAAGACACAGATCCCCCGTATAGCCTTGGTATACTGTTGGGGCAAGTGCTGTTTGGTGAGTGGCACCTTATGAAGGCCGGGAACACGAGGGAGTGGGGTGGCCGGCACTACGCCCGGCCGCCTTTTTTTTTAAATCTCCAGTGGCGATGTTTACACACCGCACCAGGTACTAGTTTTGAGGCCGAGTCGACCTAGGGCAGGCCCAGGACTTCGTTTAGATCATCGTGATTGGTTTGGGCCGTGATCGGGTTCGTAGCGCGCTAACCATTTCACTACCCCTCCCCCCGCACACGCACACACAGTCATACACAAACAACAAAGACACGCTAACAAATACACAATGGGACACTACACACACACAATATACTTGCTAATCGCACACAATGCCCTTTACACACACACACATATACAATGAGACGCACACATACGTACGTACACTGCCGCGCACAACACAATCGCAGTGTCATTTACAGTACACAAATCGCGTAATGCCACCACGTACAACGAACAATTACACAATCGCGCACACTGTCTGGACAGTAACGCAATTACATACGCTCGCAATCGCCCAATCTCCCCCAACAACACCCGCCCCTAACCCACCACACTCCCAACACCGTAACCCGCGTCTCCTAGAGCCGAGGCCTCGTTCCTTGTTCGCTGGACCCACCACCACCACCCCCTGGGGCTGGCTGGCTGGCTCCCCTCCCCCCCCTCCAAGTCGAACGACGCCAATCGCCTTTGTCGCGACGGTGTACGGAGAGTTATTTTTGGTCGAATTTAACGAGACGTAAGTCTCTTTTTTTTCCGTGTTTAGACGTAATGTTTTTTTGTGTGTGTCTGTGTGCGCGCTGCTTACAGCGCGTTGAGTTAAAGGTCGCCGCGACCTTTAAACCCGCCGTGACCCCGCGTTCCGTACAGCTCCACGTGACAGATTCATTCGATCTCCGTGCGATCCGTAAACCGCGGAAGTTGACCTTTAACTCGACGTGACCACTGCTGTACCTCGCCGTGACCTCTGCTGTACCTCGCCGTGACCTCTGAACTCGACGGGACCATTAATTCGCACTCCGTGCGATCCGTGAAAACTCTGTAAAGTTGATCTCGTGTTCGACGGGGGGGGGGGGGGGGTGGGGGGCGACTCCTTTAGGCGCGATGCGAACCTCGTTCGACTCGACGGTAAAGAGCCATTGACCTCGACGTGACTTTGAACATGACCCCGACCTGGCACGGCTTAACCCTGGACCCGCCGCGACCTCTTTTACTCGACGTGACGAATCGTTCGGCGCGATCCGTAGCTCGACTCGACCAAAAGTCTCGACGTCGGAATCCCATTGCTATAAGACGTTACGGCCAAACTGAACGCGACTCCTGTCAACGTGACCCCCTCCCCCCCCCACAAGCCAGACTTGACCTTTGCCTTATGATGCCCCCACCACGTTGTTGAATTTGATCCTACCTCATTACGGACAATTCAATTACATTCATCGTTAAGCCACGGTGGAAACCCAGGCACCTCTGCGGCAGGCAGCTGTTGTCGCCTCTCTGGGGTACAACAATGGGAACCATTTGAAATGGCAAGCGTTCTCGGTTTACCGCCTACCAGTCATTCCCCGCTGTCGAGATGTCCGTTCAAGATAAAGAGCCGTGCAATAAAAGTGAGCGCAGAGGTTAGTTTCTGGGTACGAGGGAGAGGAGACGCTTCTGAGAAAATCTGAGCGAGACGGGGGAGAGAAGGGGGTGTGTGGGGGTTGTTATGGTGGAGAAGTAGAGTTGAGGGATTTGTGGCACACAAGCTCGCCGCAGCTTCCTCGTGCCTTCATCTCGTTTGACGCAATGTTGTTGCTGCGCTGTGTGTTGTCATCTTCCATACCCCGAAGGCAAGACCCTGTGTGAGTAAGCGGAGCGACTGTGGAATTCTAAAACGCTGACGCGGCGCGTTGTGACTCAACGAGAAACTTCAGTTGCGGTCAGGTGGGGCAGCCTCACGCGTGCACTTGCCCGCAAACGAATGGCATAATTACAAAGATCACCCGCATATCCTGTAACTGATTGTAGTGGCAAGTGATGTTCGCGAGCATCTATAGAAGGCCGGTACGGCACACGAGGGGGTGTGACTGGCCAACACCACGCACGGCCGCCTTTGTCTCCCTCGTGGCGATGTTTTAATACACACCGCACCCATATACTCATTTGAGGCTAAGGCGACCTAGGGGAAGGCCCAGGACCGGTTTAGATAATCGTCACTGGTGGTGGCCATGAGCAGGAATCGATCTCTGTTCGTCAGTTTCGTAGCGCAGCGCGCTAACCGCTACACTACCGCTCCCCACTGACACACACACACACTCGCATACCTGTGCCACCCCAACAATGGATGTGACGTTCGCGTAATTTACTTCACGAAACAAGGCCCGGGGTGGTGGTGGGGGCGGTAAGCCCGTCAGTTGTGACGTTGTTGTATTGCTTGTGTGAGGTTATGATGCACAAGCGTGTGACTGCCGCGTATGTAATGCAGGTGTGTGGTGGTTGTTGGTGGTCGTGTGAACTGTGCTATGGTTAGCAACGCTATGGGGTTTCATGCCCATCTGTGGCGTATTGGTGGTGCATCATCATCATCAACAGTAGCAGCAGTTGAAGCGGTCCTGGCCTCCCACAACCTGCCCCCTCCTCCTGTCACAAGGTCAACTCGGCCAGAAATTAGTACAGTACCTGATGCACAGGTGTAATTATGAATACCAGCACGGGGGGAAGGTAGCTTTACAAGATGCTGACCACTCCACCCCTGAACGTGTCTTTCACCTGTGTTAGTCCCATCGCAGCGTTGATAGGTGCTCACTGACACCACTTGCCGCAGAAGTCGAATAACAACACCCGCCAGGGTGTTGTAATGTGGCCTCTACATTTCTGCTCGTGTGTGTGTGTCGTGTCTGAGGTGACGTTGTTTATTCAGCAGTCCAGGCTGTTATGAAAAACAGGAATCCCACGCCTTCCTGGTGTGAGAATAAACAAAATGCCAACGTTTGTGCTCACAGGACTTGTGTGTACACGTGTTTTGAGATGCGTGCTATATATACACACAGTCTTGTGACTCACCATTACGCAACTGTAATTAAAGGGCCGTGTCTGTGTGTAGACGGCGGTGCGAAGTTAAACACGGTATCTGTGTGTAGTTACATGTGGCGAGGTAGGCAAGTGACCCCCATTGCCCCGAATGTGAAGGGCTTTTCAGCCGTACCCCATCATTTGCCAACTTTCTTTTTTTCCCCAATGTCGACCCCCCCCCCCACCCCGTCATTTGAAAAAGACATCTTCAATCGCTTCTAGATTTGAAGCTTTCGTGACTGCAAGGATCCATACTCTTTGGTTCTATTCGGTAAAGTCACGTAGGTAAAAAATAAAACAACAAAAAATCACGACGTTTCGGCTACAACACAAGTGGCCTTCATCAGGTGAAGGGACCGGACTGTCCACTCCAACGCTGTCCTCTGGACAGTCCGGTCCCTTCACCTGATGAAGGCCACTTGTGTTGTGGCCGAAACGTCGTGATTTTTTGTTTTTTTTATTTTTTACCTACGTGACTTTACCGGATAGAAACAAAGAGTATCTTCCATCGGGTTTAAAATTTACCCGTGCACTGGCCGTGTGCGTCTCTGCGTTCGCAAGCAAACGGGGATGGCACGTGTTTTGTGCCAAGCTTCCAAGAAGTGGCGTTACAGTGGTAGGTGGTGTATCCACGCCTTATCTGGAATCGTCAGCTGGCCAATGTCAAATCTGTGAAGCCGCGCTCCGAGTAATCCGACCCTGGGGCCCAGGACGCTATGCTCTTCTTAGCTTGGTGAGTGTTTTGTAAACACAGCAGGGTTTATTTTTCAATTATATATATTATTTTTCTCCCAAGCAAAAAGTAGACGCTTGTTCCCTGGATTGTAGCGTTGATGTATGTGTTTTTGTGGCTAGTACAGTGTGCTACGATCCGGGTGACCCGAGTTCTTTTGCCAGCCATAAATACCGTCTTTGTCGAGTGGTGTCAAAACCTGTCCTGGGCCTCCCTCAGACTTGACTCAAACTTAAGTGTGTGAGTAACGAGTGTGGTGCCTGAACATCGGCACTGGAGAAATCTGAGTGGCCTGGAATGGTGCTAGTCACACCACCTCCATGTGTGTCGTGCCTTAATAGGTGCTCACTAACAGCATTTGCCCCTGCCTATGATGATATTTTAATCTCATCGTGTTACTCTTCCCTCTACAGCCTCTGCAAATCCCTCCTTCAAACTCAAAATAATCACAAATGCCGCTGCTAGACATGTCGCTCATATGAGACTACACCACCCCTCGCCCCCGATTTAGCATGGTTGGCTACGTACGGTGCGAAAGAAGTTAACCATACAAACATACATACCCCAACACGTCAATCCTTCTAATGGATCATGATCCAATCTGAGATCAAGTAAAAGGTCATACGAACAGTCTTCACTGTCCTCCGTGGACTCCCTCCTGCCTATCTCTCCCCCTCTCATCTTACCCCATCCAGCCCCAGCATGTAATCTCCAATTCCGCAACCAAGGCTTTCGATCAAAGCGCGTATGATTATTCTGAGTGGGAGATTGCTTATTCTCTGCTTTCCCCCATTATCTGAAACTCCCCCCCCCCCAATCATCTAAGCCATCAACTGCCTTCCCAAGTTTAAGGCCAAGTTCAAGTCCTTTTCGCTCTCCGTCTCTGGCTGTTCTCTGATTCTGTACAGCGTCCTCGGATGCAGATTCACGTATACACTGTTAATCCACATGGTCTCGTATCGTGTGTCCTGCCTTTGTGTATCTGTGTGGTAACTGTCAACTCCCAGCGTGTTTTGCCGAGGACCTCTCGGTCCCTCGTCCACACGGAGCCACGCCTAAATTTAGTACAATGTGGCACGAGGTGAAGAACGTGTTGATGAGTGACGTCTGCACGGCCCGACATTGTAATTTAACCTGCTCCGTGTGTGCTCTCAGGCTGGGATGGTGCGGTGAAGAGGAAAAACAACATCATTTTTGTTTTTGAACTGAGCTCCAAACTGTTTCTGAAATTGGACTCTTGACAACATTTTTCTTTGGCCTGACACTAACAACCCACCCAAAACTAAACTCGACCCCCCAACACGATTTCTTACTGCAGTAACTGTGTCCAACAAAAAATAATTCCTCACACGAACCCTCCTCGTAAAACCTTATTTCGAAAACGTTTATCCTATCCCCGATAGCATAACACGAACATTACACCGAACATTAAACCTCACTCTGTGTCCAACCTTAACCTCGCACTTCCCGCAGTCCAGTTGGCAGACTAACCACCGTAATTTTTGTAGAATCGTGAAAAAAGATTCACCCCACTAGCTTCCTTGTCCTGGACCGAGTGTACTTCTCCCCCCTCCCCTCTTTCTCTCATTCTTGGAGATTACAAAAAAACAACCCCCTGGGGGAGGGTTCAGGTACACGCTGTGCCCATACTTGTCAGATTCGTGACGAATCGCGCTACGCGGAGACTCATCATTCATCATCATCGTCGTAGTCGTCATCATCGTCACGCTGCACACGTGGCCGGCACTCATCGGGCTCCACGCCTCTGAGCATGCGTGCGGTTATGGCATTCAGGGGGGAGGGAGACGTCGGCGTGGCCTTCTTTACATTACCAAGCTCGTGTCTCCCACCAAGCCCGGCGCCCCCACCTCGCACCAGCGAGCAGCGTGCGTCGTGTATACGCAAGCGCCTTGTGGTTTGGCTCGTGGTGGGGGGAAGAAACCGGTCTCGAGGCGTAGAAGGGGGCCAGGCTTTGACTGCGATGCTATTTTCGGGAGCACCGTAAGTTTTTGAGTGGTGTTTGGGATTTCCTATGAGCATTGTTACAGCTGGCAGGAGGAGGTTTAATCCCTTGGGGGTGCACGACCTCTGTTAGCAGATGCTATAGCTCCTCTGCATGCCCCCACGACCATTTCTGGCTATGATATGCGTAATTGGTTACAGTAGGACGATGCTTAGATTGGTATTGATTTTCAAGCGCATCGATTTGCGTATGTAACAATCTGTCCGTCTATAATTACAAATATTTCTTAAAACAGCGGAGCATCGCAGAAATGTCGGCATGCTTTGCATGTTAAGATGACATCACCATTGTTGCCTGCATTATGCACACAGCTTTAGTATGATCAACCAACAACTCAAAATAGCTGAAATGAAGCAGAGCTTTTTTGTTCGATTAATGTTTACATCATGGGTTCAGGTCACCCCTGCAGTCACAAGAGGCGCTACCATTGTTAATCGCAGTGTCACAAAAAATGTGATTCTTTGATGGAAATAGCGACACTAAAATCGCGACCGTTTTCATTGAGTCGTCACAATCGATGCAGACGCTCGTGCAACAACGCGCGTGCTATGCGAACGGAGTTATTTTTGCGTTCACGCGTTGATCTACGGACTAAGCCGAACGTGATACAGCTGCCCTTAACGATTCCTTTCTGATTGGAACATGAAGGCATTTGACGAACCCGTTTCATGTCCTCGGGAGTTCAGAGCCTCTGGTTGGCCTTTCTAGTGACGACGTAGGTGGCACTTTGAAGCCCGGGACAAACGCACGCCGCTTACGGAGAAATATGGCCATGTATCATCCTCAGCGGTGCCTAACTGCGCTCATTAACATTAACACAGCGCTCTCTCTCTCTGCATAAGGGTTTGTTCCGTGGCAAGGAGGAAAAAAAAGCGGAGCGGTTATTTATACGTCGCTTTTCCGTAACTCGTTGCGTGCGCGTGGGCAACCGAGAGGTCTTTTGTTGGTCACGACGCGTTGCTCGCTCTTCGCCGACGGGGGTTTGGGGAGGGGGGTGGTGACGAGCGAGCCATGCGAGGGACACGTACACAAGTGCGGCCTTGGCGAGTCGTGACCAGAAGGGTTGGGGAAAACAACGGTGGGCAGTGTGCGGTTTGTTTGGTGTGCCGCGCGGCGTCGCGTGATGGACAGGGGGCACCGCCTGTGGGGGTCCCGCGTGGTCCCGCGTGGTGCCGCGTGATTTGCCTCTCGCTCTCCCCCCACCACCACCACCACCCCAGGCGCGCCGTTGCATGGCACCTGTCACGGCACCTCCCGCTCGTGCCCGTGTCGCCGAGGAGCCCTCTCTCTTTCCATCGTGGTGAATTGTTTGATGGCGACAGCTGCCCCCCCCCCCCCCCGGGCTCGCTACCTGCTTGCTGGCTGGCTCGTCCGAGGGTTTTTTTGTCGTTCTGAAACTAAACTAGCCGGATTTGGTGTTCCCGTCTGGGGTTTTTTTTTAGGAGGACAATCGGCTGAGAGCGCAATTTCCCCTTGCAATACTATCTTTCAAAAGTGTTGTTTTAGCCTGTCCCCCCCCTAACCTTATCTGTGAGTTGCGTGTGTGCGTGGGCCGAACGCTCACGTGCCCATAAAGTGACCGAGTTTATTTTGAGGGTTAGCACGGGTTAATCATTTTCCCCTTTGCAGACATTTCATTGTAAGTGGAGCCAAGGCTTTTTTTATTTTTACGCCGTCTTGTGTTGTGCGCACACATCTGCTGACCCTAGTCGTGCACCATTGTGTGTTACAAATCTCTCAAGGTCAGCTTTCTGGCACATGGAGGAGGCGGAGGGGGGATCGGTAGTGTAGCGGTTAGCTTGTTGCGCTACGAACCCGGCTACCTGAGTTCGATTCCCGCTCACGGCCAACACAAGTGACGATTATCTTAACCGGTCGTGGGCATCCCCGAGGTCGACTCTGCCTCAAACTTGTACCTGGTGCGGTGTGTAAACATCGCCACTGGGGAGACCAAAAGGAGACCGGACGTGGTGCTGGCCACCCACCCACCCCCTCGTGCGCCGTACTGGCCTCATAGGTGCTCGCTAACAGCACTTGCCCCAACAGTCTGTTAAAGCTCTATGGGGGGGTCTTTGTACGTTCCACAGAGCATGGATTACAATGGTCACAATCGCGTGCCTATAGTCCATTTATGATTCTCCGTAAAAACGTCCGAGGGGAGCCTCTGGGTAATGGTCTGTGTGCCTCGCTTGCAGTCCTCGGTGATTCACGCTGACGCGCGCGCGGTGTAAACGTCAGGAGGCTGCCTCATTAGGCCCCCCCACAGTTGAGAGGGTTCGGTCGACTTCTGTTTCGTTCAAAATGTCCGTGACTTATTCGTGCAAATGATTTTCCGAGTCGGGAAAAGGGGGGGGGGGGGGTCCCCCTTTTGCGCAAGTGTTGGGTGACCCCTTTGCGGCGAAGAAGAAAAACCCGCCGCGACGACTCTGCCAACAACAGTTTGCTTGGCCTCAAATTGCACCTAGCCTGGCAGAAGCACCACAGTTGTTGTTGTTTTTGTTTGCAGTACTTTTTTAACTTTGATTTTCCTTCAAGCCTTTCGCACGTTGCGCCGCTCTGCCGCACATGTTTGTCAAATGCTCGCTTAACCACAGCCGAGTGTGACTTTCGCCTGTTTATCGCCCACCCCACCCCCCCTTGTCATCGTCGGCATTGACGCGCGCAGTGCCATGGCCCAGGAGACGAACCAGACGCAGGCGCCCGTCATGTGCGCCATGGGATGTGGGTTCTACGGGAATCCCCGCACCAGCGGCATGTGCTCGCTGTGCTACAAGGAGCACCTTCAGAGGCAAAACTCCAGCGGACACCTGAGTCCGGCGGGTGAGTTGGCATTTGTTTTGTGCGAGCGAGCGAGGCGGAGAGGTGTGCAACTGCCAGGGCACTGCATTGCCTGCTAGCCAGGGCCTGATTATTTTCTGGTCCTCTGGTAGACTAGAGGGAGTTGCCGTGGTCCGACTGCTAACACGCTGGACTCGATATGCCGGCACGGCATTTGCACAAATTTCTTGAACCCCCCCCCCCCCGCGACCCACTTTTGTTTACCTGACAGTATAAATGGGTCCACCACAGTTAATCATAGGTCGTGTGTGGTGGAGCAAAGTGTGAGTACTCCCACCTCTTTCAACACGTCTCGTCAGCATGGAAGAGTAGACCAAATGCTCCCGAGATAGTCCGCTCTAGTGGAGGTGCTTCCGCCAGCGGTGGCGCATGACCAAGCAATTGCAGGTTTACTGTCGGAGGCCTGGAGACAGGACCCAAGATGGGGGGGGGGGGGGGTGGCATGGGGTTTACAGCACCTAAATTAAGAAGTGAAGAAACATTTTTGGTGCCTCTGACCTGGACAGACCCGGCTAAATTTGATCCCTGCCGCTTCTGCGAAACCTTTCGGATGGATCACTCGTGCGCCCATCACTCGGAAATGTAACTGGATGCGCGAGCCGGGGGGGGCGCCGTTATTTCTGGAGATTTTTCATTGTATTCCGAGTGGTCTTTCGGCCTGTGTGTGTGTGTGTGGAGGGGGAGTTCATGCCCTGTGATCCCTGCTTTGGTGGAAAGACATTGGGGGTGTGGGACGTGTGTGAAGCTTTATGAAACTCGCAATACACCAGCTGGGGCTGCGAGGTGGCCATGTAATGGCAGCGCAGAAAGCGGGGGCCTCGTGCAGTTCATCCGTGCGGACTTGGGGGGAGGGATGTCTGTTGGTTAGGCGCGGGGATTCTTTGGGTTACGCCAGTTTCCCCCTCCATCTTTCAAAACGCGATTGACCAAATATGCTTTGGTTGAACCCTTCTTACTCCTCAAAAAGCCTTTGTGCTCATTTTTACTTTTTTTGGGGGGGGGGGGAGTGAATGACATACTTATGATTTCAACGCCTATTTTATTCATGCTGTTGAGTTAATGATTCGCTTGCACATATTTCTCACATCTGACGAGTGAGTGAATTACAAATTGTATTTTTTATCGAATGTGTGTAGTGTTGTGTAAATTGGTTGAGACCGTCAAACTATATCAAGGCATTGCAGTTTAAGAATTAATTGTCATTTGGGAGTCTGCGATTTAAAACTTAATGTTTTAGCAATGCTGCCTAAATACTCTTCGAAGGGCATTGTTAACTCCTGACCCCCACCGGGCTTTCGTTTCACTGTCCACAAACGCTTGACCATTCGTGCCCCCTCTGTAAAGCATCTACAGTCTCCCCGTCTGGAATGAGAGGAGCCTCGTAAATATGGGTTCATTTTATCACGCAAATGAATTTTGCTTGTTGAGATTTTATGACTTTGGTTAATAGTGGTTTGTTTGAAAATGCAGTTGTTGAGCTTGTGATAAGATTACTGAGCGTGCTAAGCCGTGCAATTCCGATCGTACTATCCCATGCCCTTGGCCTGTGTCCTATGGTACCGAGCATTTTTTTTTACACTAAATGTACCGGAGTGCACATTTGTACCGCCAATGTTTCTGTTGGTTTCTTCATGAGCAACATTCCAAACCGGTTCTCGTTGAATCATTGGGACCACGTATAGATTGAACTTATCGGCCATTCTGGAATGTTTTTTGATGAACACCCGTGCTCATAAAGAGCAACATACCTCCAGGCCACTTCCTTGTTTCTGGGGTTTTGTGCCAAACCAGTTTTTAACAAAAATGATGAAACATTGCATTTCTTAAAATCTGATGCTGAATTTTCCACGTTTAACTTTGTTAATTTGAACATCGTGTCGGGAGGATTTTTTTTGTTTTACCTTGCGCAAGTTAAGATTCCTACTCGCGTTACGTGTTTATATCGTTATGCTTGTCTATCAGGTATTCTTAAGGGGATATTTTCTGATGCCGAAAATTAGGAACCAGTCTGCCAAACGAGACTCGACGGAGATGCTCAGCGTTACGTGGCCCGTGCCCACCAACCATTAAATCCCACACAGGAAGTGGCTCTGCGCCAGATCATATTTTCCAGGAGGCCAAATGAGAACGGGCGCCTGCGTAGATTGCGTACTCTGCTGCTTGCCCTTGACGACAGACAGACGGCGAGACGGGGCAGTCTGCGCGAGCGACCCGACTCGTACGGTTTGTCGTAAAGAAACGCCTCCTTGGCTTTGAGCATTGTCTCACCGCAAGGATCGGCGAGCGCGCGTGCAGCGCGTGGAGGGGGTCGGGCATTCAACGAGGGGCGCCGCGGTGGCGAGATGTTAACTACCTCGCCTGGTATGCAGGAGGTCGTCAGTTCGATCCTGACACCTGTTGTGCATTTGGAGTTTGCATGTCTCTCCCCGTGGTCGTGTGGATTTTTTTTCCGGTTTTCCCCCCTCCACATTTAGAATCAACAACACTCGTTTAGAGTATTTGGCTGCTATAAATTTTCACGTGAGAAGCCAATCGGTTGAGCGATCATTTGTGATAGCCAGGTCGCTTTTGAAAACGAGCTATATAGCTTGGTGGGCCTTACCCGGTTACAAAAGAAATGTGCTTAATAGTTTCAGTGATCCTGCAGTGAATTATCCCTGCTGCGGCTCTACGCGACGGCAGCACCTCGCACATGTTAATTCTCCCGTGCCGTTTTTCAACCAGAGTTGCTTTATGTGCTTGTGTGCGTGGGATCGTTCGCAGGCATGAGCAGCGGCCTGGCGGACAGCGTAGCGTCACAGATGGTGGAGGCGGCCTCCAGTTTGCCGAAGGACACGCTCTCTTCTGCGTCGTCGCCCTCATCAGTTACAGCCAGGTACGAGCGGACGAGGTTCACAGCGTGACTTAAATAAGAGGGCGTGAATGGGCCTTCACGCTTCAGCAGTGCCGGAGGCGTGCATTTTAAAATCATGGTGGTCATGTCAAGGTTGCTTTCCGCAGTAAGTAACATGTAACGGTTTATCCGTTAACTTGGACTGCGAAAATTTTGACGCCGGTGGCTCTTTGAGAGCAACAAACACGGAGTCATTTAAGAAAACGCTAGATTTTTTTTTTACGTGACTTTGAAGTAAATAATTTGCGTGGAAATTACAGCAAATAAAGTTAACGGTTGAGCGGATAATTGTCTTTTGCCGCCATGAATTTGCCTTGGGTCTCCGTGCGTGGCGTTCAATTTCGCGAGTCTACGCGCCCCAAGGGCACTCGGCAATTCTAACGCGTTCACTTCCCGGCACTACCCCCCCCCCCGTCACCCCCCACACCACTCCACCATCTAACGCTGCTGCCACCCCCCGGTCTCCGTCTCCCGCTGCGAACCCTCCTCAGCTCGATGTCCGCCCCCGCCGCGCGACAGCCTTCGCCGGACTGCTTGCAGATGACGTCCATGAATATCAGCGAGAAGGAGGCGTGCACGGCGGAGGAAGACGGCGCGCAAGCAGCAGGTACATCCGTGACACCGGCAGCAGGCGCCAGCGCTGAAGGCTTTTGCCGTTTTTTGCTTAAGCTGGATTCAACGTTTCTCGAAAGTCCAGTCGATTTTATCGCAAACGTCCGTGTGCGTGTGGCGCCTCTCTGGCACAGATCCGTCGCTCGGTGTCGTCTCCTGTTGCAACTGCATCCGTGTACGCGTTATGCGTTTTGAGTATATTGCGTTTTAGATTGTCCTTCCCCCGCGCCTCCGATTGCCACGGTTGGCTACGTACGGTGCGAAAGAAGTTCAACATGCATACCTTAAGGACAGAGAGAGTCGAAATGCGTGGGTTGGTGAAAGTCACACAATTTTTTTGAGAAAACACAGTAGCTGTTAACGACAATAAAGAGGGCCTTTGGACAAGACATGGCTACGAGGGATGATGGCCAATGAACAAGACTCTGGCAGCTAGAGGTGGGAGTAGGCCCAGGAGAGCAACCCATCGTGGAGGTGGGGGTGGGCGATGACATGGTCACGTGTAGGAGCGAGGTGGGGGGGGGCGATGAGATCTGGTCACGTGTCGGAGCGAGGTGGGGGGGGGGCGATGAGATCTGGTCACGTGTCGGAGCGAGGTGGGGGGGACAATGAGATCTGGTCACATGTCGGAGCGAGGTGGGGGGGGGCGATGAGATCTGGTCACGTGTCGGAGCGAGGTGGGGGGGACAATGAGATCTGGTCACGTGTCGGAGCGATGTGGATGATGGCAGCGCAAAACTTGGTGAGGGGGGGGGCGGTGGTGACGGTATGGGTCCAGAGTTGTGGCTTTCATCCAGCAGTGGATAAATCAAGGCCTATGATGGTGATGATTTATTAACGGCTCCCCCCCCTTCTCTGTCGCTGCAGCAACGTCGTTGTCGTCCTCTGAGCTGGGGAAGCCGTCGGGCGAGGAGACGGAAGAGAAGGAGACCAATGACAAGCAAAAGCCCAAGAAGAGCCGCTGTTTCTCCTGCCGCAAGAAGGTCGGCCTCACAGGTGAGATCCACACCCACTAGTAGCCAGGTGTGCACAGTGTATGTACGTATGTCCTGAACTTCGTTTGCACTGTATGTAGCCATCCGTGCTAATCGGAGGTGCGTGGGAAGGACAACAGACTTAAACGCAAGAAGCAGTTCGAAAAGAAATTCGTTTTAAATCTAAATTTGAAAGTGCAAAGCTCCCAGCGGCTTTCTGATTTTGGAAGGAAGAGCGTACCATGTGGCCGCAGAAGCGCACTTGAAAGCGCGCGGTGCGGTGACCGTCTTTGTTCGATGGCAAGGCAAAAGCCGCTGACGAGGTCAACAAGGTTGTCGTGGTTCATTTTGTACCACGCACTTTGCCTGTTATGAGTGCGACCTTGTAGTGTACAGCTCTTTGTCAGTTTGATGCGAAGGTTGAAGGCATTACTCCAACAGTGGGCTGTCAGTCATGGATGTTGACTTGACCATACGTCACCATGCTGGTCAGTGTGGGTTGGTGAAGCGGGGGTTGGGGTGTTAAAGTTTCCAGTGACTGGTGCAGGTGACACTAGCTACTCGGGTCCGTTGGCCTCGGCCGGTAATCTAACTCTGCTTGCCGAGTTCAAAGTGCGTTGCGCTGATGACTGCGCAAGGTGTGTTGGAAGCCGATTGCTACTGTTGGGTGGGCTCTTATCAATTAGGAGACGTGAATCGGTTCTTGATGTTCACGACTCCGTGCGTCAGATTGTGCGTGTACGAACTGGCTACTCGCTCTTTAAAATGCAACGTGACCAAATTATATTCTCTCCCCGCGTTACGTTTCGGCTAACGTAGTGGATGAAACTACAAACAAGACGAAGCTGACAGACCAGAGGATTAAAGAGCATCGATAAAAACAAGAGAGAATGAACAAATAATCCAAATCGCATGAAATATATGATTTGCAATCCTAATTAAATTAAGTAAACAAGAAATTTTGCAACAGAACAACATGAACGACCAATGATACAAATCAAACGATGGCAAACAGCGTCAACAAATCGGTAACGAACCAAAAAAGCCAGACGACACGTAACTGACTGGAATCGCCACCCAAAATTGTAACGGGTTCAATCGGATCGCAAGGAGGCGGATTAATTTTTACGAGCACGTATGTTGATGGGATTTGCCCGATCCATAGCGCACAGAGGGCAAAGGCTAGCTTTACGGTTATCAATTTTTTTACCGTTGTATCAGTCGGCTTTCCGGGTGAGTGTACAACAGCGTAACGCTAAGCCCGCGGGGAGCGATGCTCACCACTCACCAAACCACCGCACGCGCTGTCTCCCCTATCCCCCTCCCTTCCCTCCTCCCCCTCTGGTCGTGCGGCACAGGCTTCCAGTGCCGTTGTGGGAACATGTATTGCGGGCTCCACCGCTATTCGGACAAGCACGAATGCCCGTACGACTACAGGTCCGAAGCGGCCGAGAAAATCCGCAAGGAGAATCCCGTCGTGGTCGGTCAGAAGATCCAGAAGATTTGAAAAACTCCCGACCAATAAAATATATATAAAAAAAAAACACAAATAACAAAAAAAACACGCGAATTGAAAAAAAAGCATTGGATTTATCGAATTCCTTAACTTAAAACTGTATTCCTGTTCCTGGTCAGACAGACGTCACATTTTAGCGCCTTTAACATTTGGGCAGTGATCTGTCTTTGCTTGAACGACATCTGGATTTCTGCCCTTTCTGAAGGCTCGCCATGGAGGTGTGTTAAACATCGCAGCAAGCTCCGGATAGGCTAATCAGTATTTGAGTGCTCCCAACTTGCTCGATCCTGCCTGCATCAGTCACTTGTAAATATTTCCTGCTGCCTGCAAAACTTTGTTCCTTTTTCTCTCACCGCTCAAGGGAGTTTTATTTTGATTTTTGTTATCGTTTGTTGCTATTTACAAACGTACGCTTGATACATTACACATAAGCTTTTATTTTATTTTTTACTTTCGTCCCCCGATTTCTCCGGCGCGACGTAGTTGGATTGGTGGCTAGGCAAGTCGCGGGGAAGAAGGCGCGCATGCGCGCCCCACCCCCCTTTCCGTTCTGCACAATCTCGGCCAAATCGCGGCGTCTTTCACTTACTTATTTTGTTTTGCCCCCCCTCCCCTTTCCGTACGTTTGTCCGTGTTGTCGCTAGGTTTGAACTGTTCAGGTTGCATCGTAAAGCTTGGAACATTTCGGCCGAAAAAAAACGACGAGACCCAAACTGAGGATGTTTTAACGCTGTGATTATTTGCGAGCTCAGTTTTCTTTTTGTTCGTTAAGGTCCGTTTTTTTTTTTTACAGGTCAAGAGAGACAAATTCCTGGTTCATAATGAATAATTCGGTCGTCCTTGTGAAAAGTTTTTTTTGCGAGTGGTGCATCACATCTTTTAGGCCGTGCGTGTTTTCGGTCGTCATTTTTTAAATTCTGTGTTAATCCTAACCACCACCCTGGCCCCGTAGCTTACAAAGTGGGAGACACGGGCTGCTTCATGTACATCGTGGTTTTTATTATTTTTGACGGCGTGCGTAAATGCGTTCGCGGTTGCTGCGCGGTTGCGGGAGAGAGCGGGTAGAGCGTGTGGTTTAGTGTACTATTATTATTTGGTTTGCTTCTCCAAACTATTCAGCTGGACAAACAAAAACCATCTATCCTTGTATTATATTGTATAATGCTAGATTTTACTTGGTCATTTTATTGCTCTCCCCCTACCCTCCGTTTTTTCTTGCATTAAGTGTGAATGTTTTAAGCCGATCGTCGAGCGGGGGCGGGACCGTTGGATATTTCACGGGCTTCTCCCTCTGGTGGCGGTCGGTGGAGGTGTGCGTGCAGTGTGTGTCGTGGGTTCGGGGGGGAGACAGCGGTTCGGGAGGGGGGAGAGTGGAACAGTTCGTGGGACGGTCGCAGAGTTGCTCGCGTGTTTAACCGGTCATCGCAGCTGTTACTACTCCCTGCTGCGTTTGACATCTTGCAATTGTGACAACCAGACTACTACTACTACTACAACGTTGTAAACATATTAAAACAAATGACCTCTTGGCACCCATCCACCCGTGGGGGATACGGTCAGCACAAAATGTCTGTTCCCTGTTACCCCCCCCCCCCCCCCTTGCTCCTGCAGGCTACTTTTAAATCTCTTGAACGTCTTGGCTTGACCCTGGTTACTGCACCCTCTCGCCCCTTGGTTTTCTACAGAGTTCTATATTTATGTGTTTTGGGGAGGGAGGTGTGGATGATGAGGCTTGCCACGCTTGAAGAAGCCAGTGTGTCGGATTTCCTTTTTTTTTCTTTCTCGGATGAAAATAAAAATTTGATTTTTAATTACGGTACCAGGCGGCATCCTCTTGTTGTGTCGTACTGTGATGGAGTGGTTGGTTGCTGGTTGTTTGGTGGTGGTGTGCTGTCAGATTGATGTCCTTTATTTTTTTAAACAGGTGTGGAAGCCCATTGGCTTTCTTTGTGTCTGTTGCAATGGAGACCTTGCAAATCTACGCACATAAAGAGGGGGACATTGTGAATGCATTAGCTTCGTGACACCCGAATACTATGGCCTCCTCCTGATGAATAATCGGAGGGCTTTTAGTAGATATTTACAGCCCAACGTTGGCAATCGCGGTGAGAACTCCTGACATTGCGATCTGATCCAGTGGCGAGCACGCGGACCGCTTGGCCGTGCGGACTAATCGTTTCTCCAGAACTCTGTTGGGGATTTAAAGGTAGTGCTGTACTTGCAAAGCGCGCCAACTGGTGCAAACGTGAACCCAGCTCACGATCGTTGGGCGTGTGACGACGCATCGACATACGTTCGAAGGTTTCTGTCGGCTCAGTCGCCATTTCAAGAGCTGGGTGGTGGGGCACGTGATCCATTCAAAAATGTTATTCACTTTGTCGATTAATTGGGCCCCTTTAAATCTGAATATTTATACTGGAATCTGATGAGCTATAAAGCTCTCCTCCCCCCCCCCCCCCCCGCAGATGTCCAATAGGGGCGGGTCAGAACGTTACAACAAATATGGCGGACGCCCCCTAATCCTGCCTCGTGAAGGCAGGAAACCCCCAAAAAACCACACCGGATGTGATGCTGATGACCTCAAGCCCCCCCCCCCCACCCATTGCCTCCCATCCATCAGGACACGTGGAACGGATGAGACTTGTCCCAACGATTTTCATGGTATCCAACGAGTCGAGCGAATGAACCGATAAGCGTTGGAGTACCTTGAACGCTTAGTAATAAGAGTTGTGCGTTTCTAAATGTATTTGCTCTAGTTATTGTATAATTGCCTCGGGTGGAGGGTGAAAATGCGTACTTGGTGTAAGGAAGTGTCCCCGAAGAAGTGAGACGACATCACCCAAGCCGATGTCTGGTGTTTACGTTAATGGTGTTTTATTAAGATCACGCTTTACAGTCGTGATAAGTAAGTTCGTTGCAAATGTTCACATTTTTTTTCAGGGGGTGTTATAAGTTCGAAACGGACATGCTTGAGTGCAGCAGAGCCCCGTTGTTTACGAACGCCGATACACACCACCACCGTCACCGATATAATACAATACTTGTACAATAATGCCATTGAAGGGTTTAGACGTAGCATCCAAGTACACACGGGGTGTGGACGGGATCGTGAGAGGTGGGGACGGTGCAAATTTGGGCCACTGCACGAATTCACTTCGCCGAAGCCCGACAACAAAGGAAGAGACGACATCGTCTGCAGCTGTGCATCGCGTGTCGAATGTGGAGGGGCACCTGCCCAGCTCCTTAACGAATGACACAACAACACACACGTACACAAACCCCCCCACACCCACCATGGCTGTACGAATCACCAATGGAGGTTCACATCACAGCGGACTTTCTCCGTGAATCATATTTTAGTCTTGTGTCCGGGTCGCTCGTAGATTCGCAATTAGGTGGCACGGGACCAGCAGCCACATCCGTAGCGAGATGTATACTGGATGTGGTGTGCATATATTTGTTGGAGTGGGGAGGGTCACTGACCCAGCCTAAAATGAAGCCCTGGTTCACGTACTTGCATTGTGCCTCTGTACGGATCCGCTATCAATGTGTTTCGACATCGTTACCAGCGCGGTCCAAAATAAGTCGTAACAATTCACCCGTTTAAAACTAAAATGACCTTTACTCGTCTTACTATAGGCGACTATGCCGCAGCCAGGCCGCTTCTAAACAACGAGACGCCGCTTCCGCTGTGGAAGCCCTGCTGCAGGAAAGAACATCGGGACTCTGCTGATGATGATGATGGTGGTGGTGATGCTGCTCTTTCTCCTGCGTCGACGGAGCTTGGAGGCGGCGGACGCTGTGGGGACGTCGAAGTTGTTCCCGGGGTGGGGGGGGGGGGAGACCCCCCTCTACTTGGCGGGGGTGCTCAGGAGCGGAGGGGGTACGCGGATGTCCTGACCCCGCTCCAGCCGCTTCTCGCATTCGATGAGATAGTTGACGCCATCCACCACCATCTGCACGAGCTCCACCTGCGGGCGAGAAGGTCGGCGAATGTCACCCGTGATAGAGGGAATATCGCGTAAATAAAAAAATGTTGTGTCGTTAAACCCGCCACCACCCGACACGGCCAACTCGTGAGGTTCGTCACGTGAACAACACGTGCCAATTCGTTGCCAGGTACGGCACACCCGGTTGTGCGTTGGAGAGTAAACCCACTGCAGCGTTTACAATCTGAGAACCGTGACGTTTCGCCGATCTGTCTGGCGCCTGATGATGCTAGTTGTAATTACTGGCGAAACGTACTCGAATTGCCAATGTGGGTTTAGTCTCCAACGCACTGGTGCCTGGTCTGTGTGTCTCTTTGTCTTTGGTCTGCGTGTTGCTTTGTCTGATCTGTGCGTCTCCAGGGATCTCTTAAAGAAGCGACAACACACCTGATGACGATTGCTTGTGTTGCAGTCGAAACGTCGTGAGAATTTAATTGTTTTATATTGTTATTTTATTGTTTCCCTTCTACGTGACTTTACCGAAAGAACCAAGAATGCCGTTTAATTAAGGATTGTACCAACGAAAAATATGAGCCCGCCCCCCTTTTCAATAAGAGATCACCCCCCCCCCTCCCACCTCGACCCCCCCATATGCTAAAGCTTAAGGGCTAAGCCACCCTTTTAAACGCTCATCGCCAAGTCAATAGACGTCAGTACTGTACAACATTCGACACTGGCGGCACCGCGGCCTTTCACCGTCACACCGGCGGCCGGCGCGCTCGTTCCGAATCCACGGTCGACACAAGCAGACGAGGGTGGCATCGGCACCACTCACTCTGTTTCGCGTTTTGTTTAAAGTTTGTTTAACATTGACTGTGTCGTATCGCCCCCCCCCCCCCCTCCCAGAGTGTTTGCATGACCCCACTTAAAACAAGGTCCCGTCGCAGGGTTACGGGGCAGGCCTGCACTGGCTTGTCAATAATGTCACTGCAAATAATTCCAGGGAAAGACTCCAGACCCCCCCCCCCCTTTTTATTTTCAGGTTGATTTCCCAACTTCTTCCTTTGTTTTGAACTTATGTATTGTACGTTGAACTTATTTCGCACCGTACGTAGCCGACCGCGCTAATCGGAGGTGCGGGGGAAGGACGGCAAAATAAAACACCAAAAAATATCAGTTCTGAAGAAATGAGCTTTCAATCTCGGTGATGATTTAAAAGTGCGTAGCTCCCAGCGGCTTCCTAATATCGGAAGGGAGAGCGTTCCAGACGGCCTCGGAAGCGCATCTGAAAGCACCACGCGATGCGGTGCCCGTCTTTCTTTCGATGACTATCCAAAAGTGTCCTGTATAGTGTAGTGTATAATGTAGCGTACAGCGTGCTGTATATAGCATCTGAAAGCGCGCGAAGCAGTGACCGCCTTGGCTCGATGGGCAGCCAAAAGCCGCCGCTGCGTGCGAGGATGACCAGAGTTTGCGCGAGGATTGTTTATGCTCCATGATGTGAATGTTGCGAACAAATAACCACGTCTTGCCACGCGTGCCTGTCTTGTGACCACCACTGCGTGAACCGTGGCCTGTCCACGTGTGCGTTGTCGCTCCAAGCCCCACCCCCCCCACCCCCCGTCTACATGCATAAGACGTCTCCATGAATTGGCCGTGTCGGGTGGAGAAGGGATTACGACATACGCACAGATACTTTACTCACCCGGGGATCTGACCCACATATACATTTTACAAACGTAATATTCGTTGGTCGTGAAAGCCTTCGGTGTTTAAAAAAAAAATACATCTGAGCAAATGTGACAGTGATTGAAAGGCAGAGTGGTGATACCAGAGATCGACGAGCTGTGGACCGGATTTTTCTGTTGCGATGGAGGGGGGTGGTGGGTGGTGGGTGGGGGGGTGTTTCTGGCCATGAACAGGCTTGGCCACATATAAGAATAGGGTTTCACCCTGTCTGGCAATAAAACAGTTGTGTTAAGATGTTAAAACACCAACCAGAAGTCTTTTGCAAGGAATCGTATCTGTCAGTTTGACACGTAGGCTTTCGCGACCAGTATTATTCATAAAAAAAATGTTTTTGGGTGAGATCGTGTTATTTATAAATGTGTCGCGAACCTCCACCATCCGATCGTGCAGGCTGACGTCATCATTGTTGAACCCCATCAGGTTTCGAGATCAGAGGCGGGGGTGTATGCATTTATGTAATAGATCAGTAAACAGCCACTTACCATGTGACTCACCTTAAGGAATTGCAATGTGTTGTGTATTACGTAATAATAAGTTTCCAAGCTGCGCTGAGTCTGTAGCTATCACAGGGGTTGAAATAATTTGAATTCTCAATTTCGATTGATTCTCTAACTAATCTTGGCCAGTAATATCATTAGTTCTGCATAACACTTCAACGTTATGACAATAAATTGAATGTCCTTGTTGGCAAACATGTTCTGCCACTTTCTGACAGCTGTGTTTGGGATAATTTAATGTTCCTTTGGTGTTCTTTTAGTCTTACGCTAATGTTACGTTTTATCTGTCCAATATACGGGCTATTCTTTCATTAACTCCCGAGATATATTATGTATTTGAATTGTTTTGATAATCTGATCATTTTCATCGATATTGTTGTTCGGTCTTGATTTGGCATTCAATGCTCTGTTAATTTTGAGCATTATTTTAGCCATTCAGTCTTAGTGCTTCTTTAACATGTTTAATCTCTTTCCTTAGACTTTCACCATCTGGCCACTGTCTTTACCCAATGTATGAGAGTCCTGATGGGGTTCAACAACGATGACGTCATTCTGCTGCACTATTTCAGACCGGAAGCAGGTGGATGGCTTCACTATTCTGGCAAATCGCCCGAAGATGCTGGATGTAATTTCCAGCGAAACGTCGTACTCAAATTGTAAATGTTGTGGATTCACTCTTCAACACACCGGTGGGCTAAAGTAGTCAACTATTTGTCTTTTGTCAACGTGACACATTGTTTACTGATTGGCCGTGTCGGGTGGTGGAGGGTTGCAACATTTATAAATAACGCAATCTTACCCAAAAACATTTTTTTTATGAAATCACATCTGTATTAACCACATATACTTGTGGTGAACGTGCAAACAAAAAAAGAAATGGTCTGATAGTATATGGCATTGTCTTTGAAACTGATTGGTCCAAGCCAGAGCCTAGTCTCAAACAGTGTTAGACCAGAGGACTCCAAAAGGCGAACAGCACAAAGACAATGCCACTATCAGGACATTTGAGAGCTCGGGGTGAGTAGCTACATCACGGGACCTCCCTTGCCAGTATTTACTACTGTAATGAGCCAAGAATGTCTGTGTGTCCCGCGCGTGACGTCACTCCACGTCGGCCAGCCCCCCTCATTAATAATCATGAACAGGTGACGTCCTCCACATGGACCCCCCCCCCCCCCGTAATAATAATTAGTGGGTGACGTCACTCCACATGGGGGGGCGAGGCGCCTCCTCCCCCCCCCCCCTCCTCGGCGTCAACTCACAACCCTCACTACAAAACCAGAACCCTCACGTCATCACGTGATCTCCGTAACGCTGTTGAGACATCAAAGTAAAAAGGACGTCATGATGAACAATCGATTATAGCCTTAAAATGAAATAGCTCTGTCACCGCGCCCTTACAAATTGCACACGAATTGATGCAATAAATATATCACGTCACTGTCTGCTTTTCGCTTGCAAGTTTCAGATTTACTGCAATACACCACCCGTCCTTGGATGGGAAAAAGGCGAGTCAAAATATAATGTTTTACCCTTTATGGCAATAAAACAGTTGTGTTAAGATGTTAAAACACCAAACAGAAACCTTTGAAAGGAATCATGTCTGCATTAACCACACATATTTGCTGTGTTTTTTGTTTGCATGTTCTCCAAAGGTACGCCCGGCCGCCTTTGTCTCCCTAGTGACGATGTTTACACCGCACCAGGTACTCATTTGAGGCTGAGTCAACCTAGGGGAGGCCCGGGACCGGTTCGGATAATCGTCACCGGTGTTGGCCGGGTCGCCGGGTTCGTAGCGCAGCATAGCGCTCACCGCTCCCCCACAATAAGTCCAACACGCACACACACACAGGCCTGGGACACACACACACACAGGCTTGGGACACACACACGCACACACACAAGCCCTACGGACTGGCTACAGCGCAGTCGTCCGTAGGGCAAATGCCCGGGTGGGGCCGCTCCATTCCGAGGGCCGGTGGGCCGGTCTGTGTGGGGGGAATTGCAAATGTGGTAAGAGTACAAATAAAAAATAAATCTATTTTATTACCTCGAATGTGTTACGTTCCATTGCTTACTTACCCTCTCAGTTTGGCATTAAATCTCCAACATATTCGGCAGCCCCCCCCCCCCCAGTTCATTTTTGGACCCCAGCCCCCCCAAAATGTGCCCAATGAGGATGGCACACGGCAATCTGGGGGCGCGCTGTGTTTACAAAACAATTCCCGAGGCCGGTGTTTAGCGCCTAGTCCGCCGTCGCTGCGCGTACACCACGGGGCCCGTGCAGTTCTCCCCTGGGAGCAAGCCCGGCACAAGCGAGCAAGCGAGCAACATCGTGATGATGTCGCGAGACACGAGGCGCCCCCCCCCCAATCCCGAGCAACATCGTGATGATGTCGCGAGACACGAGCCCCCCCCCAACCCCGAGCAACATCGTGATGATGTCGCGAGACACGAGGCGCCACCCCCCCAATCCCGAGCAACATCGTGATGATGTCGCGAGACACGAGGCGCCACCCCCCCAACCCCGAGCAACATCGTGATGATGTCGCGAGACACGAGGCGCCCCCCCCCCCAATCCCGAGCAACATCGTGATGATGTCGCGAGACACGAGCCCCCCCCCAACCCCGAGCAACATCGTGATGATGTCGCGAGACACGAGGCGCCACCCCCCCAATCCCGAGCAACATCGTGATGATGTCGCGAGACACGAGGCGCCACCCCCCCAACCCCGAGCAACATCGTGATGATGTCGCGAGACACGAGGCGCTCCCCGCCCCCGCTAACCCCAGCCCGGTTTGTCGTGACACCGCGTGGGAGGTGGCGACTCTCGCATCGACCACTAGAGGGCGACGCGAGTTCATTGTCGAGCAGAGACGTCGAGGAGGCGCCCACCACGTGGCGCGCCACGTGGTGGCGGTAGAGTCCCGACTCGTGCACGATCTGTGCCTGCTGTGTGGGGCTACAGCGGTTGTGGGGGTCTTCGTTGCGAGGCCCGCTGGCCACTGACAAGAGTGAAAACACCGCCACCGCAGCATCATCATCATCATCGTGCTGCTGTCAAACCCCCAGTGGTGGTGACACGTGGTGCGGCGGCTCTCTCACACACACACACTGACGATGTCTTATCGGCGAAAGTGACTCCGCCCCCAACCCCCCCTCTGAAAATGACTGAAGAGTCGCTGCTATAGAGTTACAATAAAAAGTGGGGGAGGAAGGCGGTGGGGGGTTACTTGGGGACATGGAGGTGATGGGCACGGGAGGGGGGGGGGGCAGGGGCTCACCTCGGACTTGCCGAGCCGATCGAGGTTGGAGATGTCAAAAGTGTCGCCCACGGCGGCCGTGTCCACCCCGCCCGTGCCGCGCTTCTGCAGACGCAGATTGAGCAGCACTTGACCAAAGCGGCGGTCCTGGGGACAGCGGAAGACATCACAGGGAGCGCCTTGATTATTATGTTGGGGGGGGGGGGGGGAGTGTTGTTTGTGTACCGTTCTATGACCACCGATCGTACGAGTGTCTGTCTGTATCATATCACCAATTTGACACCGCACGGAATGTACGTGTGTGTACGTTGAATTTCTTTCGCGCCGTACGTAAGCCAAGCGCGCTCATCGGAGGTGCGGGGGAAGGGCAACAAACTGTGGGTCTCTGTGTGAGTCTATGGGTCTTTGTGTGAGTCTATGGGTCTCTGTGTGAGTCTATGGGTCTCTGTGTGAGTCTATGGGTCTCTGTGTGAGTCTATGGGCCTCTGTGTGTGTCTATGGGTCTCTGTGTGAGTCTATGGGTCTCTGTGTGAGTCTATGGGTCTCTGTGTGAGTCTATGGGTCTCTGTGTGAGTCTGTGGGTCTCTGTGTGAGTCTATGGGTCTCTGTGTGAGTCTATGGGTCTCTGTGTGAGTCTATGGGTCTCTGTTTGAGTCTATGGGTCTCTGTGTGAGTCTATGGGTCTCTGTGTGAGTCTATGGGTCTCTGTGTGAGTCTATGGGTCTCTGTTTGAGTCTATGGGTCTCTGTGTGAGTCTATGGGTCTCTGTGTGAGTCTATGGGTCTCTGTGTGAGTCTATGGGTCTCTGTTTGAGTCTATGGGTCTCTGTGTGAGTCTATGGGCCTCTGTGTGAGTCTATGGGTCTCTGTGTGAGTCTATGGGTCTCTGTGTGAGTCTATGGGTCTCCGTGTGAGTCTATGGGTCTCCGTGTGAGTCTATGGGTCTCTGTGTGAGTCTATGGGTCTCTGTGTGAGTCTAAGGGTCTCTGTGTGAGTCTAAGGGTCTCTGTGTGAGTTTATGGGTCTCTGTGTGAGTCTATGGGTCTCTGTTTGAGTCTAAGGGTCTCTGTGTGAGTCTAAGGGTCTCTGTGTGAGTCTATGGGTCTCTGTGTGAGTCGATAAGTCTCTGTGTGAGTCTATGGGTCTCTGTGTGAGTCTATGGGTCTCTGTGTGAGTCTATGTGTCTCTGTGTGAGTCTATGGGTCTCTGTGTGAGTCTATGGGTCTCTGCGTGAGTCTATGGGTGTCCGTGTGAGTCTATAGGTCTCTGTGTGAGTCTATGGGTCTCTGTGTGAGTCTGTGGGTCTTTGTGTCAGTCTAAGGGTCTCTGTGTGAGTCTATGGGTCTCTGTGTGAGTCTATGAGTCTCTGCGTGAGTCTATGGGTGTCCGTGTGAGTCTATAGGTCTCTGTGTGAGTCTATGGGTCTCTGTGTGAGTCTGTGGGTTTCTGTGTGAGTCTATGGGTCTCCGTGTGAGTTTATGGGTCTCCCTGTGAGTCTGTGGGTCTCTGTGAGTTTATGGGTCTCTGTGTAAGTCTATGGGTCTCTGTGAGTTTATGGGTCTCTGTGAGTTTATGGGTCTCTGTGTGAGTCTATGGGTGAGTCTATGGGTCTCTGTGAGTTTATGTGTGTACGTATGTTGAACTTCTTTTGCACCGTACGTAGCCAACTGTGCTAATTGGAAAGCGCGGGGAAATGACAACAGCTAAAACACAAAAAAGCAGTTCTAAAGAAATAAGTTTTTCAACCTAGATTTAAAAGAATGCGCTCGAATTTGCAAGCTCGGCAGTATGTAGTGGCAGTCTTGTTGTTGTTGTTTGTGGAGATATTGCAGCAGTTGCTTGCGGCTTGCAGTGATGACGATGATGATGCAATGATCTGAGCCTGCATCTTGTCTCCGAGTCGAGCTAACGTCGTTCTGATTGCCTCTGGTTGCGGTTTGAATCGAGGGCTGGTGACACGAGCAGTGGTTGCAGAATGACTCCACGTGATTTACGTTTTTGTTATTAAAATATTCGAGCAAGAAAATGCCAGGAAATGAAAAATCTCATTTGGAAGAGTGTCAGGTGTTGTCAATTGAGGTGTATCAATTGAGGTGTGTCAATTGTTATGTTTAGTTTTCTGTCCTTCCCCCGCACCTCCGATTTGGACGGTTGGTTATGTACGGTATGAAAGAAGTTCAACATACGTACATACAAACGTGCAATGGCACGCGTGCAAGCATGTTGCATCTGTAACTTACACATCATGATGACTGTGATGATGATGATGAGTTATGATGGATTCAGTGCTCTGACGATGATGATGATCTTGATCCAGCGACACGTCTGTGAGCTGCCTTCAGGACTTCTTCATCGTGCACGTGCATGATTGGAGACGATAACTATCGGAGCTACCCTCAGCTTAAATCACCTTTGGAGGCTCAAGTCTACCTCCGTGGGTTTTTTTTTTCTTTTTTAACGAAGTCGTTTTTGTCTGAGCCGGAACTAATAATTCTCATTGTATACGAGAGAGCAGCGCCGAATCAGATGTGACCCCACTTTGGAATATGCGAAGCGGGGCCTTGAAGTTGAAACCCCCGGAGTGCAGAGGCGATTCTGTTTACACGTTGCATCGAGAAACCGCGAGAGATGGCGACGGCTTGGGAAGGGGGCCTCCTTCATCCAGCAGTGGAGAGATCACGGCCGGAGAGGAGCTTTAACCCTCACCCTGACACCAAAGCCAAATCCTAGCGCCACCCGTAAACCACGATAAACACACCAATGCTTATCCCCAACCCCAACCCGAACCCATCCCTAATCCCCCTTGCTACCCCGAGCACCAATCCCATCCCTAACCCAAGCCCGAACTCATACCTCATCCCTTTGCTATCCAGAGCACCAATCCCATCCCTAACCCAAACCCGAACCCATCCCTCATCCCTTTGCTATCCAGAGCACCAACCCCATCCCTAATCCCCTTGCTACCCCGAGCACCAACCCTCGGTCTTGATACCAACACCTTGCGTCAACCCACACCCTGACCCTGGAGCCCAACCCGAACTTTAACACCCGAGCCCCAACCCTAACCGTAGCACCAACCCCCAGCCTCGGCACTAACACCTAACACCTGACCCTGAAGCAGTGACCGTGGCAGCTACGTTACCATCAGCTCGGGGGGCGTGCGGCAATCGGTCAGGTGGGGCCCCAATCTTTGATTTTTGGCTCGCACGGTCGCACCGAGGCGATTGTGTTGATCGCGGCTCCTCTTGCCCTCATCACATCGTCATCACGCTCACGGTCTCGAACGCTTAACGCTGGAGGGGCGCCCCGTCTTCGCAAAATGCAGCAGCCGCTTAACAGCCCCGGAGTACTTATTTGCAAGATAACGTTACCGCTCTGATTAAATTAAAACGTGGAACGGTTGTTAAAGCATTTTCATTAAAAAAAAGAATTAAACCGCGTTTTTAGAACAATTGCATGTTCTTCGATACTATCGAACACATCTCTCATGGTGATTGTCAATGGGGGGGGGGCCTTCAACTCGTAGCTCTGGCCACCCGGGGGTGGGGGGGGGGCAGGGTGGGGGTCAAGGCACCCCTCCCCCACGCTTGTTCCGCCACTGCCCTGAAGTCCAACCCCTAACCTTGGCGAGGAGGGGCAGTCGGACGTGGACGCCGGCCCGCAGTCCCGTGCCCAGGTTGGAGGGGCAGGTGAGCACGTAGCCCAGGTGCTTGTTCCACATGAACTCCCAGCCACGCTCCTGGATCAGTCGCTCCACCTTCAAAGACAACAACAAGAAAAAAAAAGTCCCCGTTGTAGGCTTAGCAGACTGTCGGTGCAAGTGCCGTTAGCGAGCACCTATAGAAGGCCGGCACGACACACGAGGGAGTGGGTGGCCAACACCACGCCCGGCCGCCTTTGTCTCCCCAGTGGCGATGTTTATACGCCGCACTCAGCCTCACACGTTTACTCATTTGTTTACTCGTTTGAGGCTGAGTCGACCTACGGGAGCCCCAGCACCGGTTCAGATAATCGTCACTGGTGTTGGCCGTAAGCGGGATTCGAACTCGGGTGGCCGGGTTCGCAGCGCAGCGCGCTAACCGCTACACCGCTCCCCACGCACAGACACACACACACACACGTGTGCACACACAGACACACGCACACACACACGCGTGCACGCACAGACAGACACACACACACGCGTGCGCGCACAGACACGCACACACGCGCGTGCACGCACAGACACACACACACGCGTGCGCACACAGACACAAGCACACACACGCGTGCACGCACACACACACACATACACGCGTGCACACACAGACAGACACACACACACGCGTGCGCGCACAGACACACGCACACACGCGCGTGCACGTACAGGCACACGCACATATGCGCGTGCACGCACAGGCACGGATGCCCCCCTCACCTCCTTAACCCCACGGCAGAAGCGCTCGAACACTCGCTTCATGTTGCCTCCCTTCTCCATCGAGATGAGCCGCGTGTGGTCCTCCTCGTTGATCCACACGAGGAAGTTCTTCTCGTTGTTGTGCCTGCCACCACATCGTCATCGTCGTCACCATCGTCGTCACCATCGTCATCATCATCGCTGTCACCATCATCGTCGTTATTATCGTCATCATCGCTGTCACCATCATCATCGTCATCATCAACGTCGTTATCATCGTCATCATCGTCGTCGTCATCATCGTCATCATCTTCATCATCGTCGTCATCATCTTCATCATCATCGTCGTGATCATCGTCATCATCGTCGTCATCATTGTAATCATCATCGTCGTTGTCGTCTTGATTGTCATCATAATCGTCGTCATCGTCATTGTCGTTGTCATCGTCTTCATTATCCTCGTCGTCATCATTGTTACCATCATCGTCTTTGTCGTCACCACCGTCATCGTCGTCATCGTCTGAACACCGTAGGGCCACGTGTGCCGGTGTCACGAGTCAACTTTGTCCAAAGTAACAAAAAAAAGTCACTCCCGAATCACTGAAATTGGGAAAGTCGTAGAGCAGCGATCGTCTCCCCGTCCTGCGAGAACCTCAGCAGGACCCTCTTGAACATGAGTGTCGGGGACTTGGTGAGGCTTTCCCCGGGTGAACTCGTTCAGCGATAACGACGACGACAATCGTCAACGATCGTCAGCGGTGGTGATCAGCCCTGCACCACCGCGAGTCGCATTCACATTGTGGCGACACGGCCGTACAGAACGTGCACCTACATCACTTTGTGTCACTCCACTGCTGGACGAGGGCCACACCACGCCACGCAGGTCGTGGGGGTTGTTTGACCATACTTCACCGCGCTGGTCGCCCTAGATTCCTATAACCCTCTGAACAAAATTAGAACAAAAAGTTCCGGACTGTCCTCACTGAATTAGGCATTGACCGCCATCAACCGAAGACGAAGATCCCTCTTACAGCCTGCACGGACTGTTGGGGCAAGTGCTGTTAGCGAGCACCTATGAAGGCCGGCACGGCACACGAAGGGGGTGGGTGGGGCCAGCACCACTCCCATCCTCCTTTGTCTCCCCAGTGGCGATGTTTACACACCGCACCACGTTACTCATTTGCGGCCGAGTCGACCTAGGGAAGAGCCCAGGACCGATTCAGATAACCGTCACTGGTGTTGGCCGTGAGTGGGAATCGAACTCGGGTCGCCTGGTTCCTAGTGCAGCGCGCTAACCACTACACTACCGCTCCCCACTACACCATCACCACCTCGCCTCGTGGTTCTTCACCCTTACTGCAGCATTGCACCTCTTTCCTTCTCAATCCTTAAACATTTATCACGTGAAAAATATAGATCGGTTTGATGAAACAAAGTAATTGTACTTATGTGCCCTGCTTAATTTGTGTGCTCGATCATTTACCTTCTAAAAAAAAAATCTGGCCATGCCTCGCACCCCCAGAAAGGGCATCTCGCACCCCCAGGGGGTGCAGGGTGCACCCCAGGCTAAGAGGCATTGACCAAACCCATCTTCCACTCTCCTCCCCACACGACCAGGACAGCTCCCTCCCTCCCTCCCTCCCCTCCCTCCCCTCCCTCCCCTCCCTCCCTCCCTCCCTCCCTCCCCTCCCCTCCCTCCCCTCCCTCCCTCCCCTCCCCTTCCCTCCATCCCCTCGCTCCCTCCATCCCCTCGCTCCCTCCCTCCCCTCCCCTCTCCTCCCTCTCCTGCTCACCAGATGCCGCGGGCGTCCGGCCAGTCCCGGGCCATCCCAGCCGAGGTGAGCAATGGCGACACGGGTTTGTCGAACAGGAAGTGGTCCTGCGTGAAGGAGGTGAGTGAGTGCGATAGAGGTGAGGGCACAGAGAGGGCGGTGAGGGTGAGCGGTGGGGAGGGAGGGGGGGTCAATAGTGGAATCAGTGGTGCAGCTGTATTCGTGTTTAGTTTATTGTCCTTCCCAGCGCACCTCCGATTAGCACAGTTGGCTACGTACGGTGCGAAAGAAGTTCAACATGCATACATATCGAGTGTGTGGGCAGTGCAATTGCATGCGGGTCGACGAGGATCATAGGGATCCAGTGGCCGGGTTATGATAAATTTGAACGAGGTTGGGGGGGGGGGAGGCAAGAGAGAGGGTGGGGGCACAGGGGGGGGGGCGGGGGTGGTCCGATCGAGCTACCGGAGACTTTGTCAGGGCGGTCTATGTTCAAGAACGGTCCGCGGAAGTTGCTATCACAGAACCGCTTCTGAGATCCCTTCCGTGACATGTCACCCCACCGCACACACGAGGGGGCGCTGCGCGTTCACCCGTCCACTGCTCCACACGGGAATGTCGCTTTGCAGTCGACGATTATTTTTTTCTCTCTACATTCTCAGAGCTGGAATTTACGCGATTGAAATACAACCCTTGATTTAACACGATCCGCTTTCTTACCACATACCTTGCCATGTGTCTATTTATTACCCTCGATAAGTGTCATCTCGCAGGGCTGGTATCTGCCATATTAAACGGCAAAACAAAAACATCCCCAATAAATTGCGATATTTATTGTGTGTGTGTGTGTGCAGTCGTTGGCACGGTGAACGGGATGAGACCCGAGGCGCTTGAGAACTCGGCTATCCCATCGCCGGTCGGCGGCGGCTGAAACCTGGAGTCGAACTCAGATTTTCAACAGTGCCGGCTAAAATTGCTCCCGAGACCCCTGACCCACGTTGGCCAAACGGCGTCGTGTCAAGGAACGGAAGAATCCATTCGGAAATCTCACAGCAGAAGCGGTGCAAGCCCCTCCCCCCACCTCCACTCCGCCGTGTTAAATAACGGCCCGTGGAAGCAGACATCTCAGCACTGCTTCTGAACTCTTGTGATGTCTCAATCTAAACAATTTATATATTTTTATTTTACCAGGTAAGGCCCACTCAGCTATGTAACTATTTTTTCAGATGCGACCTTGGCCACATATGATAGCTCAACGAAATGGCTTATCGTCATCATGTGGACATTTGTAGCAGCCAAATGCTCGAAACGCGTCGTGTTGATTCTTAATGTGGGGGGGGGGGGGGGGGAGGTAAAAAACGGAGGATACGCAGGAAAATCCACGCGACCGCGGTGAAAGAGACAGAGGTAGAGACACGCAAACTCAAAATATATAGCAGCAGGCGTCAGGGTCGGGATTGAACCCACGACCTCCTGCATACCAGGCGAGGTAGTTCACATCGTGGCGCCCTTCACAAGCGAGGGATTGGAGGGAGGGGCGGGCAGCACTTCCCCATACAGCTACAGATTAGCCGGGGAGGAGGGGAGGGGGAGGGGGAGGCCGATGCAACGAAACTAAACAATTTTTTTGTTAACCAGGTAAGACCCACTGAGCAATACTGCTCTACCTACACCCCCCATAACACCCCTCCCCGCCACCTCCCAGCCAATCAGTGAGCGGATGGCTGGGTGGGCGGGTGGCTGGGTGGGCTCTATTGTGACGCGTCTGCCGAAGCTCCTTACGGATATGAGCTGCTCCTGCTCGCAGTCCGTCATGCCGCAGAGGGGGTAGTAGCGGCCCTTGAGGTCGCCCTTGAGGTCCGCCAGGGCCGAGGTGACCACACGCTCCACCTCGCGCCGCTCGGCGCGCGTGCACGCGGGCGGCAGCGCGAGCCCGCGGATGCTGCGCCCGCTGCGAACGCGCGTGGACAGCACGTAGCGCTCGTCCATCACGCCGTGGGTGAGCTGGAGGGGGGTGATAGGGTGGTGTTGGGAGTGGGCGGTGGTGGGCAAGAGGAGGAGAAGAGGAGGAGAGAAGGAGTTGGGAAGGGGAGGGGCGTGTCTCTCTCTGTGTCTCCGCGTCTCGGTGTCTCTCTCGGTGCCTCCGCGTCTCGGTGTCTCTCTCAGTGTCTCCGCGTCTCGGTGTCTCTCTCGGTGTCTCCGCGTCTCGGTGTCTCTCTCAGTGTCTCCGCGTCTCGGTGTCTCTCTCGGTGTCTCTTCGTCTCGGTGTCTCTCTCGGTGTCTCTGCGTCTCGGTGTCTCTCTCAGTGTCTCTGCGTCTCGGTGTCTCTCTCAGTGTCTCTGCGTCTCGGTGTCTCTTTCAGTGTCTCCGCGTCTCGGTGTCTCTCTCGGTGTCTCTGCGTCTCGGTGTCTCTCTCAGTGTCTCCGCGTCTCGGTGTCTCTCTAAGTGTCTCTGCGTCTCAGTGTCTCTCTCGGTGTCTCTGCATCTCGGTGTCTCTCTCAGTGTCTCTGCGTCTCGGTGTCTCTTTCAGTGTCTCCGCGTCTCGGTGTCTCTCTCGGTGTCTCTGCGTCTCGGTGTCTCTCTCAGTGTCTCCGCGTCTCGGTGTCTCTCTAAGTGTCTCTGCGTCTCAGTGTCTCTCTCGGTGTCTCTGCATCTCGGTGTCTCTCTCAGTGTCTCTGCGTCTCGGTGTCTCTTTCAGTGCCTCCGCGTCTTGGTGTCTCTCTCGGTGTCTCCGCGTCTCGGTGTCTCTCTAAGTGTCTCTGCGTCTCAGTGTCTCTCTCAGTGTCTCTGCGTCTCGGTGTCTCTTTCAGTGCCTCCGCGTCTCGGTGTCTCTCTCGGTGTCTCCGCGTCTCGGTGTCTCTCTCAGTGTCTCCGCGTCTCGGTGTCTTTCCCAGTGTCTCCGCGTCTCGGTGTCTCTCCCAGTGTCTCCGCGTCTCGGTGTCTCTCTCGGTGTCTCCGCGTCTCGGTGTCTCTCTCGGTGTCTCCGCGTCTCGGTGTCTCTCTCAGTGTCTCCGCGTCCCTCCGTGCGTCCCGGTCTCCTCACCTTGGAGTGGTCCAGGTCCGTGCTGTGCACCATCTTCCGTGGGTCGTACCCGTTGTGCCGCTCTTTGATCACGGGGTTGAAAATGTCCGCGAACACCTGCGAGACACAGCACCGGCACGGCATGCCGAGGTGGTGGCGGCGGTGTGGTGGCGGTGTGGTGTGTTGTGGTTACGGCGTGGCGGTGTGGTGTGGTGTGGTTTCGGCGTGGTCAGACGTGACGCGGTGTGTCACGGGACAAGGTGCGTGGGTAGGAGTGAGTGGTGCAGCTATCGAGTGCACGCAAACGAGGATCAAAGGTTCCAGTGGCCGGGTTACGATAAATTTGGACGTGGCAGAGGGGGGGGGGGGGCAGGGGAAGAGGGTGGGGGTGCACGGGGGGGGGGGAGGTTTCCGATCGAGCAACCAATGACAAATAATCCATTGAGACGGAAACTCTCTCAGTGTCTCTGCGTCTCTGTGTCTCAGTGTCTCTCTCAGTGTCTCTGTTGAAGAACGGCCCGTGGAAGTTGATATCCCAGAACGGTGATATTTTGCAATGACGATAATCGTTTTTGCACGTTCATACAGCGATCGCCAAAACATGTCGTCAAAAACTCGAAGCTCCTCGCATCGCATCATCTGAACAAATTCAGAGTGGACCCCCAAGTGGCAGCTGTCCCTGTGCGGTACAATGTGACTCCTCGGCGCCAGCTTGCAAGTGGGCATTGTCAGTGGCGTAGTAACTACATTGTCAGTGGTGGAGTAACTACATTATCAGTGGTGTAGTAACTACATTGTCAGTGGTGGAGTAACTACATTATCAGTGGTGTAGTAACTACACTATCAGTGGCGTAGTGACTACATTATCAGTGGTGTAGTAACTACATTATCAGTGGTGTAGTAACTACATTATCAGTGGCGTAGTAACTACATTATCAGTGGTGTAGTAACTACATTATCAGTGTAGTAACTACATTATCAGTGGCGTAGTGACTACATTATTATCATCTCAGGGGATACGGCAATCGGTCAGGTGGGGACCCCCCAATATTCCCATCCGTTTGATTTCATTAAATTAAAAGCGCAAATGAAATGAAGGCATTTTTCATCTAATTTTTGTTTTACTTTGAACAGCGTTTTAGAATAAGATCTCGTTCTTTGACACCGTCGAAAACACATCTCTCATGGTAGCTTTGGCCACTGGGGGGGGGAGCAGGGGGGATGCAAGGCACCCCCTCCTGCCCCCCTGCCCCCCCCCCCCCCCACTTCTCGTGAAGCTACCGAGTGTGCTACGAGGCACAGCAACAGCACGGCACCTCATAGGACTCCTCGTCTCCCGCCACCATGCCCACGGTCTTGATGAAGGGGTGGCCGGCGTTGTCCACGCCGGTCTGGATGCACTGGTCCAGGGTGAAGCCGCCGGGAGTGGCTTTGTCGTAGAGGTGCGCGTAGACCGCCGGCGTGAGGCTACTCGCCATGCAGTTGTTGTGCTTGCGCAGGTCCGGGTACTCGGCACTGTGGAGAGCGGCCGCCACCGTCGGCCGTCGTCAGCCGTCGTCGCCGTCACCGTCGTCGTCGTCACCGTCGTAAACATCGTCGGCCGTCACGATCATCGTCGCCGTCACGATCATCGTCGCCGTCACGATCATCGTCGCCGTCGTCGTCATCGTCACCGTCATAATCATCGTCAGCATCATCACCGTCATAAATCATCGTCACCGTCGTGATCACCATCATCATCATCGCCGTCATCATCGTCATTGTCATCATCGTCATCATCACCGTCATAAATCATCGTCACCGTCGTGATCACCATCATCATCATCATCACCGTCATCATCGTCATTGTCATCATCGTCATCATAACCGTCATAATCATCGTCGCCATCAGCAGCACTTGAAATAGCCATCAACACCACCATCATCACTATCATCATCATTATCGCACTGTGGATAGTGATCAACACCATCATCGTCACCATCACCATCGTCATCATCATCATCAGAACTGCGTACGGCGATTAACACCATCACTATCATCATCACCACGATCATCATCATCATCAGCACTGAGAATAGTGATCAACACAATCATCACTGTTATCATCAGCAGCAACACTGTAAACAGCTATCAACACAATCATCACCATCATCAGGAGCAGCACTCCAACCAGCTATCGACACCATCATAAATTTCACCATCATCATCACGATCAGCATCATCGCCGTCGTCACCGCCATCACCACCAATCCCGTCCCACCGCCCCGTGCTCTCGCCTGGCCGGGTAGAAGCGCCTCCCCGTGTTCATCGCCGCTCCGACCCAGTTCGAGTCCCGGTTGAGCGCCAATCCCGACGCCACGATCCCGGCCCCCGCCGCGGCCCCCAGCATGAGGCCCCCTCGGCCCCCCAACATCGCGCGGATGAAGCTGCTTGCCATTGCCCCGGCTCCCCAATTTTCTGGGGGGGGGGGGGGGTGGGCAGAGGAGATACCATGTAGTCGGCCACGGTCTCCATCAAATCAGAATATTGATGCATCCCGGAGGAATCCGATGAGCTCTCGAAGCTCTTTGTTTCCCCCACAGGTGTCCAGTCAGGGGTCGGGTCAGAACGTGACAACGACATGAGCTGCACACAGCACGGCAGCACGGCAATAACCCCGCTTTACGTCGGGGATGCGTTCCTGGACGGTGCGACGACGAATATCGAAACGACGTCAACGAGAAGCGATTTACAGGGCTGGTTGTAGTAGTGGTAGTGGGTGGTGGTGGTGGAGGCGAAGGCTGAGAGGCGACGATGGCGTCAGCGACGTGAGTGCGGGGTCGGGACGACGCACAATTCGGTAGCGGTGTTCATAATAAAGTGACGACGTGTTTGCGAAACGACGTCACTCGTGGTATCGCGGTCAAATGCGCCCAGATATAATCTTGGGAGGTGGATTGGCGGCGCAGTGGTCAGCGCACTGATATACTAATTCGGCCTTCGGAGATTAGATTCCCGGGCACCGCTAACGTCCGTGGCGAGTGAAATCGGAATCAGCCGTGGGGTTTATACCCCTCCAGGCCTCCCCCACTACACAAAGAACCGCACTGACCAGCGTGGTGAAGTATGGTCAAACAACCGCCACAGGCGACCAACCACGGCGTGGGAAGGTCATCATCTAGCCGTGTGTACAGGTTCCACTCGCGCTACGTGGTAGTCGTAGCAGGTTGTAGTAGTAGTAGTAGTAGATGTAGTAGTAGTAGTAGATGTAGTAGTAGTAGTAGATGTAGTAGTAGGTGTAGCAGTAAGTGTGGTGGTAGATGTAGTAGTAGATGTAGTAGTAAGTGTGGTGGTAGATGTAGTAGTAGATGTAGTAGATGTAGCAGTAAGTGTGGTGGTAGATGTAGTAGTAGATGTAGCAGTAAGTGTGGTGGTAGATGTAGTAGTAGATGTAGTAGTAAGTGTGGTGGTAGATGTAGTAGTAGATGTAGTAGATGTAGCAGTAGATGTAGTAGTAAGTGTGGTGGTAGATGTGGTAGTAGATGTAGGAGTGGTATATGTAGTAGTAGATGTAGCCGTAAGTGTGGTAGTAGATGTAGTAGAAAATGTAGTAGTAGATGTAGTAGATGTAGTAGTAGATGTAGTAGTGGTACATGTAGTAGTAGTAGTAGATGTAATAGTAGATGTAGTAGTAAGTGTGGTAGTAGATGTAGTAATATATGTAGTAGTAGATGTAGTAGTGGTACATGTAGTAGTAGATGTAGTAGTAGTAGATGTAGTAGTAGTGGTAGTAGTAGTAGATGTAATAGTAGTAGATGTAGTAGTATATGTAGTAGTAGTAGATGTAGTAGTGGTACATGTAGTAGTAGATGTAGTAGTAGATGTAGTAGTAGATGTAGTAGTAGTAGATGTAGTAGTGGTACATGTAATAGTAGTAGATGTAGTCGTAGATGCGTTCCCAAAAAATGGGCGCACAAAGCGAGTGGCGCACACAGTACACACACAGCGCACACAGTACACACACAGCACACACAGTACACACACAGGGTTATCCTACGTCCGACCGCACAGCTGCACCTGAGTGAGTTCAAACTGCATGCGTTCAGGCACGCAAACCGAGAAACGTTGTGCCGGCTTGTGTTCATACAGGAGGTCGTGGGTTCGATCCTGACCCTGACGCCTGCTGCTGTATATTTGGAGTTTGTGTGTCTCTGTCTCTCTCCCCGTGGTCGCGTGGATTTTTCTCCGGGGTCGTCCGGTTATTCCCCTCCGGATTTAGAATGAACATCACGCGTTTGGAGTATTTGGCTGCTATAAATGTCAACGTGGTGATGAGCCACTTCGTTGAGCTATCGATCTGTGATAGCCCAGGTCGCATTTGAAAAAAGAGCCATAACACAGCTCAGTGGAGCCTTGTACAAACTATATATCGATTTTAAAAAATTGTTTAGTTTTAGTGTGTGTACGAATGAAGCCCTTGAGTAGGAACTTCGCAAACGCGACGCACCTTGTAAACACCTACCTGGCTGTGCACGCGTGGGCAACCTCGACGGGAAATAAAACTTAAAAACAAACAAAAATAGAAACTGATTTCATAAATTCAATTGCTAATACGACGGCGGCGGCGGTGTGATGAATAGTCGTCGATGCCCGATGTTCGATTGCGTGCGGTGTGGTGTCGGTGCGTCGACGAAGCGTCGGGTGCTGTTCTCGAGATGTCACCTGCGGGAGGACGGCGGAGAGATGGACACGGGCGAGCGAAGGGATCGTCGTTCGCCTTCTGTGCCGCTTGTGCGTTTTGAATCGAGCAAAGGTTTAACGATGTGATTATATATATGTGTGCGCGCGCGATTGTATTTATTTATAGGTGAACGGGCAAAGGCTCGAAATAGGACGCGCAGACAGGACGCATGAGCGTCCGAGAGGTCGTACGCGACGGATCTGTAACGTGACACCCGACCACCGCAGCCGCCTCTCGGCGCTGCACGGAACATGTTAGCGCGCCCTTCCAACTATTTTTCTTTCCCACGCCACGCGTTCTGACCGGTAACCTTCCTGTCAGCGGACGAGCCTTGCGACACTTCACGTGGCCTCGAAGTGCGCCTGGTCTGGCGTAGGCGTCGTGGCCACGCCGCCGTCACTTAAATGGCGAACGCGCGGGGTGTTGGTGTTGGCCAATACTCTTGGTCGGAGGCTGATTCGAGACGACAACTCAACTTCGGCTGAAGAAGCTCGTGGAGGGGAAACGTCGGACATGCACACCGATTACGGAGAGTCCTACAGCAGCCGCTACCCGCCTCCTCGTGTCAAGCAATCACATCGCCGAGATGAAAGCCAGAATCACAATGTGCATCTATACTGGAGGAATCCGACGAGCGATTCGGCTCTGCTTCACAGATGTTCCAGTAAAGCGGGGGGGGGGGGGGGGGGGGGGGGGGGGCACGTGGTCAGAACCTCGCAACAACAACAAACGCGACAGGATTGCAACGTATAGGAGAGGTAAACTAAAATCGGCTTTAAAAAACAAATACACAAATAAAACGAAACTACTGTTGTTTTTGTTATATTCTCACCAGACAAAAACCCGCTTGAGCTGGGAGGGTGATGAGAAATGAGTGGGGGCATCTATAAACGGGTCGCCCTGTATATGGCGATAAACGGGAGCCGTCATCCAGTGTCGCTACGGCATTTGCCAAGTGAGGCGCACGAATGGGGGAGGGGGGGGTGAATGGATTTAATCCCCATTTTATTTGTTGTCCTGCCTGTGGTGGCCGTGAATAGGGGGGGGGGGGGTGGCCGTGATTTAGGGGGGGGGGTGGCCGTGAATAGGAGGGGGTGGCCGTGAATCGGGGGTGGGGGTGTCCGTGAATAGGGGGGGGGGCGTGAATTAGGGGGGGGGTGCCCGTGAATAGGGCGCGAGGGTGGCTGTGAATCAGGGGCTGGGTAGAGGGGGGGGCGTCTGCGTTGAGTGCACGAAAAGCCTCCCACGACCTCACGAATTAAAGAATGTCTCCTTCACCACGCGCGCCCGTCTCTCTACGTTGAGAACACAAAAAGGAATCTCTTACACAAACGCATCGGCCGCGCGCCCTTCTCTCCAGGGGTGCGCGATTATCCAAGACAGGCAAACTCTGGTACCGACGTCGACACGCAGTGTCTCATCAGCAGAGTCAGGCTCGCTTCAATCCAGGCTGGTGAAGTGCCCAGATCTTACGGGCAAAGGACCCCCCCCCCCTCTCTTTACGCTATGGGGGTCCAAATTTGCTGCGAGATTACATACTACATCCAAAAGGAATCTTCGTGTCACGGCATTCTGGATAATTTTCTGCCCATCAACAGATTGAGAATTACGAAACTGAGCGAATGTAGCCGTCGTCATGATCATCATGAACCCTGGTCTATCCACTGCTGGATGAAGGCCTCTCCCGCTCCGTCCCACGATAGCCAAACCAATTGAAGAATCGACAACAAGCGCCTGCCGCGCCCCCCCCCCCCCCCCCCCAATTACACACAAAGCCCAAAGGGAGAGGCGGGAATTGGTCGAATTGATATGAAGACGCTCTGCAACAATAGGCGTGGGACATCACTTTGGGGGAAGAGTGATTTGGAGTGAATGGAGCCCGAGTGGTGGTGCGTGCAAGTGAATGAATTAATTAAGAGAAATTACAACAACCTGGCGTGTCATTGAAAAAAACAAAAACAAACCCAAATCAGATTGAAGGTTGAGGATTGAGCGGGGATTCGTAATTGGATGAGACGAGGAAAGCCTTCATCTTGTAAGTGGAGATAATGGGAAAGCCTTCGGTCGGCAGGACTCATTAATACCGCAAGGCTATTTCGGATGCATTCTAAACTGCACATAGCTGTGTGTGTGTGTGCTTAACACGGTGTGTAGCGCCAGTAAGCGCGCTGCCCTACGATCCCGGCCACCAGAGTTCCATTCTCGCTCACGGTCACCAACACCAGTGACTATTATTTGAACCGGTCCTGGGTCTTCCCTAGGTCGACTCAGCCTGGTGTGTAAACATCGCCACTGGGGAGACAAAGGCGGCCGTGCCTGGAGTTGGCCACACAAGCCCCTCGTGTGCCGTGCCGGCCTTCATAGGCGCTCGCTACCAGCACTTGCCCCAACAGTCTGTTAAAAGGCTGAGCAGGTGGTGCAGTGCGCTATGAACCTATCAACCTGCGTTCGATTCCCGGCCACGGGCTGATATCAGTGGACAAGTGTGCCTCCCTTCACCAAGAAGGACCACTGCCCGAAACGTCGCCTATTATATATCTTTTTGAGAGCAGCGTTACAGTCGCGTTTGTATTAAACAAGCATTGTGTTGATGCTGCTACTGCAGCTGTGCAAAAGCACAATTAACACGAACAAAGTTCGACACCTTCTGCAATGACACCGTGGCCTTAAAAAGTGTATGGATCGTCTTCATAGCACGCGAGGTTGTGTGGGCTTTGCTTGTGCACCACTTTCCAAAGCAGTAATCACGACAAACAAAAAAAAACCCAACGTGTTTTTCTTGTTGTTCAATGCTGTCAACAGTGGTGAAGTATGGTCAAGCAACGTCCCCGCGATCGACGCAGCATTGAATTATTATTATTATTATTATATTTTTTAATCCGAGCAGCGAATTCTAATTGAGTGTCGTAAGTTCCACGGTTTGGTTTCGAGTCCAAGCGAAGGTCGCGCCGTCAGGGTCAAATGAGAAGAAGGGAATGAGTGGTGGGGGTTGGAAGAGATGGAAGGGGGGGGGGGTGGCGTGGTGGGGGGAGGGGGGGCTGTGAGTGCTGTGCGGGAACGGTGGAGTTGGTGGGGGGGAGAGAGCCGCAATCGATGGAGATGGCAGACGGTACGGAAATTACTCCACACGAGCGGACGTCATGATAATCAAAGTCACGGAACTAGATGTCATGATTGTGACTATCATGCAACGATATATTTTCATATATAATGATGATGATCATTGCCATGCAATTAGACATCATGATCGTGTAAACTCGATTTTATCATCATCATGCATCCATTCAAATTGACGTAATCATATAAATTGACGTCACTGTGATCAACAGGATTGCATATCTGGTTGATGCAAGTACATATCATCATGGGTATATTTTGATATCATCCTGGAAATTGGTATCATCAGCATCACCATAGTAATATAAACCAAATGCCATTGAAGCATATCATCATGTGCCTAACCATCAGGATCACCATTTCATCCTTCAAAACAATAACCATCACGTGACTAAACACCATCATCAGCCATGGTCTATGCACCGCTGGGTGAAGGCCTCCTCCCCATGCTGTCTCCAGCCCTCGCAGTCCTGTGATGCCACAGTCAAAAATAAAGACAAAGATCTCCCATGTAGCCGACACAGGCTGTTGGGGCAAGTGCTGATAGCGCCTATTACGGCTTGAACGGCACAGGAGAGGGGGGGGGCTATGAGCTTGCGGTAACCACACCCGGCCGCCTTTGTCTCCCCAGCAGTGATGTATACGTAGCTCACTAAGCACTCTTTTAAGGCCACACTCACAAAGAGACGCATAACGCACCACACAAATACCGCGTGATCCCTCGCGTCTCAAACGGCAAGTCGCGACTGCACCCAATGCCCCTGGATCCATCTCACTCGCACGCACACACGCATCAAGGATTGTTGCTGTTGTTGTTGGTATTGTTTGTATCGCAAACAACAACGTTCATCTCCTGTGCAAGGTGCTCGGTGGATTTTTATGTTTGACATCGCACGGTGGCTCATGATGATGGCGGAGGATCATGATGGAGGAGGATGATGAGGATCATCACACACGTAACAAAACAATCAAATACCGTATAATGATACTCTCGTCGTCGCGTTTCAAAGCAAATGAACGACAGTGATTGATGATTCGGCCGAGAAAAAAAGCCAAGGGAGTTGGGCAGTCGTTCGTTCGTTCGTGCACGGCGCAGTGGACGTGCATAGCGCACAAATCACCGATGGATGAACGCGCCCGAGCAATAACAAAGAGGGGGGGGGGATGAAGGCTGCGCATACCTCGACACGCACGCGAAGGCGAGTACAAGAACCCGTGCATACATGCGTACACACACACATACGTGCACATACACACACGCGCGTACCTATACCTACCTTGGCTTATGGCGAGTCAAGCTTGTGTCTGGCAAGTGTGGCGGAGAATGCTGCCCCGGCTGCTGCTGCTGGTGATGGTCGCGGTGGCGATGGTTGCGGTGGTGGTTGTGGTTGTCGTAGTGGTGGTGGTGGTGGTGCAAATCCCGCTCTCTCCGTCTTCTCTCTCCCGCATCATCTCCGCCAAGCGCAACCCCTCCCCCTCCTCTCCCCCCTCCTCTCACCCCCTCCTCTCATCCCTCCCCCCTCCTCTCACCCCCCTCCTCCTCTCACCCCCCCCCTCCTCTCACCCCTCCCCCCTCCTCTCACCCCTCCCCCCTCCTCTCACTCCCCTCCTCTCATCCCCCCTCCTCTCATCCCCCCTCCTCCTCTCAACCCCCCTCCTCCTCTCATCCCCCCTCCTCTCACCCCCCCCCCTTCTCTAATCCTCCTCCTCTCACCCCCCCCCCACCTTACCCTGCTGCCCCCCACTAGGTGATCTCATTCCGCCGGCAGAAATATCAGTGGGGGTGTGTTGGGTGGTGGGTTGGTGGTGGTGGTGGGGGGGTGGTGGTGGTGGGGGGGTGACACAGCAATCGGCTCGGATGGGATTTGCGTCCGATGGAAGGCGGATGTCCGAGTAGGAGGAGGAGACGGCGGGGTGGAGGGGGCGAAAGATGACCGGGTCGCACGCGCACGGACGCGCGCTCGCTCGCTCCCCCGTATGCACGCGTTGTGTTATCGGGCTTTCGCATGATTACACGGATTACAAAGAGAAAGATCCCCCGCATAGCCTGGCACAGACTGTTGGGGCAAGTGCCGTTAGGGAGCGTCTAGGAAGGGCGGCACGGCACACGAGGGTGGCCTACACCACGCCCAGCCGCCTTTGTCTCCCTAGTGGTGATGTTTGCACACCGCACCAGGTACTCATTTGAGGCTGAGTCGACCTAGGGGAGGCCCAAGATCGGTTCAGATTGTCGTCAATAGTGTTGGCCGTGAGCGGGAATCGAATGCGTAGCGCTCCCCACAGATCACACACACACACACAGACCAACAAAACACAATAACCGCCAGGAGGTCACGGGGCAGACCCAAGTGCCACAGGTCGACTGACTAAGATGACTGAGATGACTGGCTGATGCACCACCTATGCCCCCTACTGTGCCAACCTGCTGTGCTTTAGCCACCCGGCGCTCCGCTCGTTGTTTTGAGCGTCGCTCCTCCGCCCTCCGTTGTTGTTGGAGGGCGACTACCTCCAACTGCCCAGTAGCGTCCTTCACGAGCCTCCTCCACAGAGGCCGATCGTGACACCGCTGGTACCAGTCATCGGCAAGTCCACTCAGCTCCACGTCCTCCTGTACCACATCACTCCATCTCTTCTCTAGCCCGTGCCGCGCCCGTTTAGCCCCCTCGATCCGGCCGAACAAAAGCTGTTTCGGCATGCGGTGGCTGGGCATGCGGGCTACATGACCCAGCCAACGCAGCCTTGCCTGCCGGAGGAGCTCACCGATGGGACCTTGCCCAGATCTTTCAAGGATTTGTGTGCTCCTCACACAATCCAGCCTGGTTCAACCCAGGATGGATTGTAGGCATGCTAGCCTAAATGTTTCCAACCGGCGAAGATGCTCCATTAAGGGCGTCCATGTTTCGCAAGCGTAGAGAAGGGAGGGAATGACCGTGGCCGAGAAGACCTGAAGCTTAGTGCGGAGCGACAGACCAGGTAGCTTCCACACAGTGTTACGCAACCGATGAAAAGATATTGCCGCTCAACTGGAACCGGTCATAAGCACACTGCCCAGGTATGGGAAACTCTCCACTCTCTCCACAACTGCCCCATCACCGATTGGGAGTTGTGGGGGTGGAGTGTCCGATGGTACAAAATACCCAGGCAGGTGCTTAGTTTTGGTGGGGCTGATGGTAAGGCCCCATCTCTTAGTGGCACGCTCCAGTCTCAGCAGCAGCGTCTCCAACACCTCCTCTGAATGAGCAGCTATTACCAAATCATCAGCATACATAACGTGGTTCAGCAATAGGGAGCCATCTCTTGACCGCACCCAGGCATCGATCAGCCTCCCATTATATCTGTACCAAATGTAGATTTCCCCGGTACAGCTATTGAAGGTTTCACGAACTACGTGGTCAAAATAGATGTTAAATAATGTGGGAGCCAGAGGACATCCCTGTCGCACCCCAAGGTGTACAGGGAATGGCTCTGACTCCCGGCCACGTAGTTTTACCTGGGTCCGCTCACCATCATGAAGGTCCTTAATGATCGTGAGCAGAGGGTCAGGGACTCCAAAAGCACGAAGAACAACCCAGAGCCCAGGCCTACCGATGGTATCATAGGCCTTGACCAGGTCAATAAAGCAGAGATGTAGGTCTTGCTGGAATTCCCTACACCTCTGCTGTAGCAGACGGACACAAAATATGGCATCTGTGCAGGATCGCCCTTTCCTGAAACCGCATTGGGGCTCCGCAAGCCTCTCCTCAGCGTGCCTGGCAAGGCGATGTTGAATAATCCTTGCCAAGACCTTTCCCGGCACACTGAGGAGTGAGATGCCCCTGTAGTTGTTACAGTCTGTGCAATCCCCCTTCTTAAAGAGGGGGATCACTAGGGCATCCTTCCAATCATGCGGAACGCGTCCAGTGGTCCAGACTGTTGTTATGATGTCATATAGGGCAGTCTGTGCACAAACGCCACCCTACCTCAGCATTTGGCTTGGGAGATCATCTCTGCCCGCTGCCTTTCCTGGTCTCAGACTCCGGATCGCCTTCAGTACTTCCTCAACAGATGGTACTTCAGCCAGCCACTCACAGGGGGTGACTTCTTCCAGAAATGCTCAGCAAATCTGCAAACCTGTTCCTGGGGGTCGGAGATTGGATCACCGTTTTTTCTCCTAATGATGGTAATAGGTGTGGCGCTGCAGGTTACTTTTTTGATGGAGTTAAATAGAGATTTGTGATCGCGGGCCACTGAGGGAGACTCCATCTCATCAGCAACCCGCAACCACCACCCGTCCTTGCAGCGCCTCACGGCTCTCCGAACCTCCAAGCGAAGGCTGTGGTAAGTCTCCACATTCTCTGACGTGGGATTCTGTAGCCGATGACAGTGGGCTTGTCGCTTTTTCTCAACTATCCTGAACACCTCCTCTGTCAGCCAGGCTATCTGGGGAGGTCTGGACCACGTACCCAAGCAGCCATTGCAGCTGCATGAGTCACAGTCCTAAACCTCGCCCATTTACCCTCGACATCAGGAGGAGTGGGGGACGATGCCAATCCCAGCGATGATGAAATTATCGCTTGCAACTTTCATCAGATAACTGAGACCAGGCCACTTTAGGTTGGAATTGGGTCCTGGGTGTATACCTACCACCGTAGTGGAAGAATGGCAGGCGCATCTTACAGATGACTAGTCGATGGTCAGAGGGCAGATCAGCTCCACGGTAGGTTCTGGTATCAAGGACATGGGCTCGCATCCACTGGTCCGTCACTATGTAGTCCAGCAGATGTTCTTGCTTGGACCCGGCATGCATCCATGATGTTGTGTGGATGCGCCGATGCCGGAACAGCGTGTTGGTAATTACAAGCCCATGGGCTGCACACAAATCTAGCAGCATCCTACCGTTGTTATTGAGCTGATCTGGCCCATGCCCTCCAATCACTCCAGACCAGGTGCCAGCATCATGACCAACTCGGGCATTGAAGTCACCCAACATGATGACTCTATTCCGAGGTGCCACTTTAGCCAGCACCTGTGACAGGAGGTCATAGAAGGCATCTGACTCATCGGCTTTTCCTGCATCCCTCCACGGATGTTCGTCTTCGGTGGGGGCATAAGTAACCACGACCACCACTCCTCACCTCCGGTTGATGGGAAGGCGAGCCCAAAGTAGCCTGGGGCTTACAGCTTCCCACACCTCACCGCCACGCTCCCACGCCCCCTTCAATCTTTTGTTCAAAAGAAGAGCCACACCCTGTTGTTTGGCAGTCTGCTGCCCCGAGTAGAGGACTGTCCACCCCTCATGGTGGCAGGAGCCAGAACCGGTCCACCGGACCTCCTGAACACACACACAGACCAACACATACACACAGACCAACACACACACAGACCAACACACACACACACACAGACCAACACACACACAGACCTACACACACACACAGACCAACAAAGACAAAGATCAAAGATCCCCCATATAGCCTTAACAGACTGTAGGGGCAAGTGCTGTTAGCGAGCACCTATGAAGGCCGGAACGGTACACGAGGGGGTGGGTGGCCAGCACCACGCCCGACCGCCTTTGTCTCCCTAGTGGCAATGTTTACACACCGCACCAGGTACTCATTTGAGGCTGAGTCGACCTAGGGGAGGCCTGGGACCGGTTCAGATAATCGTCACTGGTGTTGGCCGTGAGCGGGAATCGAACCCGGGTCGCCAGGTTCATAGCGCAGCGCGCTAACCGCTACACACACAGACCAACACACACACACAGACCAACACACACACACAGACCAACACACACACACACAGACCTACACACACACAGACCAACACATACACACAGACCAACACACACACACAGACCAACACACACACAGACCAACACACACACACACAGACCAACACACACACACAGACCTACACACACACACAGACCAACACACACACAGACCAACACACACACACGCTGACATACATTCTCAATGGGCTCCCATCTTGTTATACATAATTTATGTGTACATGCTTACTAATACATCAGCACGAATGCTTAGTAACTTACGCGCATATAATAGTCAGATAAAAAAGCGCCCAAAAATAGCCATAACAGACTGTTGTGGGTGGCCAGTAACCACGCCCGACCGCCTTTGTCTCCCCCGCGGTGAGGTTTACGCACCGCAGCAGACACTGTACTCAGTTGAGGCTGAATCGACCTAGAGGGGGGGGGGGGGAGGAGGCCAGGACCGGTTCAGCTAATCGTTACAGATACATACACATACCCCACCAACACAAACGATCCCCCCGTATAGCCTTTCAACAGACTGTTGCCCCACGCATGAACACGCGACACCTAAACAACCCCCACGCATGAACACGCGACACCTAAACAACCCCCACGCATGAACACGCGACACCTAAACAACCCCCCACGCATGAACACGCGACACCTAAACAACCCCCCACGCATGAACACGCGACACCTAAACAACCCCCACGC